TGCAGGCCTAGCAGAGGTTCGTCTTACATTTGCCAATCTGCCGGATCAGCTTTATTTGCTTTTGTAATGAATTAGAGGCTAGAAATTTTACTAGCTCTTTTAGCATATCCTTCCATTTAGAAGCAATTAACTAAATATAAGAAATTCTATTAGCAATTTTATTTGGCTAAAGAAAAATAAATTATAAAGATATATTAATCACACCTGATGCTCATCTCATAATATTTCCAATTTCTTCTCCAATAAAATAGAAAAATAACAACCACTGATGAGTTTTTGAAAAAGTTTGTTAGTTTGATACTCTACAAGTAGTTCAAAAATCTTCATCAGTTAAAGTAGTTTGTCGAACTTAGCTCATCAACGAATTATTATTACGTTCAAACAAAGCAAAGAAGCTGCTAATAGAAGTCTGCTAATGGTAAGGTTAAGGTTATTTCATTCGCAAAGATTTTTAAATCTATTTTATGAAACCTTGCTGAAATGTGTGTGAGTTAAAGTCATTTTCCAAATTAAAAAGTTAATTAACATAATAGTTTACATATTTACTCATCAAATTAATTCTATTCCTAGCCCCTCAAAAAAATCAGGTCTTACAAAACCCTTTCATTTGAAACATCAATCTCGTTCGTTCACCGTGTCAAACATGATTCCTCTTTGAATGAAGGGAGTGTTTTATTCATAAACCTCGCGGTAATTCAAGCAAGCGAAGTCTACCCTATGAATAAACTCGGATTTCCTTTGAACGGGACACTCGAAAGTATGAATCGTATGCCTTGATAAATGCGCGTACCTTCAACGATTACATTCACGCTCCGTTGGGCGTAAAATCGGTCAACATTGCCATTACAAAAATGATTATAGTATCAATGTACCTCTTACATCTCCAACGAGGTGAATCGATCACGCTGCCGACTAGGTCAGAGTGTCAGAAGATGTCATGAAAAATTACTTGAATATACTGAAATTCGTTGCTAAATGTTATCGATGATACGAATTAAAAATTTCTAGTTATTTTTTTTAAAAACTCTTTCTTGTTTACGAAAACCGAATGTTCTTATGACCTCGGCTGCACGGAGAATATAAGCTGTCATAAGGTGTTCTCCGTAAAGTTTTATACATGAGCAATTCTTTTAATAAATTAAATTAATGTTACAATTATTTTTAAAAATTCGAAACAAAACCACCCAACATCTTGGCATTTTGATCTTTATCATTTTATTTTAGCGGAATTTATAGTACCTCCTCCTAACTACAAGTTTTTAATTAAATTTAAAAATATATATATGCTTCATTTTTCGACTGATCCGCTTAAACTGAATCCAAGTTTATAGTTTATTCGTAGGGTAGACTTTGCTTGTTTGAATCACCACGTGGTTTATGAGTGATCAGTCCCCTCATTCAAGAAGAAACGATAGTGCAAGCAACAGCCCATCCAGAGCTTATAAGGACAATTTATCAACACTTACAAAACGAAAATTTACGATTGCTGAAAAGATTCTTTGCCAAATTATAATTCAAACGAAAAGAGAAGGCGCAGGAAACGACGTTTGCGCGCTAAATTATCGTCCGATTACCGATTTGGCCACTGATACACGCGCATGTATAATGCGCGAACTTTTGACTTATGAGTTTCGCGGAAGGCTTGCTCTCGCTTTCCCCTTAGCAGTATACAACCAAAACTCGTTACCGCCATGAAGCTTGCGCTTTTGGGGTTGTTACTAGCATTCATCGTCGCGTATCTTTGCCTAGAAACTTTGACGCGGTGAATTTACATTATGAGAAAGTTTTTGTTTTTATTGCTTGTACGATTCTCGAGACAGCTCACTAGTTTATTAAACAGGTTTAGTTTTGATTAAAAAAGGATTTCACTGTAAGTGTTTTATTTAGAAGCTCTGTATGAAAGTTTAGTTGAAATAATTATTCATAGAACCTAAGAATTATGAATTAGTATTGTTCAATATTCTATCCGGTGGTATAAATTTGACATAAGCATTTACTTTCTCAGTGACGGAGAATCCTAAAGCTTACATGAAAAGATATCTTTCAATTTACCGAATAAGAGGGTATTTATGCTAAAACAGCAACCGAATCTATATTAAAATATCAATTTGGATTTTTTAATGTCTATTTTAGTAGTCTATCAATTAAATTCCAAATTTAAAGCGAATCGAGAAAACGACGGGAAGAGGTCAATGGCAAATTTTAATGCTGAATCTTTTAGATTATCCCATCGTTATAGTGGATACATAAAGATCAACTGCTCTCGGTAAATAAGCTCGATGGATTACCTTAATGGCCCATCTAGTTTTAACGGTCAATAAAATTGTAAAGTAGTCAATTTGATAATGTTTTATATTATAAATCGGCGAAAAATGTTCTAATGTGTATTATCTTATATAAATCGCTTTTTAATATTCATTACATATTTTAAATAATGCGCGTGATAGAGCTGCAATATTAGTATATAATACTATAAGAGCTGGTAGTATAACCACATAATTATTTCTTATATCGAATATCACATAAATCAATTCTTAAACTTAAAACTGAAAACTTAAAAACTATTTATTTCGCGTTAAAGGTCTTGTTGAACCTGTTAGAAATTGGTAAGTCATAAAAGATTAGGAAATTAGAAACTCTAACAAAAGTAATGTTGGATGAGTAAGTGAATTTTGATAGCTTTACATCCGATCTATCATCCTAATGTCATCATGATAAAAACACCACGTACATGATTATCAAAAAGAAGTTTTGAAAGTTACATTTAATTTTCAAAATATGAGAGCTTCCGTATAAATTTTTATTCATTAACCAAGAAAATAATGAAGGAAATGAAAATAGTTAGCACAATTATCTTTAATCACATTTTTTTGTACTTATTTAAATACTATTCTTGAATATAATTACAAGTATATAGAGTTTAAGAGAAGATAATGGAAATTTTAAATGACTGTTTTTATTTTGAGACTCTCGAATAAGATATTATCCTTTTGACCATGTAATTGAAATATTTAATATAAGACTTAATATTTTTTGAATAATCTGAAATAAATTTGATAATTTGAAATTTGACTGAAAAAAAATTGAATAGAAAAGTTAAAATACACAGTGGTAATTAAATATCTAGCTGTATAATGAAATTCTAGCTGCACCTTACTTCATCGCAATTTTCCATGTACAAATTTGCCCGTGTTTTTTGAATTATCAGTTCCGAATTAGTGAAGCTTGTTTCGAAAGTGTAATAACTTAATTACAATTTTCAGTGGATAATTCCATTAAAAAGCAAAATTTATTGAATATCAAAGTTGTATTTAAAGTAAGAAATAGCATGCTTCCAGAAAACAAATACTTTGAACAAAATGTATTTCTTAATTTCATCGAATTAAACTACCACTATCAGATCCCATTAACCTTTGCGTCACGCAGAGATCGCACATAAATGCCGTATTTTACCCGTTACCATTAAAACCCAATGTTTAAACGTAAACAGAGAAAAAGCCTCGATGACAGGCAATCAAGCGAGCACCACGAAAATATCGGCAGACTCATAACTCTCGCGCGCCGACGTTATTTTTTAGCGTGGCGTCGTGTCGACGATGCTATAGTTAACCGCCGCTCACGTGTGTCTGTGAATTTCTCTCTATAATCGATTGCAGCGGAAATAGATCGAGGTCGACGTGTGCACAATCGGAAGTTACAGCGCTTGCAACGTTACGATGAGGTTTGCCAAGTGTTACAACCGTTGGATAATAGCCGATGGTCGAGCAGCATGGAAATATCTTGTAATAAATGTATTTTTACTGTAGCGTTACTTCAGAAATCTTGTATTTACAATATGTTTACAACATATTATTATTGCATTCAATTTACAATTATATTTGTACCTATCACAGCTCACGCGTTGAAAGAAAGAATGCGACAACATTTTCATGTAATAAAATTACTTGACGCAAATATTCTGTCTTCGGAAAACATACTTTTGCTCTTGCGAATAGTGAAATTTGAAATCCCATTGAAATGTCAATGTGTGCAGCTTTTCTTGTACAGCTTTCATCGCTATCATAAATGAGAAGCAAGCAACCTTAAATAGAGAATGTTGGTCAGCAAAAGGATAAAATTACGTGAAAATGAAAAAGAAGCGAGAAGTTCTTAATGACGCGTAAGCATATACGATCAAAGAATTATGTACGTATAAAACCGAGTGCGATTTAATTGATCGAGCGACCGACTACGGATTGACCATAGTGTGCAGCGAAAGTTGGCTAATTTGTTGCGTGGGAGACGCGCACACAGGCACGATTAATTTAATCACCGATAGCCGTTGGTACTTTGAATGCACTCTATTGACTATGAAATTTGCGACCGTTCGAGCGCGCATCGATAATTAAATTAGAATTATCGCGCACGCAGCTATTTAGCCGGAAATTTATGTTATCGACGCCCATACGGAAGCTTAGATTGCAACGAGAAGTTATAAAATGTAATGCATATTCCTGTAAGACAGAGGCTGCTGTTGCGATCGCCTCTAAATGTGTGCAGATGGCGATCGATAACGTATTTCCTCGTGGTGCTACGTTTCCCTACACGTATGCTATCAGCGTGCAACATTGATTTTCTTTTATTATCCTACTTGAGAAAGCAATACTTCGATTATTGTAAGAGTTTATCACGAATGCGCACGAGGCTTATTTGTACGATATAACGGTCGAAAGAAGATAAGTACTTCCGTGTCATTTATACTATAGCCGACTTTTATTTCCAGCATAAATATCTATTAAATTCAACGATAGTGCCAGGACGTCTCTCTCAAGACTCGCCTCGCAGATAAATACAGATTAAGGTCATATTTCTTCTCTGGCAAGATCTATTTTTCCACCCGTTAATCTGCAAAAGAAGACGTTTACTTTGCACACAATTTATTCGAGAAAGCGCTAATCGAATGTTTTTTCTTTGCGTGTTTTTCAGGGTGATAGTACTCGGCGTATTGCTGGGCGTTTTAGAATGGGACCGGAGCATGCAGTGCGTGCTCCTGCTTTGGGAGTACGTAATCGGTTATCTCGTCATCTTCGTAACATCAATGGCTGTGGAATTTGCTATGTGTCTACTAGCAACTCGTGGCAGTATTCTCGATACCGCCGCGCGTGCACCTATGCAGCATCTACTCTACATTAGGCTCTGTAAGTATTTAACGACAGTTAATTGATTAGATCGACTATACCTTTACTGCTGATTTCGTTAATGGAATCTAACAGATGTTAATCATGCGGAATATTGCTGAGTGTAACCGAGTTCGTTGGCTTTTTTCAATACAACAAGTTTCGCAAAGAGAAACAAATTGGAACGCAGCATGTTTTTTCACAAATACCAAATAAAGTCATTGTTTTGTGCCGCGGAGCGCTTCGTTATTACGAATTTCGAACGAGAGATCGTTAAGCTCCGAAAAGCACTCATTTGTTAAAAGCGCGAGGATGTATATTATTTAACCAACTGTATAAAGTAGATTGCACGCCCAAAGGAAAAATCATTTGATGTAACCAGCATAACAATCGTTAGTGCGATGCGCGTACAACACGAATCGATCGTACGAAAAATTTTATTTCCTAATTCCTAAAGTCGTCCGTAAATTATTCCAATCCCCGCATACTTTTCACCCCGTATTTACGGTCGAGGGCTTAAAAGACGATAGCTCGTCTTGACAAGTATAATACTTAATGCGGTCATTTGGCAAACCGTGACTGCTTATCTTCGCCTCATCAAAATTGACGATATCGTGATGGAGGTGGTCGTTCCTCTTTGCTAGTGGTCACGATTGTTAGATTTCGTCGTCAAATTTTACGCACAGTATCGTTTTCTGTTAATAAAGTCAGGCGACAAAAAGACATTTTATATCGTCAAATATAATCATCTTGAAGCTCCCTCGACGAGTTACGACAGCGAGAAATACTCGTCATGGTCGGGGGTGCGTAACATTTCAGCGCGACGACGACGACCACGCGAGTTCTTAATCATTTTTCATTGCCGTTAAATGTATCACAGGCTGAGTTCGAAAGGTATAGGCCAGCCTCTAATATCACCAGATCCTTCATCTCTTTTCTTCTCCGTTTCCCATCACGAAGCAAAATAAAGTCGGCGAGCTTGAATCGTTGAGTTGTTTGGTGCCGCAGAAACAATACATTATTGCTTCTACCTTTGCGCGCTGGTTTAAAATTTCAACGACTGTCGCATGAAAGCGAATAATTTATGTGACCGTCGACTGATGCGCTTTACGTGTTTGATCGATAAACCATGTGTAGCTTTCCTGGAAAATATATGTTAGCGCAAGTAAAGAGAGAGGAAATTTCAAGCCGAGGGTAAATAATTCAGTGAAAATCTCGTAAAATACGAGAACGCGCGAGAGATTTGTCTTGCATTTTTATACTCCCTTATTATTTATTTACTCTGTATATCGGCATAACAAAACTGTTCCTGCGATCATTTATTTTATTTCACTCGTGATACTACTTGATTTACGTCTTAGACCAAAAATCAACAAGAATTTCCATCAACATGGAAAACCAGAAAATATAATGTCGATTGTTAGGGTCGGATAATGTAAAGTTTTCTTTTATCTTCGTGTTAGTTATTCACTTTTGTAAGGGGTAAAATTGAATGAAAATAATCGACACAAATCTGAAGTACTCGTTTCTTATTTTTTTGATATATTGATATAAACCACTAAATTGCACTGATTTGCAAGCACAAATAACAGCAGGTAAATTTAAATTGTTCTAAACGGCTGGCATAAAAAGCCTTGACTTACGGGGGTAAAGAGCCATCGTTGTATAATGGAAATCAGAGGTACAAAATAATCACGCTTGCGTAAGATACTCCGAGGAGCGGCTCGCTTGTTCAACCGGAAAATTGCAGGCAAACGTGTTTGTGCGCTGCTCGCTGAGCTTCCCGCAAATTTTTCCGCTGGTCGCTGCCCCAATTGGGTCTTAGCTGCCGCGCGCGCCCCTTTTTCCCACTTCGAACCTTGTCTATTTTCTCTCGCTCGCATTCTTGTCCGCCAGCCTGCTGGCCAAAGGCTAGGCTCTGCGTCGATCTTGTCCGTACTAAGGTGACCATCGATACTGGGAAGCTCAGTTTCCCTTACAGGGCTCTCATAGCCTTCGCTAGCCACGTGCTTCGTAAAGCAGGTCGTGCTCAACGTTGAGCCCTTTCAATGCAACAAACTACTTTTCGTTGAGTTGCGAACGATCAGACACACCACTGCTCAGATTATCCTTTCTTTTAAATACGTACACATATATATTGCGATCTTCAGTGTCGCAAACCCAATCCACAAATCACAATATCATTACTATGTTATTTCAAGAATTTTGCTGATCGCGAGTTCGATAGACGAAAGGACCAAAAGAGCTGGCATTTTTGAAGCCCACATTTCAACGCGATTGTGCGTGCGCGTGTGTTGCTCCAAAGGCCGGACGGCACGCGCGGTCGAAGCCCTACAATAAAAACAAAGGAAACGGGATTGCAGACCTATAAAGATCTTTGCTAGGCTCAAAACGTCATAAAACGATGACGCGTCAGTACATCTGCAATCCATGTGGGCTTGAGCGGGTTTTCCCCACATTTTTATTGCCTGGCCTGTCGTCGTGCGCACGCTTATCTTGACGGAGTGCCCGAGAATATTTTTTTTTTATGGTCAGCATGTGTTCGAGCTGGGAATGAAGATTCGAGCGTCTTTTTACAACTTATTTTTTAACAGAGCATAAAATTTACATCAATAGGTGATATTCCATGTAACTTTGTCGAGAACGTGAACGTTTATATTTTACATTATTCTACTACTGAACTTTTTCTGAAAATATAAGTTGATGAAAAATATAACAGACAAGAATTTTGCCGTGAACCACAAACTGTGACGACAAGCGCTTCAATCATTTATAAAACGTGCAGGCTGGCGAACCATCGAGTCTCAAAAGTGAAATAACAAGAAGCGTATATTGCAATGTTTTTGGAGCATACATTTCGTACTCGCATCGAGCTAGGACAATATTTGGATACTCGATAATCCATTCAGCTGCATGATTTCCCATTTGAAGCTTTAAGAAATCTAAAAACTATAACGTCGACGTCGTCATTACGATATTCGGGGAATACATTAACATTTAGAAAATTTTAATTTCGGTATGAATAATTGGATACCTAATAGGTTTTATTTGACATTCACGACAGAATTGTCCAATCTAAATCAGCCATCAATTTAACTCATGCATATATTAAGATCGAAGTATTGAATTTCACTGGAATATCATCTAACAATTTTCATGCTCAAGTATTAAGCTCGGCTTTTAAAATGAAACCATGAAATGAATAAAACCATCACTTCACATCTCTTTGATAACCAACTCTATAAAGCGCTCCAAGCACATTCTCTGCTTCTCTCGTTTCACACATGCAGGTTGCAAAGGTGCGCGACATATATGCACATTAAGCTACCCTCGTCGCATCTTTGGTAATAAGTGCGATCGATAGCGCGGCGTGCGAAATTCCAATGCGCAGTGCTTTGCTGCCAATGATGAATGCGCAAGCGCATCCCTACGCATATGTATGAATGTGCCTTTGCGTTACGCGCGCAAGTTTTTGCTTGCGCGCAGCCTCATCTTTCGTCGTATTCGGCTGTGCAATTAATGCCAACGTCATATTAAAGTGGCAGATAGGAGCAGATCCATTGGTGTCTCTATCTCTTATACATTTCCATATCTCCTGTCATATTATACTCCGTGTGTAATTAGTACTTCCTCTTTTTAATTTCTTGTACTTTTTTCAATCGAGGTGGCATAATGAAAACTTTTTAATTCGCTGGAAATGAGTTGAATTGAATTGAAGTTTCGATCAAGTTGGCATTGATCAAAAGGGTGATCGATTGTCACGTACCGGAATAAGAAAAGCATTAATTCCATTCGAGTGATCTTTACGTCTTGATTTATAGCTCATGTATTGAACTGGAAATCCGTGAATCGGCTAAGCAATGTTTTAAAAAATTATAACGTTTTATTGTTGTAAGATAGCGATATAATCCGATTAATGCTGGAATATCCATTTTCATCGACATTTTAGTAACATACTCTTATATATGAAGCAATAACTCATCTACGTTAATCATATTTCAAACTTTCCAGGCGTACACCATGACATAATATACGCTGCATATGCATTTTATTTCATATCAAAGAAATATAAAAAAAATTATTTAATGATGCGCTCTGGTAAAAAATAATATGCAGAGATCATAAAAAGCATATCTAACATATACAATGAAGTGTATATCTTATCATAAAAGCCACCTCAGTTGACAAATATTATATATATAGCTATAGTAGGGCTGCTATATATCCTCGCGGGACGTTTATACTTTTTCTTTCTAAAAATAGTTTTCCATTATTTAACCGCTGCAGAGAATGAAGTCACGCGTAACCATGAATTCAATGTAATAGCAAATAACGAAGGTGATTGTGCTTTCCATTTTTTAATATAAATGTTAATGTTCCCAGTCAACATGACCAATGTGGAAATTAATGGCGCTTGTCGCCATAAATTCGCATAGTATTGCAATATATGATATGATCCTCGCCCTACAACGCAACCAACGCGCATCACAACCCTCATCCAGAAAAGAAAACTTCTTTGAATATTTTTTTTAATAAGAAGACTGGTACAAGAGGTGCCTTTATTAGTCTTTCGCTAGTTTGCGGAAATCGGGCTTGAAAGCTCGAGCGTTTTTTTGCAGGATTCCATGAATTATACCGGAATGTGAGTTCGGTTGGGTTGGATTGATTGGAAATAGACGTTTAGATTGTGAAAACAGCTGAAAATTGTACGCTGTCAATGTTTTCACGCAGCTGTTTTGGCTCGCATTCTACTCTCGTAGTTCGAAATTATTAAATTATGAATTCGTTTTTAAAGATTGATTAATAGCTCAAAGTAATTCATTATAGCATACACCTTTTCCGATTAAAATAGAAATTCACTTTTTTCAATTTACAAGCAGCATCTAATCCAATTTGATATACCGCTCAAAATGAGACTCAACAGCTTTCAATGAAAATGCGAAAGCAATTAGTTTTTCCTCGCACCGATGCAATTCGCGTATAAGGAGAAAATTGCGCGTTGAACAAAACTCATCAAACACTGCGTAACGAAGTGCTAGTACTTTTAATTTCGCCTGGAACCTAACGTGGTTAACGGATTTGTACTGTCGACATAGCGAAAAAGTAAGCATGAACGACATCGTTGTCATGGCTAGGTCGTAACAGGCATTTTTGAAATTAGCAAACCACTTTGTTGTCGGTAATCATTCAAGTACGAATTTTAATAATAATTTTGCTCCACTCCGAGTTATTGCTGTTTCCATGTTTTTATTAGGGAAGATGGTATTTTAATGGAGGTTTGATACAAACTGATGCGTTTACTTTATTTTTATGACTTTGTATTATAAAAAATATATAATGAAATTTAATCATTATAATAATCATTTTTAATTTGAAATAATTTGAGCAATCATTTTAATAATTTTTTTTAAATTTTAATGGCAAATCCGTCAAATTTTATCTTTAATTGATGAAATAGTTAATTCAGAAATTCAGTAAAATACATATATTGATCAATTTAATTCCGTCAGTACGTGAAATCGAATAGCGACGCCTAACTTTTGCCTTTCAAAAAAAAAAAAAAAACTTCATTAATGTTTTTAAAGATTAGGATTTTGCTGATTGTACAAAAGTTTTTTCTAAACTGTAAACAAATAATTCGAAAAGCCGTAATTTGAACATCGATAAAATTAACTAATGTCGCCCAACTTAAACAAATTGAAATTGATCATAGTTTCGATCATCCTGCTGTCTCCAAATTGAAAAGTCTCATCTAGTGACTCGATAAAATCATTTCAGAACAATCTACTACGCTTTCCCTTCAATACTATGAAATTGCGATGTCACGGGAATAGCAGCGACCGTCTTCTAACATGATATAGCCCTCAAACACTTGATAGAGTATATATAGAGAACGGAAGTATCGAAAAGTGAATTTCCGGGCTCTCTATCTCTCTCTCTCTCTCTCTCGAGCGTTTAAAGCTCATCTCGTGCTATATATAGTTTTATAGCGAAATAGACCTGCAGATGAAAAATTTCGTCACAAAGATATCTTGGACGAGGACCAAAGTGACCTTTCGACCGCCGACTACAAATTTTCATTAAAGTGCAATCCATTATAATGAATCTCCTTTGTACTTTCCTTTTTTAAGATACGCAATGGCTATTCTTTCATTAGCAAGTTGAGCTGTGAGCGTTGCCTTTCCTCGGAAAATATAAATTAATTATTTTCCGTCCATGAATTTTCTTTAGTTCGCTGGAACACGTAAGTTTTCACGTTCGGCAATTAAGTTTTTTGTTTGCAAAACACTTGAAAATCGTTCGAATTGAAATGTCGGACGAAACTCGATTGTCACTACTACTAATGTAATGTAGACTTTCATTTCTCAAATAAGACCTCAATTTCTTTAAAAATGTTTCGCTGCTGAAACCGATGTTTTCACTGACGCCTTTACTTTTCACTGTACCAAGAGAGATTTCCTGAAAGTCCATTTACAACCTATTTAACATGCAAAACCTATTTACATGCATATATCTACAAACATCGGCAAGCTCCAAGCTTAATTCTGCTTTAATTACCTTTGCGAGGATGGCGTTAGCAACATAAAAACGTTACACTATTAGCTGAAGCGCGGCAGAGTAAAGCTATACTTTCCGATCACGTGCTTACTTGGTTGGAAGACTTCGCGCGCGAAAGCGCGCAAAGCTGATTTATTCCACTGACTTTTTATTTGCTTTCCGAACGCGCTTATGATTTTCGCGACTGATTGATGATTTTTCTCTCTATCTACCTTTCTTTTTGAATTGTGATCGCAAATACTGATATGTGCGAAATTTGAAATTCCGAGCACGTTTCTTCTTCACATTTTTTTGGTGAGTATAAGAGAGTTTGCAAAAGAATTTCACGCTGTTAAGGATTTAATCTTAGCTCGTCATGTTCTCTCTCGTATACTTTATTCAGAGAAAAGTTTGCTTTATCATTTCAAAAATGTCACTTATACTTCATCTTTGGAAAGTTCACTCTATAAGAAAGTTCCACGACGTTGCATATGAAAATTGTTTAAATCTGCTGCATTGCATAAATTCTTCATGAGTATTATTTTTCAAGCAAATCGAAAGAGTGAATTAATTCAATCAGATCAACAGATAGTGCAGTAAAACATATCTTTATTCGTTCGAGCCGAACTGGGGCTGAAATTACTTGGAAAGTTTTCCTCCCCTCTGATTTAACGGCTCTCGAAAATCGATGAACATGGCCACGAAAGAAGATAATGCTAGTGAAAGCAGTAGAGGCTCAATTAATAAATGGGTATCTATGCTGATCACTTTTATCTCTTCGCTGTGCTGAGTTTTTTTAAAATTAACTTTGCAGATACGAAAGCTTTTATTAGTTAACAATGTAATAACGAGATTGGTTGAATAAACAAATGTAGCAACGAGTTTTTTAATAATTTACATAACTCTTCTTTCCTCTGTGATTGCAGTTTTATTAATAGTTGAAGCGGCATGGCTGAGCGCCGGTGTGACGTGGCTAACAAGGTTTTATCAGAGTTGTCCTGTGGACCGGGCGAAGGATGTTATGTTAGGTGAGTATTATCCGCAACTTTGAATTCGAAATTCAAATACTGGGTACGAATATTGTTGAATGGGGTGAGGCTGAGTGGTAGTATTAGGAAAAAGAAATACTTATACTTTGATTACACTTTAATTCTTTAATTTAACAACTAATCCAAAAGTAAAATTATAATAGATTATAAACAATGAGTTTAATTAAACGCTGAACGCAGATATAAAACTCTCGCTGAGCGGAAAACGCAGTTAATTTACAAACTAATGAAGGAAAATGACGCAAAGGACGGCGTACAAAAATCGAGACTAAAGGCTGCTGAGACTTAGCTAATGCCAAACGCAAAATACCAACACTCCTAGCCCTCAGCCAAAGGCTAGAAGTCTCACTTGATATCGCTATCGCTATCGTCGCCGCTCCCGCCGTTGGATCTCAGTTGTGAACAGCCTGTGCGCGTCTCGCTTTTCACTCCTGCTCCCCAGATCACTCTTCTCTTTCGCCTAACGGCCTAGGCTAGACTTTCAATACCCTTTACCGTGCCAGGATCATGGGCTAGACCTGTTAATAGCCAACCTGGGTAACTCGCGATGCCCGGAACATGTCCTCGTGGAGTCTAAAGGCCTTCGAAAGTCATGAACCATCCTCCAGGCCGACTAAAAGGGCGTTACGGCAACGACACGCATTGCGCTCTACGTCATCAAGTTAACGAACGAGAAAGAGTAAATCGCTCGCACACATCAGCCCGTCCACCAGCATGTGGCTGCTTGTTACGTTTTCGAACATAGTTTTTCTCGCAACTTAAAATTAATATAAATATATTGCAGTTGAGCTATTTTATGACGCACCCGTGCTTTAGACGCAAATATAACAACTCGCAAGCCCTGGGCTCATATTTCGATGCGGTCCCCGAATAAGGAAGTGTGGACTTCGATTCAAGTGCTAGAAACCCGGGTCATTATGCGCACTTGCATTTCTTCGCTTATCATTACCAGATGTTTGGTCCCGCGGCCGAACTACAAGCGGTTATTTTTCCTCCTTACCTGTATTTTTAGTGTCGTTAATAATTATATGTGTTGAATGATTGAAAAGTCTGTGAAAAGCTTTTTTCCTTAAATCGACGACAGGGCTATTCGAACTAGTCAACTAGGAACATCGAACTCGCGTGCGCTTTATCTGAAATCTAAATAAAATATAGACGGATAAGTTCCCTCCCGGTTAAAATGTAAATGCATTCGACCCAGAAAGCGAGATTTTCTTTCCGTTCAAACTAACGGTCGTGCCAAACAACAAGAAAGAAAACTATAAGCTCGTAAAGATATCGACATTTATCCAAAACAAAGTCATACTCGCAGAGTAACGAGACGTAATCGCGACCTCAAATTAAATTCTAACGTGGGGATTCCTTGCCAATCGACTTGACGTCGTTACAGTTTATTCTTTTCCTCCCGCGAAGAAGAACAAAGGCGGAACGTGCCTATAAGGAAATTTTTGGCGGAAGTTCAAAAAGCTGACCAAGCAAGAAAGAATAGATAGAGAATAGAAGGAGAAAGAGAGAGAGGGAGAGAGAGAGAGAGAGAGAGAGAGAAAATTAAGGAAAAATACGCTATGTGAAAAGTAAGGCTAATGAAACAATACATCCTAAAGCTTTACCTGCTCGCTCGTAACTACGTATTTCGCGGAGTTTGTTGATGTTTGATGTTTGTTTCCACGAAGCTTGGCCCTTTTTCGACGAATTTTATTCTTCGAAATCTTTTCTAAAGCTTTTTTTATCTACGCTGGGAAATGCATTTTCAGAAATAAAAAATGCTTAGTAACAGTTTGACGACACTCAAGAGCTTCAGGAATTACGTTTCTGACATTGCAAAGAAAAAAGAATGAAATAACGTTGCCATCTGATGTTTTTAGGTCTGGTGATATGCAATTGGTGTGTGCTGGCGTCGGTGCTGGTGACCGTTTGGTGTGTTTATGACACCGCGGGCAGGTCCTGGGTGAAAATGAAAAAGTATCAGCGAAGCATGCGCGAGGCCGAGACTCGGGGCGACAGAATGCACTACAAGCGCAGCGGCAGCAATCGAAATTGGCGACAACGGTAACAACTACGTTCTTTTCTTGTCTTCCTTTCTCACTCTCCCATTTGTGCTGCTCTTTAGCTGGGCGTTCTCTCTCATTTCCTTTTGTTCTTTTTCACAAGGGAATGTAGCCAAGCAATTTCAACAGTTCCGTATGATATTTTTTAACTGATTGTCATATTTTTATAAATTATTTATTTTTCCGTAGATAGGTCAGAAATATATGTTTTACTTTTATCGCACAATAGTAATGTAAAAAAGTCAACCCAACTCTATTTATTTTTTTAAAGCAATATATGAAGTTCTAGACGATTACCGTCAGAGAAAGAGAGCGGAATCTCATTTTAAGAGATCAATTCCATCCCCCTTTTGCCCACATGAATTCTTCCGTATTTGCCAGCACACTGTGCACTTCGCTGCTCTCATCCTGTTTGATGCTGACGCATTAACTTTTTAAACTTCTTTTCCAGTCCTCTTACGCTACAAAAAAGACAAACATATCACTATACTTCAAACCTTAACAATTGATTTTGAATGTCTCTGCGACCATGTAAAGTTAAATTTTGTTTTGCTTTCAAGAAAAGTGTTACGTGCATATCAAGACAGCTGGGACAATAGGTGTAGAATACTTTTTTGCTGTATTGGCAAATCCGACAGAAATAGGGTGAGTATTAAAAATTCATGTGGACGCGGACTGTTGGTTGACGCGCGATCGATTTAGTGTTTTTCTCGAACTGTATATTTTATTAGAAAGCTGGTCTCATAAGCTCAACAGCTTTTTTTAATAAATTTTGCAAGAGCGTAGTCTATATTATAAAGGTGTATCTATCATATAGCTATATTTCGAAAATGAAATTTAGCGAAAACGTATTGATGAAAATATTTGTATACGACTCCAACAAACAAGAAAAAATTTCTCTTCTGTAGGCTGGTGGTTAATATCAATTAATTAACAGATTATTGTAAAATACAATATAAAAAAGTTTTCTTTTATATTAAAACATGAGTAACATACTGAATCAAACTACAGTCTTTACTAATGAAGCTCTTTTCTATTGCAGAACTCATTCGCTGACATAGCAAGGCTACTCAGTGATTTCTTTCGCGATCTGGATGTTGTACCGTCGGATGTAGTTGCAGGTCTGGTATTGCTGCGAAAATTCCAAAAGATCGAGCGCGAATTAATTGTGAAACAGCGTAAAAACGACACATACGAGTTTCTATCGGGAGTGCCAGTGACGTCGCATACCAAATTTCTCTCGCTCACCGAGGATGGTGATCTACATCACTTACAGTCGGCCATTCATTACATGCACTTCGCTCTCGCGGCCTACGGCTGGCCGTTATTTCTTGTCAATCACTCCACAGGATGCTGTCAATTATGTACCAGGTGCGTGCGTAAAACTTTGTTGTTGTATTTCACACCGATACAAATTAATTGTTGAGAAATATAATAAAGTTGAGTAAGAATATTTGGCATACAGTATAATTGTGAAATCGTACTATTAAAAAAAGTGAGAAAATTTTAGGGATTCAACTTGAAATGAATTTGAGGATGAATTAATCGGTGTAAGATATATTACATATATTTCGATGGTCGTTTATAATATATTTTTCATTCTCAGAGTCAATCTAGAACTCTTTTTTAGTGTGCGATAATTTGATTTTAACACGTTTTATTAGGTTTTATAAATTTTGTTTTAACTTTGGCGTGCATAATTGTTTTCGTAAAGCGAATATAACTTTTTCTATTTGTAATGAAAAAAAATTTTGTTTGTGTTTTTAAATGAATGTTGAGCAATTTCAGAAGGAAACAACGTTTATCGAGAACATCCGTCTAGCTTGCCGAATGTTTTTTAGACGAGATAATATTACAATAGACAAAAATATATAATTCATTTTAATCTTAAAGGAAGTATTCCGCAATTTCTGGCGAAAGTATTTTTTTATTGTTTCTTTTTATTTTGAAAGGTTATTTTGCAATAAGATCAACTTTTTTTTAATTTTTTGTATCCTGTTTCATCGATAAGCTATTTTTATTTATACATGAAAATATCATTATTGTTTTCTACAATTACGTAGCAAATATGCTTTTGAAAATTGTTAAGATCATATATACGACCAAAAAATGTCTCAATGTCTTCAGTAATAATCATATTCTCGAACTTTCCGCATGGAATACGTGAAATTTATGCATAGAACTCGGAAGGGAATAATCCCAAACTTTATGTGCGCGGAGCAAGAGAGTAGCGCAAGTACAGAAAATGAAAAGACTGAGCCGCGCAAATTCTAAGTGAATTAGGTGAATTTTCAGGCTATTGAAAAGTCTCCATTGCATTCATTTCGTTTGGATTTGCAGGTTGAGATGTTGCTGCTTTCCATGCGCGAGACGGAACGACGATGCGATAATCGTAGCTGACAATTGTTGTCAGTGTAATTACGCGGCATTACGTCGTATGATTGAGATCGGCGATATTGAAGTTGTTTATGCTACTTTTCACGTCGACGTTGGTGAGACACCATTTTTCGTTGCACTGGATTATACTAAAAAGAAGGTACGCTTTTAGAATCGATGTCGACGATATTAAAGAATCTCACTGCAGGTGGAGCGCTGATGGGAACTTTATTATTACACCAAGAAATTTAATTTTTATTATTACACAAAAACTTTAATTAACCGGGACAGCAATTTGACAGCTTGGATTCTTATTATTCGAAAACTTTGCTTTGTTTTCTTTTGCTTTAGTTGGATCGTACTTTTCTTTCGTGTACTTTTCAAAACTTATTATGAAATTAAAAGCTTTGCTTGAATTTGCAACAACACGCTTTTCAGTTGAAAATTCTCAAAGGGTGTTGAGGAAATTTGCTACAACGCTCAGAGATACAGCTAATAACCGAGTTAATAAAATTACGCTCGTAAGCGTATTAACTGTAATCCTGCTGCATTATGTAATCGTAGTAGGATATTTGCTATTCACTTTGACGTCACTGAATATGCTATACATCCATTTAATGTACATTCAATTATTGGCGGCAATCCGCGGAATCAAATCCACAGTTCGAGTCGATAATTGTCGTCAAATCTTGTGCCGTTATCTACAAACAGGTAGTGGTGAGCATACGCGGTACATTGAGCATGAAGGACGTGATGACGGATCTAAATGCCGAGGCAGAGGTACTGCCACTGTCGCCGCCCCGCGAGGACTGGTTCGGTCATAAGGGAATGGTACAAGCGGCCGAGTACATTAGAAAAAAACTCAGCGAGGAAGCTATTATCAAAAAAGCTTTGATCAAGGTAAGGCATCCTGTCAGTATGTCTCTTGATAATCTTGAGTCGCTGAAATGATTGGTTGACAGGATCCATCACGAGGTACAAATGAATTTGGACTGACATTGGTGGGTCACTCGTTGGGTGCCGGTACAGCGGCTATACTGGCGATCTTGCTCAAACAAGAGTACCCAGATCTCGTGTGCTTTGCGTATGCACCACCTGGTGGCCTTTTAAGCGTGCCCGCGCAAGAGTATAGCCAAGAGTTTATCACGTCCGTGGTGGTCGGTAAAGATGTTGTTCCCAGGATAGGCCTCCGACAAATGGAAAGTCTCCGAGAGGATCTCATTAATGCTATTAAGAGGAGCGTCGATCCCAAGGTGATTTTCATTTAGTGTTGCGAATATTTGCGAATGCTGCTAATAAAATGCGGCTTGAGACATTGCCGCTGCCGCCGCAAAGAAAATTTTTTTCGCAATATGAAAGTACTCCGTGCGTAAAGTGCTTCGGTAAAGTAAAGAGGAAAATTTGAAACATCCTTTTTCCCCTCGGGCTTATTGATTTTTATTCAATGATGACGGCAATAAAATTTTACAGACGAACGCAAAGCGTGTGGCCTTAAAATTGGGTATTGTTCGTGCAAATAGGATAATCCATTTTGTGTCTTTTGAAAATTGGCAAGCAGACAATCATGTGTCTATAAACGTTTTTCGAAGCACAAGTACTTTGTGTACAAATGTACAATAAAATATAGTGACAGATCGACCGTGCGATGATCGCTTAAATAATTAAATTCGAATCTATGCGCCCAGTGGAAGACAATAACGTGCTCGGTGATGTGTTGTGGCTGTGGCACAGTACCAACTTCGGCAGCAAATCTCGAAGCTGGCGGTTGTATAAGTCAGTACCAACGCGAGAAGGATCTTGCGCGTTCACAGGGTCACAAGCCACTTTACCCGCCTGGCCGCATCATTCACGTGGTCAGACATCATCCCAACAAGGGAGAGTGAGTAGGCTACTAAACTTCACTGTTTGCGGCTGCTTGGTTTGGATTGCTTCGTACTGAAGTTTCGTATTTCGCAACTTCACTGTGCGACTGTCAAACTTGTCGGCTAGCTCGCTGCTTTTTATTAATCCTTGTTTTTATATGTATTGCAAAAGTTTCTTGATACAAAGTTTGTGCATCGCTTGCCTGCTTTTAGTATTGCGAATCAATTTATTTTTAGTTGCTATTTTCTTATAAGATGATCGTATCATACTCATCACATTGTTTGATTTTTTATTGAGTTACATCGAATTTTTAAGTTTTGCAAAAGTATAAAAAATTGGATCTTCATGGAAGAATTGGAAGTGATTTTCGAATAATGTTCTGTTTTTTTTTTATTTTAGGCAAAAATATGAATCTCGTTGGAGGTATGTTGATGAAAAAAAAAATATTTTTTTCCATTAATGACAATAGGATAGTGTTGTTGGATCATCAAATAGTATTAAAAAATAAAGTAGAAAAAGGACGAACTGAAATCTCAAATTATTTGAAAATAAATATTTTCCGTTTCTATTGTAAAAAAAAAACAATTAAAATTCTGCAGTCATTTAAAAAATGCATTCGATTAATTGAACTTTCAATATCGCTATTTTTGAAACATTATTTTTAAATCACAAGTCATAGGTATTTTAGTTCTCGTATTTTTTGTTTCAGTTAGTAATTTGTTAACCAAAATATAACACTTGTGAAAAAGAGTAATCACTTTTGAAAATTCGAATTTTCCTGTAACATACATGTAGTTTTATTCATTGCATGTAGGCAGTAGTCCGAGTAGTAAGTACCAGGATTTGATCAGCCGAGCGTGAAATTGTTGAGATTTCTAACTGCATGAATATTCAAATAAATTTTCTTTAATTATGTATATTTGCACAACAATTATAAAAACTAAAAATAACAATATTCGTCTTTAAAAACAATGTAACAATTCGATAAACAGGCAAATGCTGCGAAAACGTGAGCCAGTATATCAAGCATTATGGGCAGGTCCATGTGATTTTAACGAAGTGCTGATAAGTCCAGTGATGATTCAGGACCATATGCCGGATAACATGTTGAAAGCGTTAAACAAGGTATGTGAGCACGCGGAGTTGCAACGTCGGCCACCTCCTGCTCCCTCGGTTGGCACTTACGAGCCTCTCGATGATAACAATGAGGCTGCTTCTGACTCCTCGTTCTCGGTGTTACCCCGTCGCGATGCTACTATTGTTATTGACGTTGAGGAAAAAAACGAGGACGAGGAGTCGCCTGACAGCACGACTCTTATTATCGTCGATGTTGAGGTTCACCAGAGGAACGAGACTCAGCCTGGCTCGTGATTTTTTTTATGTTGTTCATATTGGTGTTATTTATAGCTATATATATATATATATAGACAATGAGACTGGTTTGCCAAGTAGATTGATAATTTCGAGGAATATTTTTTTATCTTTCTCTACAAAGTATTTTTTTCATGATCTTCAAGAGTTTCACGTCTTATTTTTGTACTTATCTTGACGTACGTTTCCATGATCAATCATTCAATTACTGTTATTTCAAAAGGACTCTGATATTGTCAATCAAACTTACAACCAGAGGAATTCCTTTCATCGCAGTTTCGATATGACTACAGTAGTATTTAATAGGAAATAAGAGTTTCTTCGATGTTTTCAATTACTTTCTTTCACATTTCAATGAAATAATTAAGCGAAATAGAAAAATGTCATTTGGTAGATTTTCAAATACTGTTGGAAATAGCTGTTTCGACGCAAAATATTTATGAATCATTATTTAAAAATTTACTAATTCAATTTTCAAAACTAATCTAAATGTATAAGTTGAGATGGATATCGAATGAAATACAAGACTTTGCTTGAAGGAGACATTATCTAATAGTTTTTTCGTAATAGTGAGATAAAGTTATTGTTTTCAAATAGATGTTCGTTTCGTAGCTCATAAGAACGTCTGAGCTTATATGGAAATGTAATGTGTGAATATATTTACATTTGATTTATGTTTTAGAAAAGTATGCGAATAATTGTTATGAAGTTGCACTTCTAATAAGCAACGACGACTATAGATAAATTAGTGGAAGTAAAGCGTATTAATTTGAATGTTTATTGTATAAGTTCTAATGCATTTGCGTACTTTTATTTCCAAAATTCTTACAAGGAGTATCAATTGATATCTCCTTTAGTCGTATATTGCCTCGCACTAAACATTATTGTCGTTATCACAATATCAACAAAGTTCTTTCGATCTCATATAGCGATTAGTCCCGAGATGATGATGATTTAGTCTCGCATGACTAGCAGAGGAAATATGAGAAATAATTTGTTTCATCTTTTAAAAGTTAAAATAAGTTTCAGAACGCAAATATTAGAAATTATTTATGTGGAGGATATACTTTAATACGCTTTTTATCAGATGATACTTCCGTAGCTTTGTAATGTGAAAACGTATATTGAAAGAACGATTAAAGTATATTTTATATCAAAGATCTGAAATTTATGTAAACTTACATTATATTTGGAAGTTGCATGAATCAACCAAATAGCAGCATGATCTGTAGTCTTATATATATCTGTTATAGTATCTAAGTGTCGTATTTTTTGAAATTTTATTTATTTTTACCAATGAATTTTTGATATAAACTGGAGTCAATTTTTGAGAAATAATTTGTTTTATCAAGTATTTGACATCAAAAAATATTTTTTTACCAAAGCATATACATCTTTTTTAAAAGAGTATGATAAAAATCGATTCCAGTTAATTGTTACCTTATAACTTTAGTGATGAATTACATATGAAATCAAATTTTATTGACGATTTTTCAGCGTTTATATCGTTATGTTTAAAATTTTTTTAATTTTATTTTTAACCTTTAAAACAATTTTTTCTATCAACAATTTTTTTGTATTATTTGTATTGTGTAAAATTGGAAATTATTGATAATACATGTAAGTTCTTCATAAATTTGTATGGCAGCTAGTTTATTTCTTATTGTAATACCCAACTACCTATCTATTATCTCATAGATATTTTAAGAAATTTAACTTTTTTATTCTATATGTTGTATTTTGTAATTAGATGTTCTTGTAGTATTTATGTGCTAATAAATGTGTCTCGATATTAATATCTAGAAAATAAATATATTAGATTTCATAGTTTCTCGTATGAAAAGTTATTGCGCTGCAAATTCGCGAGATAAAAAAACACGATTTAAAAATTACAACAGTAAATTTGTCAATTAACAAAAAAAGGTAAAATAAATCTTGTTGGAACTTAAAACGAGTTTAAAATGAAAAAAAAAAAAACAGAAATCTTAAATGTAGAAACAAATTACCCGCAAGTCCTGCGTACCAGCAAAAAAATAGTCTTCCGCAGCTTAGCTAAAAAAAAAGAAAGTAAATAAAGCTGAAAGAGAGTGTATGTGGTGTTGGTATGGTGAGCAGGTGTCGGAGCATCGAGAGATAAGTGCCCAGTTGAGCTCGATAGCTGCTGCTGCCGCAGTGGCGGCGACTTCATCCGAAACGACACGGTCACCAATGACAACAGCGACGGCTACACTCGACGTCTCGACGCTGCAAGTGACGGTGGCGACGATGGACGCAACCGCCGACGTAAGGTACTTTATTGTCCGCCTTCTTACCACGGAAAACACACTCATAAATCTCTCTCACGCGTCATGAGTTCTGCGAGAAAGAAAATTAAAAAGAGTTGACTTTCACATTTGCGACGAAAAGAATAGAAAAAAACATATAATCGAACATTGGCAAATTGTTATTTTTAAAGTGTTACACTCCAGATCCTAAAAGAATAACACGCTTCATCTACATTCGCGTAGGCATTACATACTCCATACCAACAACAATTTTGTTCTTCCTTTGTATCATTCGTCTTTCACTGCACATATTTCTTTATATATATACTCTGCATATTTGATCTAATCAATCATTTCATGTTTGCAGAACAATTCAAACAATTTTGCACAGTTCGTTTGAGTAGCTACTTTTTGGTGATTTTTCATATTAATACTACATTTTTTGTTACTTAATATTTTGCATCTTGCATGTGTGCATCTTAGATTGGTTATATATAGACGCACGTGATATTTTTGTGATTCTTGTACGAAAAAATAAAAAAACTTTTCTTAGAAACATCAATTTTATTGAATTTAGATATATAATTCAATGAATATTCCATTTAGAAAATTAGACGTGTGTTTTTGATTTATTCCTTGTTTAGTGGTGTTTATGAGTGTGATATATAGATTACATGTTTTCTCAAACAATGTCTTTTTTCATTCGCCATCCCATCAAAGCATTGCATTCATTTTTTCACAAAACATAATTTTTGATTCGCTAAAGAAGTTTTTATTTATACATGTTTTGGTAATTTTATAACGAGATTCATTGGGATTTTCAAATGAATTTCATAAAAATAATAATGATAATTCGAAAAAATCTTGATTTTGTTATATTGAACTCCATTTTCAAAATATTTCATAATAAAATATTTTAAACTTAATTGGCGATCTTCTCTCTTAGTACAACCATAGAACGTTTAGGCATTCACGTATGAATCTTCATGAAATATGAAGAGCGAGAAGTCGAGTAACGTTTTTTCGGTGTGCGGATAATTGTGCACGGTTTTATTATACACACAAATTATTGTGTACAATAACATAGCGTAAAAATTGACACACGCTGATTCGCGCTATGTTATTGTGCATTATAGTTTATGTGTACAAAAGAAGACCGCACGCAATTGTCTGCACGCCATCTTTTTTATAAGCAAGACTGAAAGATTGTTCGCATTGTTATCTGAGCTCTTGTAGTTATTCTTTATCACAGAGATGTTCAATTATTCAGACTTATTTTCATAAAAACAAATAAAAAATCTACTTCATCAGACTCCCGGATGAGTCGTTCTAGAGCGATACTAAAATTAGATTAAGCAGAAATTGTATAATTTAAGCGATAAATAATGAGCTTTTTAACTCACATTGTATAGCGATAATTGTAGTTATTCTGTGGTAAGAATTTTTATATCCGAGCTGTTTGGAATAATAACTAAAATTGCACGTCCAAAACAGCTTTGATATAACTCATTGAAAAAGATTACCATAAGAGTTCAGATTTCGTTAAATCAAAAACACCTTTGGCTTGTCCTATTTCCCGACATCTACAAAACAAAATACAAAAGGTCGTAACGACACTGGGCCCAGCGAAGCCACAACGTCTGGCGTCGGGTCGCTTGTCGGCGGATCAACAGAGCCGGAACAGTAGTAACAGCGCGACACCGACGTATCCACTCAATTGCCAAGACTTTCCGGACATCGAAGTCGAGCAAGAGATGCGTGCGTTGCTCGCTTCGTCGTCGCCGACAAAGCCGCCACATCGACTTACATTGCCATCGCATCGTGTGGGTCAAGCTGCTAGCGACGGGCCTACCCCGAAAAGACGCTTGTGCTTAGAGACAAGCTTCACCAGTTTGCAGAGTCCTTTGACGGATAATTACCCTCAAATCGGCCGTGAACTGAGCGTTGACTCGAGAGGATTACCATGGGAGTATGTCAGCATCGCCAGTGAGATTCTCGCCTCACCCATCAAACCTGCTGACCTCATTAAAGCGTAAGCTATATTTCATTTCGCTTCCCCGCGTTTCGGCTTTTTTTTTTAATCCGCCTAATCGAATGGACATGCTTTGCGATTATCAAATCGAGAAAACGTTGCATCTGAGTTTTACATGTAATCAGCAAGCATGTAACATCAAATGGTCTCTGTTTGCTTGCCGATTGTGTTCTTTCGTAGAATACTTTTTTATTATTTCGTTTTGTGTATGGCAAAGAAAAAAACAGTAGATTAAAAACTTCCAAGGTGGACTTGTGCTCAACAGCTTAATTGCAAGAACTCACTAGTTTTTAGTTGCCCACTATTAAAGAGCAAACTAATCAAAGTTTTATCCTCTTTACTAATTTTATCATTCCATTTGGGACTCTCTCTCTCTCTCCTCCCAAAATTTTCGTTTTTGTGTCCGAAAGAAATTCTCTCTCTCTAGATTGACTGATTGGTTCTTGACCAAGAAGTTTTGTATTAACTTGACTAAAATACTAATTTTAATTAACTACCTTTTGTTACCTGACAATTTGCAGCTTTATACTTCAGTTAGCTCAGTTATTTGTTACGCATGTATTAATTTGTTGCTATTTTTACCTTGATAAAGGTCAATCCATAAATCTCTCTCACTCTCTATAATTTTCATTTTATTGTTAGAACAATAAAAAATACTTATATTTTCCGTTTTACTCTTTCGCAATCACTCATCGAAATTGGTTGTACATATTCACATGTTCACGTCTATATTTTAATATCAGCAATGTATTTAACGTACAAAAGATTAAAATTCAGTGCATACATTTGATGTTTCACATACGTACATCGATTTATTTTGAACTGTATAATTCTCCATCATTATACTGTTTCAATCATTGTACATTCAAGATATAATTTTATTTGCGCACATGCAATGTAAATAAATGTACATACGTTCAATTCACATAAGAGTCTCGTTTACATTAAAAAAATTGTATTCTCGAAAATGAATAGAAAAGGCGAATTCGGGACAAAGCCAATTCTAATTGCGCAATGTATCAACAGTCATTCTATCAAACAGAAATTAATTTCACAGGTCATTGCGAGCCTCCGACTGGAGCAACATAGGTCGTCTCGCGCCATTAGCAACCCCGGAAACGATGTCGGAAGCGTCAGGTAGCAGTCCACCATCGCCAATACCAGCCTGTCATCGGCCAATGATGAGGCGAACGCCAAAGATTCCCGGTGGATTGTCAACCGCGGCCGACGATCTTAAGAACAATCTTCACTTTGCCATGCTAACTGGAAAGAATTATTACCGCAAGAACGACAGTAGTAGCAGCAGTAGTAACAGTAATGCCAACAGCGAAGTTAGTTACGGCAGTGCTAAGAGCTTGGCCCAGGGTCCGCCTCCACCACCGCCAAAGAGACGAGATTCCGTTCTCGCTAGCAGGTGAGTCCATTTTTTTTTGCTCAGAGGTTTTAGTTTACGCTGTTACTTTGAGGATGTTATGCATCGTTATTGTGCAAGGCTAGCTTGAAGATATTATGTTGAAGATAATGTAGGTCATTAGAGACGCTATGTTGCATTTGATATTTGTGTACATTTAGTCTCTTTTAAACCTCTTATTTCCAATATAGTTTCCAAAACGAGGCAGAATGAAGAACATAAACAAATAATTGTATTAGTTTATCGAATATTTGCTGCTTTCACCAATACTGAAAAACGGAAAACAATTCAATATCTACTTTTTTAAGTTTTCCCTGAAACGAATATTTTACATTGTGTCAACTGCAAACACTCAATAAAACAGGTCGAACGTACGACGACTTTTTTGCACACGTCTGACGCACCGATGAATAAAATCACGTCCGAGTAGAAATAAATAAAGCAACTGTTCTTTTTAGTGAACAATGCACATGCAGATTTATTAAAAAGTCAAACAGCGATCTATCGAAGCCGTATCTGGTGTACTGATCGTCGCCTATTGTTCTGTTCTCAAGCCGAGAGCACCGAGTGTGCACGGCAGCTTGTTGCAGGGATGACTTGTCGGACAACTCGTCTCCGCACGCAACCTCCTTCCATTCGTCAAAGATATCACATCGAGTGCAGATTGACTTCACTGCTGAGGATGAACACAGTCTTGATTTCTTTAAGAACAAGGTATTCTTTTCTTCCTTTTTTCTATTCAAATTAACGAATTGAAAATGAAAGCGCGTATTTTTTATTAATCTTTTAGCTTGTGTGATTTTCCACTTTTCTTTTCTGTTTGCGGAAGCATGAGTTTTATTTGGATTCTAGTAGTTATTTTCTGTCTACTGTTCGCAGTTAGGAATGTTTGATTTACCACGCCGTACAAAAACCTAATTTCCATATTGCAGACCTTGACCGAAGCGAAAGAAAGCGGCAACGACGTGTTACTTAGCGTACGAAGTTCGCCGGAATGCCGTGGTCTAATGGCACCAGCGACGGACGCCGGTGCGGAGTGGCGTCGTAACAAGCAATTGGAAATTTGTGCAGCAGACGCCTCTTTGCCTCTACTACGTGGTCTGTCACCGACACCACATCATCATCTTCCGACTACTGTACCAGGTAGCTCCAATTCGCCTTTCTTCAACGCCAAACGCAAGAAATACATCTACCCTATCACCCTCGTCAGTCGAGGTGAAAGTAGTGTTTAGAAAAGTAATGTTTTCTTTGTTGAAAATGTGTTTATGGTCTATACACAACGCAGTGAGATGTTTAATTTAAGAATTATTTTTTTTGTGTTAATTTTGTTTGTGAGAAGAGCATAATTCTATATGCAAATTTTTGTGCAATCTTAGCTATCTTTTTAAAAATGTAATACACGTAATGTATCTCCGATAGTTTGGTATTAATGGCTTGAAGAATACCGAGTAAAAAGAATGTAACAAACTATTATAAGTGACAACAACTGTATTATTTTTTCAAATTTCGTTTCTTTTGTCAGTTACTGTAAATACGAAAGTGTAATTAATAACGATTTTAAAGATGAATATGATCATTAGTATGTAATTCCATATGTACAAATCTGTTGATTGGATTGTATAGAATTTTAGACATATAAGGCGAATATTTAACAGTCTAGGACATAAAAAGAAGTCCAGCCAAAAAAACTGAGATTCTTTACTTTACAATTACAAAAGTAGTGATTGTGACACTGTAAATTTTTTTAAATTTTTACAGCAAGAAAACTATTAAAAAATATTTTAAACGATATAGCAAATTTTTAAATATATGTCTAAGTATAGTTTTAATCTAGCTCTTGTCTAGTAGAATCTTGTGAATTTAGTTATAATAGAAAATAAAATTTAAATGATTTATACTAAAATATTTTAGAGAAGAATCAATAACCAATATAGCAAAAAATTCAATCCTTCAAATGTCAGGATATACAATTTTATTTTTATACAAGTCTCGATTCATTTTGCTTCAGTAGACATGAAAAAATTATTATCATATTATAAATTTTTATTTAGTGAAGAAAATATATTTACAAGGCTCATTGTGGTAACAATTCTGGTATTTCGATAATTTATTATTAACGGGACCATTCGAGTGCAAATAATTTCTTAATCATAGATAACAAACCATTGGTATGATATTGATACAGTAATTTATTTCACTGTAAACACAATAATTTGCTATTTTAATATACTTTCTGAATTTTTATTAGATTAGTGTAAACATTTTATGATCATAGTATCATTAATGAAGAGCTTAAAATTCTTACAGTCGTTTTTGTGCCTACTGCTATTTATTTCTTTTGATAAACTGTATTTAAATCCAAATTTGTTTGGAAGTATTAATAGGTTTTTTTAAGATTAATTTCTACATTAAATATTCACGAATAGTATCGTATTGTTCTGATGAAAAAAATCATTCAAAAGCCCTCCATTCCCAATTTTTCGATATGAGTACTCTAAGAAAGCTAGCTTCATAGCATTATATTGTAATTTTTCATCAATTATTTTCATTAAGCTTCCAGAAGAAACTATGATGCTAGCTAAAGAACGTCATATGTTAGTTAAACGTACTAGTCTGTAATGAAATCAGTTCGATCGATTGAAAGCGTGTCTTTCCTATACAAATCTAGTCAATATCGTTACACGAAAGACATTGTACTTATGTATAAAATAGAATTTACGAAATAAAACTTCGACTCCAATATAGACTAAAGAAAAAAAAACATTAAAATATTTAGAAGGAACTAGAGTAAATTCCGTATAAATAGTTCAATGCGTTATATTTATAGGATGCACTGGTAGAAACGAATTGAAATATTGTGCCCAGTGGAACGCTTGAAAAAGGTGATAATTTTCAAGAATAAAAATTTGTGCAAAAAATTCATGACCACTTTATTTTTTCCCCTATGCTTTTGATTGTAATATTTTATACAAACTTACATTTATTTATTTATTTATTAACCAAAATAATATACATAAAGTACATAACTGTAATATACATATATACATTGCAAATTATTGAAATCCAACAGAGGAAGTAGATTCCTATTTATTGGTCTAGAATATAACAAAAAACTTAAAATTAAAATACATTAGATCCTGTATAGGTATCCCAGAGACTGCCGGTACTTTGTTAACTATTGCTTTGATGATATTATCTTCATTTATTTTATCTATTGAGTCATTATTTACTATTCTAATCTTAATTCATATATATAAATATCTTTGATCATTAAAAAAATTGGAAGTCTCAATCATTTAAAATATATTTACATTTTATCATGCTCAGCTTAGTTTCTAGCTATATCATAATTTGTTTTATACCAATGGACAGTTTCTTCAATAGCTTGTTCAAAAGACGTAAATTGAAAGCCGGGTAAGAATTGCCGAAGTTTTGCGTTACTGGCTGTCTTTTTATACTGTCCATCGGCTGCAGATGTGTCAAATATGATTTTTCCTTTGAAATCGAAAGCTTTCGCTAACACTTCGGCAACTTGTGCAATTGTTACTTCTTGGGATTCGTCAACTAAAATTTTAATATTAAATAAATATTTTAATATGAAATAAAAGTCAATTCAAAGATTTTGCAACGAATGAATTCTATTACCTGATAATATTATTGGCTCTACTGAATTATATTCTCTAAGAACCCAAATAAATAATCTAGCTAAATCTTTACTGTAAATAAATTGTCTTAATGGTTTACCAGTTCCTAGCACTGTGAAAATTTTATCTTCTGTGTTACCTTCAAAAAGTATGTATTTATGTAACAAAAATTTAATATTTTAACCAAAATAAACTCTAATTAAAAGGTTTTATAATAAAATTTAAATTACCATCTTTCAATAAATCATACAATTTTCTTATCAGTCCAGGAATAACATGACTAGCACTAGGATGATAATTATCATGTGGTCCAAATACATTGCATGGTATGACACTCGTGTAGAGTCTACCATATTGGTCATGATAAGCTTTGTTTTGAATATCAATTAATCTTTTAGCATGACTATATCCATAATTGGATGGATGGGGTGGTCCATTGTGCACCTGATAAATTAGAATGTATGATTGAAGTTTATAATAATAATTAAACTTTTTACCATTGTTTCATCTATAGGATATGTTGTTTTATCAGGAAAGATGCAAGTTGACAAACATGAAACTACTTTGACAACTCCATATTCATGCGAAGTTTGTAAAACATTGTCATTGATATACAAATTTTTTCGCTAAAAATTTATTTATTTATTTTAAAATATTTATGTTTATATTTATTTTCAAATAATCTATACCACATAATACTCAATTCACCAAAAAGTCCAAATTGTGAGCCATATTATGAAATAAACCACCAACCATAGCTGCAAGGTGAATAACATAGGTAGGTTTATACTTTTCAAATAATTTTTCTGTGTCTCTTTTATTGCTAAAAATTTGCAAAAGTATGCATTGTCATTATGCAAACTAGGTAATTCATTTGAATTTTACTTTAACAAACCATAAATCTGCATCTTTTGAGCCAACAAAGACCCATTTCTCATTAGGTAACGCTTCTGTTTCAATGATATATTGAATTGCTTTACCAATTAATCCATTTCCACCCGTAACTAAAATGATTTTTTGCACATCTGCCATCTGAAATCGAGAAAAATTATTTTTAGTTTTACACAAATTTGAAATGTTTGTGAGTTATTTCAAATGTAAATTCACTATAAAGAACTTCGAAAATGTAAGATATACTTTTTTCAAATACTTTGACTTTTGAAATTATTTACTTTCTACTTTTACCATAAAGTATTGCTATTTTGTAATATATTTATAAGAATCTTAATTTTTTCACAAGTTTTTGTATTTATAACCGACAGTTTCGCGAAAAACAATATAATTATCAGCCTCCAATTATAACTATCAACAGTATATTTATATATTAGTTAAAAATTTTAGAATATTAATTATTTTGTTGCTTTCTAAATTATTTTTCACTTAATAATAAACGAATACTACAATTGCGGTGAACAGTCGAACGCTAAGCCATCAGCTGACCATTAGATATATATAAGCAGACGACACCAGTATATATATGCAGGTATATAGAAGTAAAATGAGCCTAAGGGTCTGTCTCCATAGGGCCTGTCCGAGCCGGCCGAGATTTTTTATGGGCACGCCATCTCTATAATTTCGTGTTCAATGGCGAGTTTCATAGTGAATGCGAGAAACGCATCTATGGAGTGGCAGTACCCGTGGTTTGAAGTTTCCTGTCTGGCTGTCTCTATGCTCTGGCTATCCTCCATGTTCCTGCTCCAATTTTCATTCGGTAAGTTCGTAATTAATAATAATTCGTAAATAATTCCTACTTTTATTTTCATAAAATTGCAAGTTTCATAATCCCTTTTTAGAGTCATATGCACGAAGAGTTAGGCTTTCGAAATCCGTCAACTGTCAAATGATAAGTAGTAGCAGCAGCAGCAGTAGTAGTTGTAGTAGCAGTAGTAGCTGAGGGCAGGTGGTAGGTGAGAGAATCACAATGGCAGCCGAAATCAAGCCCGCGCCCGGGATGAACCAGGACAAGTTCAGCTCCAAGAAGCCTATACTTCTGTCGAAGCTCGAAGGTTGCAATGACGACGTCAATGCCGCCGTTATCATTCCCAGGGTTGACGGCGTCATCAGCGTCTGCGACGACAGGTCAGACTCACTTTTCTATTGTGTTTGCAATGCTTCTGATACTCGATGCATATCTATATGATGTATATACGATTAATTTATTTACATCGCATGCTTCTAGCTCGACTCTTATTGGACTCATTGTTTATAATGCAAATAGCAATCGTACAGTCACTTGCATCTTTTGTTAGACTTTTTTCAGACTATTTTTTGCATTGTACATATTTTTTACTCCTATTTTTTCATGTAATATATAATTTAATTAAATTATAGGTAAAACAGCAAGCTTTTTGTTATAAGTAAATAATAATTGTATGACACCTGAACAATCTTTCTTTATCTGCAAGTTCTTAGATAGGATGATTCAGACTGATTGCTTTATCTATCTGGCCTTTAAGCAATGTTTTGCTGTATTTTAGTTATGAATAAATTTTCTAATTACTATTGCAGAACTGTCAGAGTTTGGTTGAAACGTGACTCAGGACAATACTGGCCAAGCGTATGCATGTACATGGTTGCAGCACCAATCTCTCTTGATTTTTGTCCTGAAACCAGACAGCTGTTTGTTGGATTAGATAATGGTAGTATAAATGTATTTATCAAGATCAAATTCATTTATAATTTTTTCAAAAATTGTGAATCAAACGAATTTTTGGTTTTGTAGGAGTTTTTATTGGAAAGCGATTACAATCGTATGACAGCCATTCGAGAATACATGGCTCATCAAGCAAGAGTTGCTGCAGTAGTTTTTTCTTTGAGCTGTGAATGGGTACTTAGTATAGGTAGAGACAAATTGTTCCAGTTCCACAGTACTGAAAATGGAAAGGATCACATCAAATAATATGTTCAATAATCCAAAAGGTAACGTCTACAAAAAGTTGCTGTACCACATGCATGGAACATACACCTACAACATGGTGAGCATTATTAAAAATTTATAATAAAAAAACCTTTTGTTTTTCATAGTATATATATATATATATATTTATATGTAAACAATGAAATAACAAAACTATAAGAATTAAAGGTTATAAATGCACGTTTTTTTATTCAATATTTTTCTTAAATTCTACAATGTACAAAATTATTTCCTTCGTACATTGGTATTTTCTTGATTCTGGTATTTTACTGTAACCAGATGCAATTAATTTTAAAAATGGTTCAATTTCTGGCATTCGATCAGTCGTGGTAGTTGCTACATTATTTTGTATTATTTTCATCAATTTTACGCTTTCATCAATGGTTTTTTGTAAGTCATCGCCATCATCTACTTTTCGTTTCCGACAAAATTTATTGGTGATTTCAGATTTTGTTATAAACTCCACGTCGTCTGAAGAAATTTGTAGTTCATGACTCAGATATGGATCAAGCCAACTCATCTCATTATACAATTCCCAGGTCACTTCGGGTTTTCTTTCTGATCCAGATGGCTGGTATTTGCGTTTTTTTGCTTTTTCTCCTTTAAATTTTTTTACTAAATAGAACCATCTCGCTTCAATCTCTTTTTCTATTATTGATTAATGAATATTATATATACATATATATATTTTTTTATTTAAAATAAAGATTTATAGTGTATGAATTTCACCTGTAATGTGCACTTCGTATAGTTGATAAATCGCTTGGGAAATAGTTTCGAAAACTTGTGTTCGTTGCGATCTAAATTCAGTATAATATTTGTCATTCGACTTATCGTAAATAAAATTGTTTGGTTTCACCATTTGTATGATAACTTCATCAAGTAGTATATCTTTTTCAGTGTTTCCACTCATTTTTTATTTATGGCAAATTCAATCGAAGAACTATTGTCAATTTGAGGTTATCGGAACTGCTTTGCTACGCATTTAATTTTGAATAAGGATATACATCCATTTTCACCTCGTACAACGTACATTGAGTGTTGTGCTACACCTGAATTTGAGGTTATCCGACCTGCTTTGCTGCACATTCATTTTCATAAATATCTAAAATTAAAACTAATGTATTTGTTACTAAATACTTAAAACTAATATACCATTTGTTTTTTTGTTTTTTTCAAGTTTCTACACAATATGGAGGAGTCTTTTGGAAGAAATATAAATCTCGATAAAAAAATTTGTGTTTATTTGAAAAATTATTCATGTTTGTATGATAAAACACATGAAAACTATTATTTAATAAAAGTCAAAGATAAGGCTTTCAATGAAATAGCTGCTAAAATTAATTCTGACAAAGAGTTAAATGTCCTATTGACTGGTAAGTTATCATTTATATTATTATAGTATTTTTTTATATACAGAGAGTGAAAATACATTAACTGCATTTACTTTTGTTTTAGGTGCTATTGTAAGAAAGGAATGGGAAAATATAAGAAGGACTTTTGTTAGAAAATTTAACAAACCTCATTTAAGCAAGTACTACTTATACAATGAACTTCAATTTCTCATCCCTCACGTCATGAAAAAATACCAGTGTTTGGGATCAACAGAAAGTGATGAGCCGTCAACATCAAAAACTCAAGATATTGAAGTATGTAGTGAAAAGAATGATAAAATCATTCCACCAGTAAGCCAATGTTACTTTAATAAGAAAACTCATCTCGAAGAATTAGAAATGAAAGTTTTAAAAAATACAAGTACAGCTATGGAAAATATAAACATTTTAATGAAGGATAGTGATAATGAAGAGATTAAAGATAATTTTGTACTATGTATACAGCAAAGTTTGCAGTATGTCCCATCAACCCATGTGTTGGAATGTGTTAATGGGATATTAACTATTATGGATAAGTTTATGATATCTAATGAAGAATAAATATTAAAAATAAAGACTAACTGCTCTTATTTCTTTAATATATTTATTTTCTCAACTCATTTATATTGATTATTAGTAGTTTCATGTTTGAAAGATCCTGACATAAACCGTATTACAATATAAAAAAATATTTAAATATTATAAAGAACGTATATAATAAAAACGATTAATTTTTCTTTAAAAAACCATTCAATTCAGAATAAGTTATATTTATTAGTTACTATTTGGAAAACCTTTAACTATACACCTTTACAAAAAAGATAAATCTGAATGGCATTTACACGCATATGAACTTCTCCACCTCCTTGAGGATAATATCCTTTTCTTATAAACATCAAGCTCAAAGTTTCCACCAAATCTGTTCAACAGAGGTCTAAAAACATACTTAAATACTCTATATGAGGGCCAAAAGGTACATTAGTTCCTCCTTTGAGAATATAAGTTGCTGCCCTAGATGAAAATAGAGCACAAGGTAAAGTAACTTGAATGAGCAAACCAATACATCCAGCTGTTCTGGTGTCTACTATAAATTCTTGTTTTTTATTAAGAAAGGTCTCTTGGTATGAAAGTTAAGCAGGTTGAGCCTATTGCAGCTCCATGCACTTCAGCGTTACACATTTCTTTTAAAAATTTGACTCCTTCAAGATGCTGAGCTGACAAACCTGGTTTTGGACGACCTGCTCTTATGTTGCTAATCTCAATAGGAATTTTATAGAGTGCACTCAAACATAATGAAATTCGTAGCACTTGACCTCCTCCTTCACCGAGACTACCGTCGAGTTTTATTATTTTAATGATTGATTACATTCAGGTGAGTTGGCCACAGACTGCGGTATCAATTGCTTTGATGCAAAGACCATCTATTTATTGTAGCATTATTTGATATGCGATTATCGTCCTCAATCGTGCCCAGGACTACATGTGCTTCCTCTAATTGTATTAATTTCTTGCATTATCTTTTTTAATACTAATCTATGGCTCATCATATTGATGTCAATGTCAATTATACCTTCATTCTCGTTGGAAAACCACAGAATGAAATTATGACTTCTCATATTTTCCAAATTGAGATTGACAACACGAAAAGCTACTGGTACGTAGCGACGAAAATCATTTTGCATGATGTACTGAATGGTGAATTTCATTTTCACGTTAAGTTTTTCTTCTTCAAATGGCTTTGAATGTAAAACATTTTTCACAGATAGGTTATTCATTATTAAAGAATACTTTCTGGCATTCGATCAGTCTTCGTAGTTGCTACATTATTTTGTATTATTTTCATCAATTTTACGCTTTCATCAATGGCTTTTTGTAAGTCATCGCCATCATCTACTTTTCGTTTCCGACAAAATTTATCGGTGATTTCTGATTTTGTTATAAACTCCACATCGTCTGAAGAAATTTGCGGTTCATGACTCAGATATGGATCAAGCCAACACATCTCATTATACAATTCCCAGGTCACTTCGGGTTTTCTTTCTGATCCAGATGGCTGGTATTTGCGTTTTTTTGCTTTTTCTCCTTTGAATTTTTTTACTAAATACAGCCATGTCGCTTCAATCTCTTTTTCTATTATTGATTAATGAATATTATATATACATATATATATTTTTTTATTTAAAATAAAGATTTATAGTGTATGAATTTCACCTGTAATGTGCACTTCGTATAGTTGATAAATCGCTTGGGAAATAGTTTCGAAAACTTGTGTTCGTTGCGATCTAAATTCAGTATAGTATTTATCATTCGACTTATCGTAAATAAAATTATTTGGTTTCACGATTTGTATGATAACTTCATCAAGTAGTATATCTTTTTCAGTGTTTCCACTCATTTTTTATTTATGGCAAATTGAATCGAAGAACTATTGTCAATTTGAGGTTATCGGAACTGCTTTGCTACGCATTCATTTTCATAAATATCTAAAATTAAGACTAATGTATTTGTTACTAAATACTTAAAACTAATATACCATTTGTTTTTTTGTTTTTTTCAAGTTTCTACACAATATGGAGGAGTCAATCGATCAGAATCAATCGGAATTTATTTCTTTATAAAAACTGCCTTCTTATTTCTATTTTGTTAATATAGATTATTTATCTTTAAATATAATTATTTTGCCAGGGAACAGCTCCCTCATTGCTGAAATATTCTGCCAAGTTTTGCCGAATAAAAATAGGGTTTCGCATAACATTCTGATTAATTTGCCTATCTAAGTGTCTAAAATCGTCATCAACGTTGATTACATTTTTCGTAATTAAAAAATTATGTAACACTAAACAAGCGCTTATAATTAATTTATTCTTATCTAAATTATGAGCTAAAGCACTATTCAATAACTGAAATTTTGCACAAAGTATTCCAAATGCACGTTCTATAGTGAATCTGGCTCGGCTCAATCTATAATTAAAAATTCTTTCTTGATTTGACTGCAGCAATCTTCTATTGTACGGTTTCATCAAGTTAAATCCCAAACCAAAAATCTCGTCAGCGACTATTACGAAAGGTGATGATCTGTCACTGTTAGGCAACTTTGTTGGAGCAGGTAAGTTCAATTCATTGTTCAAAATTTTGTTATAAAAATTAGTATTTTGAAAGACACTGGAGTCGCTGAACGAACCTACAACATAAAGAAATTATTACATATAAATTAATTAAATTACTCTGTCTTTATTGTTTTAAAAAATTTATTCTTACCACCATCACCAAGGGTGAACCAAACAAATCTACTTTGTGCATCGCTGATTGCTATCAAAACTAAACTATGAAATTTTTTGTAGTTATAAAAAACACTTCCAGCATGAGCTGGTCTTTTTATTCGCATGTGCTTCCCGTCTAGAGCTCCAACACAATTCGGAAAATTCCATCTGTCTTCAAATTCCTGGGCAATACGTAACCAATCCCGTTCGTTGGGAAATTTCACGTAAATTGGCAGCAGAACTGAAGTAATAACGTAGCACGTTTCGTGTATGATTTTAAAAAATGTAGCTTTTCCAATTCGGTAGTGCGCGCAATAAGTTAAAGCATTTCCTCCTTGAACGAAATAACTGAAATTTTAATAAAAATTAATATTTATTTTTATTATGAGATGAAAATACTTGACATAATTGTATATAAATAGTTACTGTATTGTTATAGCCAGTCGAATATATGCAGAAATTGGCTCTCTAATATGATACTGCTTCTGCAACTGATCAGCAATTAACGTATACAACTCTTGAAAATTGCCTGGTGTCATCTTAAATTGATTTGTAAACTCTTCGTGATCATTGATTTGTAAATATTGGCATACTGTAGCAAATGCTCCTATAATATTCCTTATTCTCGGTACGATATGTGGCTTCACCCACCATCTCCGCAAGGCCTTCTTCTTTTTTTTTATAACTTTTAATGTTTTAAGCGAAACAAGTATAACCTGCATTAATGTCCAAATTCTCATAACTTTTCGTTCATCTAGTCTCATAATTAAAATCTGTAAAAATAAAAATATTTATTATAAATTCAGCGAATAAACACAAAGTTTAGAATAAAAAATAATTGTATATAACTTTTTTATGAAAAATAATGAGTAAAAATATATAGCGTATGCAATGCTCAGTTGTACCGCCTATGTTGCACGTTAATGGGTTATGATCCAATGAAAAGCCGAGATTGGTGATTTTATTTTCTTTGTTTCAGGACGCGTGCATGCCCACTACAGTGTGCATTGAACCTTCATTGTGTCAAGGCAGTTTTTATAAAGAAATAAATTCCGATTGATTCTGACCGAAAGTATTCTTTAATAATGAATAACCTATCTGTGAAAAATGTTTTACATTCAAAGCCATTTGAAGAAGAAAAACTTAACGTGAAAATGAAATTCACCATTCAGTACATCATGCAAAATGATTTTCGTCGCTACGTACCAGTAGCTTTTCGTGTTGTCAATCTCAATTTGGAAAATATGAGAAGTCATAATTTCATTCTGTGGTTTTCCAACGAGAATGAAGGTATAATTGACATTGACATCAATATGATGAGCCATAGATTAGTATTAAAAAAGATAATGCAAGAAATTAATACAATTGGAGGAAGCACATGTAGAGTCCTGGGCACGATTGAGGACGATAATCGCATATCAAATAATGCTACAACAAATAGATGGTCTTTGCATCAAAGCAATTTATACCGCAGTCTGTGGCCAACTCACCTGAATGTAATTAATGTTCCCTTGAGAAAATTGAGGGCATTCTTGAGGGAACTTAAATCGTCTTCAACTCCTATTGCGACAAAGGAGCTCGTTGAAAAATGGCATGCTGCATGTTTCACCAGTAGACACCTGTGGGATGATGCCAAAAATATTATTCGAGATGTTAGGTTGTTTTCTCACGTTTAAACATCTGATAATGATTTAACATATGATTATTAATAAATTTAAAATAATAAAATAAAACCTCTTGTAGTTGATTATTTCTAACCTATCTAACCTTTTCATGTTATGCATCTTATTGCTTGGTCTTGACACTATAAATTTTGTCGGAAACGAAAAGTAGATGATGGCGATGGCTTACAAAAAGCCATTGATGAAAGCGTGAAATTGATGAAAATAATACAAAATAATGTAGCAACTACCAAGATTGATCGAATGCCAGAAATTGAACCATTTTTAAAATTAATAATGCTCACCATGTTGTAGGTGTATGTTCCATGCATGTGGTACAGCAACTTTTTGTAGACGTTACCTTTTGGATTATTGAACATATTATTTGATGTGATCCTTTCCATTTTCAGTACTGTGGAACTGGAACAATTTGTCTCTACCTATACTAAGTACCCATTCACAGCTCAAAGAAAAAACTACTGCAGCAACTCTTGCTTGATGAGCCATGTATTCTCGAATGGCTGTCATACGATTGTAATCGCTTTCCAATAAAAACTCCTACAAAACCAAAAATTCGTTTGATTCACAATTTTTGAAAAAATTATAAATGAATTTGATCTTGATAAATACATTTATACTACCATTATCTAATCCAACAAACAGCTGTCTGGTTTCAGGACAAAAATCAAGAGAGATTGGTGCTGCAACCATGTACATGCATACGCTTGGCCAGTATTGTCCTGAGTCACGTTTCAACCAAACTCTGACAGTTCTGCAATAGTAATTAGAAAATTTATTCATAACTAAAATACAGCAAAACATTGCTTAAAGGCCAGATAGATAAAGCAATCAGTCTGAATCATCCTATCTAAGAACTTGCAGATAAAGAAAGATTGTTCAGGTGTCATACAATTATTATTTACTTATAACAAAAAGCTTGCTGTTTTACCTATAATTTAATTAAATTATATATTACATGAAAAAATAGGAGTAAAAAATATGTACAATGCAAAAAATAGTCTGAAAAAAGTCTAACAAAAGATGCAAGTGACTGTACGATTGCTATTTGCATTATAAACAATGAGTCCAATAAGAGTCGAGCTAGAAGCATGCGATGTAAATAAATTAATCGTATATACATCATATAGATATGCATCGAGTATCAGAAGCATTGCAAACACAATAGAAAAGTGAGTCTGACCTGTCGTCGCAGACGCTGATGACGCCGTCAACCCTGGGAATGATAACGGCGGCATTGACGTCGTCATTGCAACCTTCGAGCTTCGACAGAAGTATAGGCTTCTTGGAGCTGAACTTGTCCTGGTTCATCCCGGGCGCGGGCTTGATTTCGGCTGCCATTGTGATTCTCTCACCTACCACCTGCCCTCAGCTACTACTGCTACTACAACTACTACTGCTGCTGCTGCTACTACTTATCATTTGACAGTTGACGGATTTCGAAAGCCTAACTCTTCGTGCATATGACTCTAAAAAGGGATTATGAAACTTGCAATTTTATGAAAATAAAAGTAGGAATTATTTACGAATTATTATTAATTACGAACTTACCGAATGAAAATTGGAGCAGGAACATGGAGGATAGCCAGAGCATAGAGACAGCCAGACAGGAAACTTCAAACCACGGGTACTGCCACTCCATAGATGCGTTTCTCGCATTCACTATGAAACTCGCCATTGAACACGAAATTATAGAGATGGCGTGCCCATAAAAAATCTCGGCCGGCTCGGACAGGCCCTATGGAGACAGACCCTAACAGAGTTTATCTATAATAATTTTTAAAGTACACTTAACATTTTCAGATTCCACAATTACTATGGAAGCTATCTGTAAAAAAAAAAAGAAAAAAGAAAAAACTCTAAATAAAAGTGTATTAAGACAAGGCAGGAAAATTAAGTTAGATATTTTTAAAAATGAATTAACAAATAAGCATTATAAAACAACAGATAAGCAATCGACAAACTTTTTTAAACAAAATGAAAAGTCAAAGTTTTTGTTAACAAATGAACACAAAAATATCAATGGATTAATATTTAATGACAAGTATATTCCTGAAGAATTGCTGATAGAAATTTTATGTTATGTAAATTCCAAATCTTTACTCGATTGTCAATTAGTTTGTCAATACTGGAAAACAATTATACAAACACGAGTTTGGCATAAGAAAGCTGAGCAAACAATACAGCAAACTTTAAGTTTTGACAAACGTACACCATGGATGACTTACTATTGTATGTCACATAAAATGCCTTTTGATAAAAATTTAATAAAAAATCATTCAGGACAAAATGGTACTGATTCTCACTGGGAATTGCCTCCAATCTCAAGTATACAATGGTCAACAGAAAATCCCATGGTACCATTATTGCCTGATGATTTGTCACTCAAGGACGAAAAAGTTTGCTTTGTTACATCTTCCTGTATGACTTGGAAATATCAAGTTATAGATCTGATCAAAGAAGGTTTTACAAGCTATTTATTAGACTATTTACAACCAACAATACAAGTAATTTATTTAAAGTTCTTGATTACTTTTATTAAATACAAAATATTGACTTGTTCATAAATTGATTTTATTTATAGGTAAGCGAGTGGTTTTGCTGTTTAAATACTCCTGCAAAGTACATTTGTGATATAGAACTCTTAAAAGACAATGGAGAAAAGAAACTGATATATTGTAGTTTAGAAAATTATGATGACTCAAGTTGGGATATGTATAATCATTTTACATTTTCAAGAATTATCAAAACTAGTGAACAAAACCAGTGGTACAAAGTAAAGTTTGAATAATATAATAATTATAATTTTTATTCAAACTTAAATCAAAATATATTAAAATAAAATTTTTTTTTAGTATGAACAAAAATTTAAAAATTATGGCAGAGGATTAAGAAAAATAAAATTTATCCATGGCGGTAGGAAGATAAATCATTATGGCAATGCTATTGAAAATGAAATTGGAGTCAAAATGACAAGAGCTTGTATTAAAATAGACTTACCTTCTTTAGATTACAATCACATAAAAAGTTTAAGTTCATTTTACTAAATATAACTGTGATACAATACAAAATGTCACATTAATATAAAAATACCAAGATTTATTTTCATCTACTTAATTACATAAATAGTTTATGTTCATTGGTTATAATTTTAATGTATTTTTTAAGTTTAGGTATAACAATGTGTAGGTATGCATGTTGTACATACATACATACATTTTTAGATAAATATATGCAGGATAACTATTTGTGATAATAAATATGATTTGACAAAATGATATTCAATAGATTTTTGTATTTTTGTTTAACTATTCAATTTTGACAAGTCGATTTTTTTGAAATTTGTGCTTTAAAATTCTCACAGTAACAGTACTGTAACCAAATTTAAAAATGACATCTGCAGAACTAACATGCGGCATGGGACAGAGCACAAAATACGAAAGTACGCGTGCTGGCAATATGCCGTTGTATTGTCAAGCATATTGTTGGCAATTTGCTGGCAATCAATTGATAATGTGACCTCTCTACTAGAGTTGGCTGAGAAATATAGTTTAAAAGATATTCCGTCATACGTTGATAAATTTATTAAAAGTAATGAAGCATAGGTTGTGAAAAACACAAAGTATTTAGACTATTTATTGTCACATTTATGTGTGAAAAATATTGCTACGTGTCTTGTGTTAGCAAATAAATATAAATTAAAAGACTAAAAATTCATTGAAAGAATTTGTTATGGAAATTATAAAATAAGTTCTTAATGATTCTAAATATACGCAGCTTTATAAGTCAAATAGGAATATAATATTGAAAATTGATGAATATACATGGCTGACCACAGATGATGAGTATAAATAAATGTTTACGAACATAACATCTCGATATATTTTAAATATATTGCTTTTTGAATCAGTACGACAAAAATTTTAAATACTTATATTAAGGGAAAATTTGAATGCAAGGCAAAATGTTTAAGCCATTAAATACATATATTATTTATCAAAGAATTCAATAGTTATTGAAGATATCAATACAAATTTTTATATTTTTTAAAATAACTTTGTTATAAAATTTTTATCAATAACTTCCAATCTATGCAAAATACTTCTATAAAAAATTTATATTCTATAAAAACTTATAATATCGATTGTTACTGAATTCTAATTATTCTTACGATACATTGCGATATCCCATATTAGTCATCAGAAAATCTCTTACAATTTTTTTTATAGATTGCAATAAAAGTGGATTATTTTGTGATGCTGTTATTAACTGTACAATAGTAATTATATTTTCCTTGGTAAGAAAATTCCTAAGAGCATTTGCTAATTTTTCTTTCTGTTGTTGAGTAGTATCCTTCATTAGAATTTCTGGAACTGATTTGAATTTGCCGTTTGCATGACAACTTGATATTAGAGTCCCTACTAAACCACCTGATGGAATATTAATTATAATTTTTTATATAACCATCTATAATATTTTTTTAAAAGGAGCTAAACTATTTGTCAATGTTTAAAATACTTACCAGCAGCAATTCCTGGTGGACCAGCCACCAAACCACCAATCATTGTTGATATTGCAGCCACTACTCCACATTCTACAGTAGTGTTCAAAGCTACTTTCATCTCTTTAATTGTTGATAACTCGACTATCACATCAAACAACTCTTTAGTCTCTATAAACATTTTTAAAAACTTCCAATGGCCCTTTAAACAAATTCACTTTAAAATTATTTATTTTTAAAATTATTTATTCTAAGTTAGAATAAATCAATTGAAAGTACTTTAACAAAATAAACAAAGATTACTTACCTAAGGACTTGTAGATATGGATATCGGTTTGTAATGTTTGTTTGTTTGCCTTAGCTAGTCCTACTAACCTTTATCTCGATCTCTTGTTCTGCATCATGACAGTTCGCGTGTGTTGTGGTGGCACGTTACCGTCAGAATGCAAGCACGGCGTGACTTTCATGACGACACATTGACGGCCAAGTACATACATCCGCATCGGGGCAGCATTATGCAAGCACACCGTGGAAGTCACGGCGTGCGTCTATAATACCAGCATTGTGCCAGCGTAGATGAATAATATAATCAATTATGATAAAATGAGGTTATTACTAAAAATCTCAACTGGAAACCACATTGACGCGCATACATACTGCCATAACAGTATATCACATGACTGTATCTCAACCAATTAGATCACGAATAAAATGCTTCAGTATGACAGCCATCACCTTTTTATAAGAGGATTATAAGAGGAATTTACTAATTTACTTTTTTATATAGTCATTAAATATTTAAGGAATGTAATTAGTAATTCTTTTTAATAGAATTTGAGATTACTTAAACTAATGAAATTAAAAGTAATTCTAATTACTTTTGGTAAAAAATTGTATTTATTAAAAAGATCATGAATTTTGAAATTGAAAAAGACAAATTAGTAAATTTTATCAATAAAAAGATTTATTGTATGTATTACATTAATCTGCTTTTTTAGTAACTCGGGTTTTCTTTGCTGGTAATGGCTTCTGGGACCGCAAAACAGCACTTGCTCTTCGGAGGGCAACCTAAAATTGAAAATTATTTTGTATTATATATATATATATATATCCACTTAACTTATTTGGCGATAGAATTTGTACAATTTATAACTAGTAACATGAAATTATAGTTTATAATGCTGATGAAATTCATGAAAAATAGGACAGATTACTCTTAATCAGTAATTTTCAAATTTATATTAATAATTTATATTAATATAGAGGAATTATCTTGAAGGTTTTGCATTATATTAAGATATAAAAGAGTTTAATTATATTGATAACAGTTTATATTATTAACCTTGGTGAGATCAACACGGTACTTGTTTTTCTTCAAGAGAGTTTTCAATTTGTACAGTGATCTGCGTGCTCCAGCTTTCATTGTTCTCCTAACAGTAGCTTTGGCTGGCTTGTTAACACTTCGTGCTTTCTTGTACACAACAGAAAATCCCTTTTTGTCTGGGGTGTCAACAACTCCCACACTTTTACGGTGGATCAACCCAGAGTAACGGTAGCTACTGAGATTTGTCAAATTGTTTGGTTCCTAAAAATTGATAAATGATTAATATTATAATTTTTTTAAATGATAACAGATACTTTAAAATTACTGTTGAGACTGTCGACGTTATTACTCACTGTTGAGAAAGGTTTATTGATGTTACGTTTCTTAAGCAGAAAAGCATTGTTGTTACGTATAATCATCCAGTTCAAATGGGATGACATGATGGATTCTGTAGAGAAAATAAAAAATTATTGAAACAATATTTAGAATTTTAAGATAGATATAATATGATTGAAAAAATCGTATATAATTTTCGTGGTAATGTTAAATAAATATATTTAAAGTTTGAAAACGTGCATTATAAATTATAGTTTAATTTATAAATTTATAACCTCAAATTTTGTTAAAAACTACCATGTGCTCCGAGTTAAAATTATTTATTATCTTTGGAATATTTGTTATCAAACTAATATATAGACGATCAGAAAGTAAGAATTTTATATCTTCATTCACTTTTATTTGAAATAATGTTTATATTCTATAAAGCGTGATAAACTTACCTAACTCTGCCGAATTCGGGTAAAAGCCAAGCGGAAAAGAAAAAAAAGGTCAAAGGAAACAGCAGCTATTTCTCATAATCGACATTGGTGGCAGCACTTATCAAAATGTGTATGTGTACCATAGAGACTACATGGTAGGTACTACGTACAGTAAGTTGGATAACATAACCTATAAAAGTATATACATATATATAAAAGTACATTAGCTATATTCGTACAAACAAAACACGTGCGGTACTGAATACTTAATTCGTTGAGGTACATCAAAAAAGTGTTTTTTATAAAATTTCTCCTTGTGAAAAATAGCATTTTACTCACATAATGGCGAAAAAGTCATTGAAAAGGAAAAGAAAAGAAGCTGAACAAAACGAAAAGGAAGTTAAAGAAGTTGAATTGCCTCCACCTACAAGATTCTCTGATGAACCTATTCCCAAAAAGGTTAGTATAAATAAATCATTATTTCTATATTAATAATTTCTTTAGTAACAATATAATAAAAAATTATCAGCTGATTACTGATCAGTTTTTAATTTTTTGATTCATATTTCTTTAATGTTATTTCAAGCATTTAATGTTATTAAATGACATTTACAGATGTTTATTTTGACTTTATAATTTTTTTATATATCTACATTATAGACAAAATGGATAAACAGACAAAGAGTGCTGGTGTTTGCATCAAGAGGTATAAATCACAGAGATCGTCATCTTATGGATGACATCAAAACATTAATGCCACATCACAGGCCCGAGTCAAAAATGGAGCGTTCAAAGAATCTCCAAGTTGTTAATGAAATTTGTGAAATGAAAAACTGCAATAAAGCTATCCTTTTTGAAGGCAGAAGAAAGAGGGACTTATATATGTGGCTGTCAAATATTCCTAATGGACCTTGTGCTAAGTTTCTTGTACAAAACAGTAAGTTCATTGAAATTAATTTTTTTTTTATCTTAATTATTTCTTATATCTTTATTTTAATATATTTAAATTCTTTCAGTTTATACAATGGGAGAGCTGAAAATGACAGGGAATTGTTTAAAAGGTTCCCGTCCATTACTTTCATTTGATGAAAACTTTAATTCCAGACCACATTTTGCTCTATTAAAAGAACTACTCTCTCAAATTTTCGGAGTACCAAATCATCATCCAAAAAGTCAACCATTTTTTGACCATGTGTATACTTTCAGCATTTTAGATAATAAGATATGGTTCAGGAATTTTCAGATAATATCTGAAGAAGGTGAATTGGCTGAAATAGGACCAAGATTTGTTTTGAATCCAGTAAAAATCTTTGCTGGAAGTTTTGGAGGTGAAACCTTGTGGGACAATCCAAATTACATTTCTCCTGCTAAGGTAAGATTTAAAAAAATTCTTTATAAAGTTTCCGCAATGTATACAAATTTCTAATAGAATATATTATTTTAGTATCGACAAATATTGGCTAAAAAAGCTGCTCTGCTAAAACGCAAACATTGATTGGGATAAAAATGGATTCAATACTATTCAATCTCCTTTATTCACATCCAATCCAGTGATTGAATATAGGTATTAGAAATAGAATTCAAAGAAGTTTTGTTTTAACTGAATCAATTGATGATGTTGAAAGTTAGCATTGAACATAATCTTTTTGAATTAACTTTAATACTTTTTATTTCTTGATTCATATAATTTATAATTACATTAAATGTGTTTTAATACGTTTTAATTGACTAATAGTATTGATACTTTTATTCAACTTAATAAAGAAAATTAGCATAAGTATTTTAATTTGTACTTATTCTAATAATTACTTAATTGTATCCAGCATCAGATTTATCTAGAATTTATTAATCCGTTAAAATTTAACATTAATCTTTTGGAATGCCGAATTTATTGTAGTCAATTCTGATATAAATATAATAATTATAAATACCAAATTAATATTTTTAATGAATTAGGGTTGGGGGTTGGGGGTAATATTAAATTTTTGTTAATAACTTCGGGCATTAATAATGAATTCATTATCGTCAGCATATTTCTTATGTTGAAAGAGATTTTGTTGTATATTGTGTCTAAAGTTACGATTTATTTTCTTTTGCATTTCTCACGATGAACTTTCTTTATTTGTCAAAGTTTCTGTCACATCTACCTTTCACAATATGGCCTCAAGACAAATATTAAGATAATAGTAACAATTATATTTCCTTATGTAAAAACACATTTTGACATCATGTATATTTATATATAATGAGAAGAGAGTTGGCGGGTCTTATTTCATCCTGTGTCATATAAATGAAATAAATCTAATGTTAACCCGAAAAAACACACGGTTTCACTACATACAATTTTGAATGAATTTGATATAATTTTAACTATCCCGAGCGAAATTTTGAAATGCACAAGAGAGATTTTACCAAACCTAATTCTAAACTAAGGGAGAGTAAGTTTTTATCAATCATGTATTAACTGATTCTTGTAGTATTCTAATACTTTTTTATTTTCAATACATTTTCAGTGATATCGCAGATACATAAATTAAATATAAAAGAGAGTTCAGGACTCCTTCGTGAGTAGAACTCCCTTAACCCATTAAGTTCTAAATGGACGATTTTTTTCTATTGTTTTCAATTGATTTTCTGAATGTGAAATCGGTCTTCAAAAAAATCAGGAGAGGATATTTCCGACGTAAAATTTTCTGACTTTTCGATCTACGTTGTCAGAATTTTGAAAAAAAAATGCATATTAACACATTTATAATTGTTTATTTAACAAAAAATGCGAAATCATGATGTTTTCGAGTTGAATCTCAATGTAGATTTTTATGAATAGCGCATATAAGGCGTCCTCGAATCCTGTACTTTAAGTTATAGAGGTAGGTTTTTTTAAATTCAACATGGCGGCATCCAATGTGGCGTGAACCCAAAGAAGGAAATTTTTTGCTACTTGTACTTTTTCGAAAAACAATATTTTTTTACCAATATTCATGAAACTTCGTATATAAGAATTTTTTGGGTTGCTGATTACGAATTTACAATCAGATTTTAAAAATGCAAGATGGTGGATCCAATATGGCGGCCAAAAATCCAAAAATTTTTTTAGTTTTTATAGAAATCGGTACCTGTAGGTCTTTCAAATCACTGATTAACGATTTTTAGTCAAATTTTCAAAACTTTACATAGCTAATATAAAGTTTTCTATCCTTTTGCAATTTTCTAACTTAAGAAAAAGCATGTATAGGGGTGTTTTTGACTTATGTCATGTATCCACTAACAGTTTTTAAAGTTTCTAATTTTTCGTTAAAAAATATGATCAAAAACTTGATTCATCAACATTTTCGAGCTTTTGAGTACCAAAATTAAAAACCATTTCGATACAATTCGAAAAAAAGATATAAGCAAATATTCTTTAAAAAGGCAGTTTTTTAATCTTAATATTATAAATAATGTTCCGACATTTCTCATCGTCCAAAACTATATTTTCCATTATGTATATTTTCTTGCGTTACAAAAAAAAGACCTTATTCGGACAAAAATATAAATTTCATTATTTTTTCATAATAGAGTAACTGGACTATTATCTCATTATTGGTTGAATTAGCGCAGAGACTGAACGCATGTGCAAAATAAGTTTTCAAAGAATATTCAGAGCTTTATTTTCAATTTTCATTGTACAAAGTATCATAATATCATAAATAACAGGTGTTACTCGTTTCTAATTCATTATATTTCTTACGTTTCAGAGCACGTTTACAAGCACGTCTTAACGGCAAACGACTCCTGAATATAATTTTATTATATACTTTCAATTTTAATATATCATCTATTTTGTACCATCTTTTAATACTCAGAAAAATCAAATCTGAACACAAGATTAGAGTGGCTGACAATGATTTGAGAATCTCAATAAAATAGTAATCATATTCTAAGATTGTTTTCTTTTTGTTACTATTTTACACGTATAATTAAATAAAATATTTTTGAGTAATAATTGAATGAATTTGTCAATATGCACCATATGTTTATATATTTGAAAAAATAATTCAAAATATCGAAATACATAAATATTAATATAGTAGGTAGTGTTATTATATTAAATATAATATTAATTCAAAAGTGTAAAAATCTTTTTTAATTTATATTGTGATAAATAAGAAAATTATATAACTAAATTCGATGCTTAGCAAAGATATATTCTACATTCTGTAAACAATCACTCAAAAAAATGTTCTTCAAAAAGTTAGTTTAATTTTAAGGACAGTATACTGTAAATTTTCTTCTCCATAGTTTACGTGCTAAGGCTTCCATTTCAAGCACCAAATCGTATCCTATACTTTTCATTTGTGCATTTAAAAAATACATTTCCACACATTCATAAATCTTCATAGTGACCTACTTTGAGTTTTGTATTATAGCTAGACATAGATAATGATAACACTATAATATGGAAGAAACTTTAAAAGCACAATAAGGGAAGTTCAAAAACACTCTTGAATATTTTCTGAATTAATCATTTTATGGAAAAATTGTAGAATAAACAAATAAATTATTTATAATCCAATGATTGATTTGTGCTCGGATCAAGTCTCTGTAAGAGACAAAAAGTTTCAAAAAATAGACATTTAATAAATATTCCCTGTATAAATAAAGACTTCGCAGAGTTTAGGAAAAATTACATGATTTTTAAGATATAAAATATTATAAATAAATCTATATAAAATGCGGTAGACTGAGAATATTATTGCAAAGCCCTAACATTAACAACTTAGCTGTTCATAGGCGCGAGTTCATGAGATTGCTGACCGTTAGTATTAATATTAGAATCAGAAGCCAGCTGGGCCAACGCGGACTGACGCCAATTTCCATTGTCGCCATTTAAATTTTTGTCCTCGCATATGCATAAAAAAAGTGTATCAATCACAGTCTGAAAATTGAAACAAAACTAAAATGTAATTCAATAGATAAAACAATAAACAAAAAAGTAATGTAAATATACCTCATAAAGGGAAATCACACAGTGAGCTATGAAGAAAGCAAAGATGCACGTGACAATTACTGGAATAGCATAAAAATGTAATCTAGTATTTTGTCTCATAAACAGCAAACCAATACTTCCTGTTGCTGCAGTCACAAAACATTTGCCCAAAAATAGTACAAAATCGCCAATTCCATTGATCACCGCTACTTGAAGCGCATTACTTAAAATTGTATTAAATGCCTAAAAACACAATTAATAATTTATAATCATTTCCAAAAAGATAAAGTCTACAAAGTAATATTTATTTAAATACTAACAATTCTTGCTGCATTGCAGAAATGAGTTCCTTCAATAGCAATAACAGTGTAGGCATTATGATTCATATAACGAATAAACCTTTCCAAACAGTAGAAGCAGCAAATGCAACATCTTAGTCCACATTGGGCACAAGGTGAAGTTTCCTTAGTTTTTTCAAATCTTTAAAATATTATTAGACACATTATTAAATAATATAGACTTTTCAATATATTCAACTTTTCTTATGCAGTTCAAAGAAATAACATCTTACTTTTGATGTAGATACGTTAAAAGTAGTCGAGGTAATTTGAAAACTGTAATTAAAAAGGAACCACAAGCCACAGAGCCAAGATGATAAGAAACCAATGTACTAATCGATGAACAAACAGGTGATACACTGGCATTTTTTCCCCTGAAATTATTGAAAACATATTGAATAAGAAATAATATTTACAAAAAAAGTAAAAAAATAGGAAGTTATGTACCTAAAATACCAATGAGCGACAGCACCGGAGATTACCATTGTTTGACAAGCAGTGATGAATTCAGAAATCCATATTAAACCAATAATATAAACCCACCACATATACTTTACCCAAGTGTCATCAACATAGTCTACAAGAGTGAATGCTGTAAAATAAATATACGAGGAATTAGAATTTTTTTGGTATAGTGAGTTTATGCTCAACATTTTTCTCAACGCCAAAAAAGATAAACTCACTTTTATAATCGTTAAGAGGAATATTAAGGGGACTCAGTTTTTCATCGCTAGATCGGCTCGAAATAATATTACCGTGAGACGAATTTAAAGTTAGCGAGTCAATAGAATTCATTGCTCTTGTACTTGGGACATCTGAAAAACAAATGAATTATATCATTACACTATGGAGTCATTTTATTACATGCATTAATGCGTTGAATCACTATTTTATTGTAAACTTACTTGCGGTTGCAAGACACAAAATCACAATAACCCAAAATGCAAAAAATAGAATTAGTGCAAAAAATGTTAAAAGAGGCTGGAAGAAAAGTCCTGGTAAATCTGCCAAACACTTGGCACTTTCTCTGAATAAAGATGCCATAAAGCTTATTTTTGCTCTGACAAAGCAGATAATACAGAAGATTGCTACCTGAATATAAAATAAGATGATTAAATACATAAATCTCTATGTAAACATGTATATAAATACATCAAATGTAACAAATATTACTGTGAATATAGTTGCAATAATAGCCAAAACGAGAAATGTATTTTTATTATCATCAGATTCATCTAAATGTTGCTCTACTTCTATACCATCCAATTGACGTTTTATATCAATATATGTCCACCATAATAGGCCAGTTCCTCCTACAAAAACAATGTTATCATTAAGTTAATACATTGTCAGGAAATGTTAATATTCAATATCCAATATATAAAAACGTACATTAATTAAACAAGATAAAATAAGAGATTGACTTACCAATACAAGCTATCATAACTAATATCATAACAATCCATGTTACAACACTGGCCAATAAGTGGAAAAGAGCAATCATGAAAAGTGACAAAACTGTAACAAGCAGTTTTTTCATAAAAGATAATTATAAAAGCAAAAACAATATTTAAGTAAAAATAATATACCAAAAGCTAGAAATAATAAGGCTAAGATTTCTCTCCAAGTTTTACATAGATCTCCTAAGACTTTTTCTATAACATCCCAAGAATTCAACACTTCATACAACTTTTTTGTTACTTCAGTTACTGAACTTGGAATACATCTATTAAGTAAGGGTCTACTAGCATACACAGGATATTCAGGACATGAGCCAATTGTATTTTTCTTGGGCTCGCTGTGAAGATCTTTGCATGCACTGAAACCACTGCCAGGCTTATCATGACACAACTGTGATTTAGTTTCTTCATAAAATTTGCATACATCAGTTATATTATTTAGTATTCTATTTGGACATTCTTTTACACATATTTGCAATGATTTCCTTGGATTTTTCCCATCCAAGAAAAACAAATATCTAAAATAATTTATTAGAATTAATAATACAGTGAAACATATGAATGAAAATTGCTCAATTATTTTCTTACGGTTTGTCACTTGTATCTTGGCCAGAAAGTTCCAAAGTTCCAATTTTGGGATTATTTTTAACACCACAGGTATTACCAAAACTGTCATAGCCATTTATTAGCCTAATTGGATGTCCATAAACAAAGGCAAAAGCTGCTACTACAATCTACAAAATCAGATATCATTAAGTTTTTATATTTTTTTTAAGTTCTGATGAATATTTCGTCTATTGAGACTAATTAATAATAACTTAATAGTAGCTGTAAATTGTTAAATAAATATAACTGCTACTATAAGACCATTTGTTAATTACTATTCTAGATTAATGGACATAAATGAATGAGTAATAAAAGAATTGTAAATGTCATTTATTATCATCAAAATATTCAAAACAACTTATGGTAAATTATAATTTTAGTTTGAAAATATAGTATCAGTAAATAATCAATGAAAATTTGAATACTTTCACAGTCATTTCTCATAAATATATCAATATTGGTTTAAAATCTAAAAATCTGTATTTTTTTCAGAAATATATAATCAAGGATAAAATATATATTAGTTTTATATTTTTACAACTTCATTGTACTGTAGTTAAATAATCAATGTACCATTAGGGGAAATAAAAACTTTTATACATTGTGCATCAATAAAATCTTTTATAGACACAATTGAAGGTCAGCACTGCAGAAAATTTAAAAATTCTATATTTTTACTTAGAAAAATTGTACTATGTACTTTGAACTAAACAATAAAAAATTGTATTTCTTTCTTTGTTTTTGAATTACACTAGTTTTTCTTATTAAAATTTATTTCACAAAATCAAACGATATATTTGTGTTAACAAATTTAGAAGAAAGTTATGGAATACCTATAATCAGTAGCATACTAATGACATAAGCACTTCCTATAAATAAAAATTGAGTAAACTATCCCTATTGTGTTGCAAGCTAAATATAAATTGCAAATAAAATAAACGTAATGCTCTATAGACTACATGTTTTCGCGGTAAAATGAGTTTTTAAATTACAATAATAAAAAATTTCTCTATCAAAACCCTTTGTAAACAAATAACCGAGGTTATGATGAATCGGCTTTATTAACTCACCATCAAGAACCAAAACGCAATGAATAGACATAGCCAAAATATGTCGGTGCATCCTCGTACTCTAGGTGCTTCGGTCTGCTGTTGCTCATCGTCGTCCTCGCCGCTGCAGCAGGTCATCTTTAAAATTATATTTTTTGTGCGAAGATACCGCGACTCTTTTCTCTACACTCAACAATAAAACGGGCGTGCCGAAAGGGACGCGCGGTAAGGATGATGAGAGTACAGCAGCGACCGATTGTCCGGCAACGGTGGCGTTGTTTGTTATGCGTATGATAGTCTAGCCACCGCCAAGGAATTGCAGGGTTTTTGGGATTTCTACCAGGCCCCGTTCTAAACAAGTAAGAGTAAAACTTTTAACATTTTTCAATTGCTTGGCGATATTTTTATAGAAGACTTCTTCCAAAATCAAAAATTTTACGAAACAGTTTAATATTCTAGTTATTTATGAGTAGATCGTTCAAGTAAAAAATTAATTTTTTCTAAAACACGTCGAGGGTGAAAGTTGTGATTGTTACGCGGCTGAGCAACAATGACGGCCGAGCTGGCGGGTGAGTTCGTGCGCCATGGCTTTTTATTGTCGCCACCCATAAAATCTGTATTCGTTTTTCTTTGAACACCCACCCGCGCGACGCGCGTGATCCCAAAATCCGCAGAGCGATGTGCGTCATCCCCTCTATTGTTACAATCCTTTAACGATGTAAAATTGTAATGGACGATAATGCATTGCTCTTGTAATATTTCATATATTTTTTTTCCTTTTAAATCTATACTGTAAAGTCTCTGAGATCAATTTAGAACTCAGGTACATCAAGTATTCCGGTTTTTTTTTAACAATTGATTTGTTTTCCAATCAATAATGGGAGCTTATTTTAAAGTCTTAATGTTGTTCGGTAAAATCAATGCAACGACTATGAGATATTGAGATAATAGAATTCCCGGGAAATTGGAATTAACGTCGTCAATCTCTCATTGGTCCTTCCTTGTTAAAATGGCTGCGTCTACAATTCGACCGGCGAATACGTGACAGCCAATGGTGCTCAATCCGCTTCCAAAGGCCAAGATCCAACTATATAATTATATGTGTATATAATTATATTTTCATGTGCTCCGAAACTCTATATATATATATATGTATATTCGGTGTTGGAGTATGTACGTTTAATAAATTTATCTGAACGTGAGCTGCATTTAATTCAATAGAATAATAGAATATCTAATTGTGAATTAATATCGTTAAAAATAATTTTATTACCGTACAACGGCATATTGACCTATTCTGTGGTGTAGGTGTTATTAGAAAAAAGTATTTTTATATTCTCTGATTTCACATAGTGGAGTCTACTCTGTAGATATAACCTTCTCTTTTCAATTATATTTTTTAAAAAGACGTTATCTTTTTGATCTTTATTTTTATATACGTTATGATAATTGAAATAAGTTCTTAAAAGTTTTTATTATACATTGTAATTACAGTGAATCATAACTAATTCTATTAATTAATGATTTAATAATCTGACCATTTAGAATGGTCAGGCTCAAGTGTTTACATATCTTTAGTACATCATTCTTCTAATATTAATCTTTTACAATAAAATATTGATATCAAATTAGGCTAATGAATGACGTTTGATATTATTTTTCTTATTTGAGACTAGAAAATGGATGGGGAAGAAGATAATAGTAAAAAAAGTCGCAAGGCCTCTAGAGGTCGTACTAGGGGAAGAGGAAGAACAAAAACTAAAGGGCGCACTAAAAAAGCTGTAAAAGTAATAAATCTAAAGGATAACAAAGTTTTGTTATACTTTCCTTTGAAAAATATATGGACTTTTTTCCATGTAGGTTATTGAAAGTGATGACGATGACATTCCTCAAGAAGATGACAGCGCAATGGATACTATCACTGGTGAGTCACAACCACAAGAGGAGGTACCCCAAACTCAATCTGCACAAGTACCACAAGCACCACTGGCACAGCCTGTGCATGTAGCACCACCAGTGCAACAGCCACACCAAACTACTCACCACACTCCTTTAACTCATCAACCTAGTATGGAAACACAATTTGATTTGGAGGCTGATATTTCTCAATTAGAAGCTCCAACATTCACAACTATCAATCGAGGACCACCTGAACCAATGCTAAGGTTAAGATGGGACCATCGTGTTAATTTGATTGGCGAGAAAGTTCTTAATCCAATGATTCACTGCTGTGATAAGTGCTTGAAACCTATTCTAATATATGGTCGAATGGTATGATATAAAGTATTTGCATTGTTAATAAATAAGTGATACTAAATTCAAATATTTCAAAATCAATATTTGCTGATTAAAATGGTATTAATATTTTTACAGATACCTTGCAAACATGTATTCTGTTTGGCTTGTGCAAAGAAGGAAGATAAAGTCTGTCCTAGATGTATGGAAAAAGTTTCAAGAGTTGAACAAACTGGTCTTGGCACTGTTTTCATGTGTACACATGGTGGTACAAGATATGGTAATGCTGGATGTCGAAGAACATATCTTAGTCAAAGAGATTTACAGGTATATAAATCTTGCATGGTATTAAATTTATCTATTTTTCTTATATCTATCCAATAATAATATCAAATGATGGATTATTTACGATAGGCTCATATAAACCATCGACACGTAGCGGCACCACCACCACCACCACAAGTGCAAAATATACAATTGGATGGTCCACCAGCGTATATGCAACATGCAAAGAATGATATGTACATAGATCAGCAACACATGCCAAAAGGTGTACCAAACAATCGCATGAAGCCTAGCCACTCAGTTCCTCCGGTGGTGATGGGCAACGATCCACGTATTAATACAGTTGTCAATCAACCACCCACGTCTTTGGATCACAGACAAGTTCCACATCGACATTACTCACAAAGTTCGGTCGGTTCACAGCAACAGTCCAGCAGCGCTCCATTGCGCTCGAACCTTATAACTGTGCCCATTCAGGATACTACTCCTTTAACTCCGCATGAATTGCCACCGCAAACTCATCATTACTATCATCCAGATAATCATGTTAATGCTAACTTGACAGCAAGGTCAGTTTCAATTTGTAAAATTGTAATCTTATTTTATTTTATCAATATGACATATTTAAACATATGATTACATGATTTTTTCACATATACATTTTTAGACATGTGGTATTATCTGGACAACCTCCGCCACCAGTTCCTCAGGTGAACTATGGTGGATACAATGTAAATCCAACAGTACAACCTCAGCAATACTACAATCCTCAGATGGCTTACGTAGCACCGCAGCAACAGTATGGAGTTACTTCAGCACCGAGGTCAGCGTACGTGCAGGATGCTACTTATGTACCACCTCAGCAACCTCAACCGCCACCTCCACAACAGCAACAGTGGGGCCAGCATCAACAGCAGTTTTACAGATAAAATACTGTTTTATATAGAGATCCAAGTGGAGTGCGAGATATAGTTAAATAGCATTCGTTTGGATTTGCTCGAGACAATGATGCTTGTTAGAAATGTCGATCTATATGGTCTTCGTCCAAAATTCGCTCAAATTCAACGACTTTTGAGAGAAATGCTAGTCACGTGTGTATTATGCGTAATTTCTGCACGAGCAGAGGTGAAATTCGGGCTATCTCGGAGCAATTACCTGAAGAATTTGTCGTATATAGCAGTTTTGCACGAGTTTCATATGAACGTCTTTTTAATGAGGATTGAGTTAAGTGTGATTCGTTGAGTGTACATACAGCTATTGACTAAAATGTTTGTCGATTGTTTATTTTTTTTTGAAGATTGTACTCATTCATCGATCATCTCTATTATTAGCCTGGTAATATTTTTATACAATAATTTATCGATATTGTCTACCGTAAAACTTTTTTAATTAGTATTATTTTATTTTATTTTTTTCATTCATATATATGTACTGCAAAATTTTAATTGCATTTTTCATTTAAGTTCAAGTTATGAGTTTAAATAATTGACTTTTAATTACATCCTAATATTATGATTTATATTTTTTTTCTAAAATATCAATTCATTAAAACAATTTATATTTTGAACAGGACAAAGTTTAAATTAGAGATCTATTTTGAGTTATAAGCGTGAGATAAAAATGTTCAATCTAATGAATCGTAAAACATTGATACGAATTTATTGAAACTGTAATGATCAAAAATGTTTTTTTTTGTTAGTGATTATGTTTTACTTTATTCCAAAATTGTTTTTCTGAAGTTCAGTACTATGTACCGATAATTTAAGCTTAAAGTTTCTTAGTAAGCGTCGGGCAACAGTAAATAATTGTATATACATAACGGTATTTTGAAACTGTTTTGAACTTGAAAATTATTTCTAATTATTATTCTGTTTTATAAAACTTATATAACTATAAAAATCAATTTTTCAACGTATTCAGAAAATCCAGTTTTCAGTATCAATTTTTTCACAGTAAATCATTCTGAATGGATAACGAAGTATTCAAAATGACATCTCTGTTGTCTGCAGATATTGTATGACAATTATTTTAAGCATACATTTAAAGTATGGAAATGAGATATATTGAGTTAAATAGCAAAAGTTAGCTTTTAAAAGAATTTGCTGTGAAGAGCTGATATTGTTGATATATTTTATATTTTTCATCAGATGAGAACCAACAAGCGTGCATTAAAGTTGTACAGCAATAAACAGAATTTTGCAAACTCGCTTTGATGCCTTTCTTTTACTTTTATTACTCTATTACCATGACGAAATCAAGAGAATAATTATAAATTTATTATCTTATTTATTATTAATAAAATACTACTTTTTTTAATAGTAAACATAAAACTGGAAAATAATGCATGACTGTAGCTAACGGAAAATCATAACTTATTTTTTATAAGTAACTTATAGGAAAAAAACTCAAACGGCATAAACTTTTAGTGTTGAAATGAATAATAAAATAGAACAATACATCGATGATTAAAAAATAAATAAATAAATGTGAATAACTAGTTTTATTAATATAATAATGAATAAAATAATATTTTCAACAAAGGAATAAACATCAATATAACTGATATAAGACATAGAAGGCTTTGCCATTAATGCAATTTACAGGTGCTATGGGCTTGACAATATTTTCCCTGCCTTTGTGCGTGATATACTATTTTGTGATGTCCGCTTATGAATGTAAGGTACATTACATCTGGCATTTCCATAACTTTCAAGATATACTATTGAAATTGGATGTGTATTAATGTTCTTGCAATTCGAATGTAGCTTTTGTACTTTCGTTATTTACGAGTCACGGCGTAAAATAGGTAATTTATTCATAAATTATCAATATTTCTGTCTATTTTACAAAAAATAATATTTTTTTATTTCTTGATCACGTAATTAACTTAATACTGTAGAGAAATTGATTATTGAAAGATTAAGTCTTGCAAAGTAATAGAATTAGTGGATAATGATTGAAGAAACATAATAGCATAAATTAGATTTTATATTGTTCAAATAGCATCAACCATCACATATGTACAAAAGTAGTTTCATTATAGCATCATTTATACATTCGTATAACAGCTTATTCTAACATATTTATATCCAAAGTATCCCTCTTGATACTATTAGATTCATATCGACTTCGTATATTTTCAACGTATTATTTACTTTTGTGTAAAGTTGAAATCGGAATATGAATCGCGTTTGATAAAAATTTAAATAATAAATAATGTTTTTCGTTTATTATAACGCACGTTGTTAATTGACAATCCTGAATTGTTCAATTATGAAATCAAAGCGATATGAGCCTACAGAATTTTTCGATATATTCTAATCAGACATAATTTTATTTGTTCATAGTCAAGGTCGGTAAAAAAAACCTTAATATTTAAAGATTTTGAATATTTTACAGATTTTGTTACATTGTTATGTCAATTATACTCACTATCACTGCTCTTTGCATTTGTTTATATTGATCCCACAATAGTGCATTCCTAAATTCAATTGGATTTCATTCGCTTAGTTTGTTTGAACAATGTTAAAATAATTTTTTCTTTAAGAATAGGATCGAAAATAAAGCCGTGGAGATTTATTTAAGTATAAATTGAAACGAGGAATGTATAAAAATAATATATCCAACGTGCATCACTTTCATATAAATGTAGTAGTTAAATATTACATAAAATATCAGTGGGATAATTCAATTAATTATTTTACATCTATAAATAAAAATATAACTATCTGAAATTCAATATTCTTCATAATTTTATACATCATTTTTTAATGCAAATTTGAGAGATTCGATTAAATCATATGCAAAGCTGTACATTTATTTTTACAATAACATTTATAAATATGTACAGAATTGTCTGGGAAGACTAAACCAATCAAATCGCTATATTTACAGTTAGTTCATGAGATTTTGTATAATTTATACAAAAATAAGTTTCTTTACATCATACAATTCTTTATAGTACAATAAATGCGACTTTCACCAATTGCAAAATTGAGAGATTAAGTCAATTAATCAAGTTAAAATATTTTTGTTTAAAGTATACATAAACCCTTGATTTTTATAAATTTTTAACTATGAGTTAGTATTTTCATTATTTAAATATTTCTGTACAATTATTTTCAAATGATTTAATAAGTTGCAATGTGTGTTTGATTGCCTTAATTTTTTGTAATACAATAAGTTTTTGATCCATTTTATATTTCTTTACCTGACGTAAATTTCAAGAAAATAAGTTTTATTCTTGTCATGATGTTGCTGTTGTAAGCAAAGACACTTAAAATTATAAAAATATAAAACAGGTTATTTCAAAATCTCCAGTTGATAACTGCTTTATAATAAAGTTCTTTTCACATATAAAATAAAGATAATATTGTAACATCAATAACTTCAACTTTTTTTCATATTCTACACATTTCTTTAACATAAGTATCATGTCAGTTTGTACAGCACTGGTTTTCTACTTTTTATACAAAAGTGAGACTAAAGCACAGCCTCTAAATCAAAAATATTATCTTAGATAATTCAATTGTTGGTGATAGGTGACTCGATTTAGTTAAGTCTTATTAAACTTGTCACAAAAATGGGTTAATTTATAAATAGAGTGGTTTTCCATTGTTTTTGTTGTAATCGCGCACTCTTTGAATATAACAAATCCAAGATTTTAATATATAACAGGGCATCATATTCAATAAGTCATTACTTTCAATTGATGCAGCACATAAAGTTAAATAGATCATTTCTTTTACTTAATAAAGCTGTTACATAAGCAAAATCTACATTCACATTTTACACAAGATAAAAAATTCTGAAGTTCAGTCTTCTTATCAAATATTGCCAATATTACAGTAAATTACTTACTTCGGAACATTTTTATTTAAATTTTTATTTAACTCTGCATCATTCTCTGTCTCTCTGACTTTGTCACTCTCACTTTTATTTTTCACATTAAGCTCATTGGAACTCGATGAGTTTTTGGCGGTTAATCACGAGCTATTACTAGATGAAGGATGGTTATGAATGTTGACACTAATCTGAGGGATGAGAGGTGAAGGTACAGGTTTGAGTATCGCAGGCTCAGGCATTTGAATGTTGACTGCAGAAGGTACTGGTGAGTATTTTTTACTTCTATCTTGCTGCCAGGGCTTGGCATGATCTTTACTTAATCTCTCACTTAAAGCTTTTAAAGCTATTTGTCTAAAAAGTACATACAAATACTATAAGTAAATGCTAACAACATACTGAAATACAATAAAAATATTTCAATTTTACAAACCTTCTTCTCTCACTATCATGTGGATCTATACCAGGTAAATTTATGACTAGTCCAGGTGGAGCATTAGACATGTCAAATCTCCTAACAACTTTCCTACAAAGACCAATTCTCACAAAGAAACTGTGAAGTGTGTTGCTGACAACAGCGATAGGTGGTTGCATAACATTTGGAAAGAAACTGAAAGTAAAAGTTATATTGAATATTAATTATCTATTCTTTCATTTAATTTCAATAAATGTCAAATTAAAGAAATTCTTTTTGATTATTATCTCAATCATTATGTTACCTTGCAAATGTAAAGTTATCTGCCATGTCTCCTCTAGAACCATTATTATGCCTCTGATAAAATCTAAGGTACATCCATGAAATCAATAGTCCACTAAGAAACATTGTTGGATTTGTGCCTTCTAGTATACCAACGATCCACATTAATAAATAACCAATCCATACCATTAGAGGTATATTTCTATTTGTTATTTTCCCTATTGGTGAATTGATTATAATATGATCCGGCATTACTTGTTTAACAGCAACAATGACACCTTTAAACATCAGTTTTTGTTAATTTGAATTTAACTGCTTTGGATACAAATATATTAAATGTCAAAAAATTTCATAGTTAATAAGTATATTTTATACAGCTTTGTTATAGATAAAATATGACATATTTTGTATAAACAAAGAGTTTAGTGAGTTTACACGAACCTGCAATATATCCTGTAAGTCCATGAATATGTATATCAAAAAGCATGTCTGTATCTCCAGTGCACATGTATATTATTAAGTAATACATAGAGGATAACATTGCAACTCCAAAATTGACAATAGCAAAGAAAGTCATCATCTCCATAGCCCCCCACAGTGGTTCAATAAGTTTTCCACACAAACCTACAGTGATTATATCAACACACACTTCTAAGAAGTGTATTTCTAGGAAGCAAAAAGTAAAAGCCGTCCAGATCCAAAATGCTGGTGGTAGCAAGTAACCCGGAGTGACGCTGAGCACGAGAACTGCATTCTCAGAGAAGGACAGGCAGTAAGAGAAGAGCACGACGATACAAATGAATTTGACACTAGTACTGGTGTTCCCGAGGAGAGCAGAGAACTGTTGGCGTAAATAGGGAATATCCTTGCCGAAGCTTTTCATCGCTGCCATGTCGACCTTATCTGATTCAACCGAGTGTTGTCCAGCTCGACAATTATATCAAAGTAGATAATTTCTTAACCTAACATCATGATAACCTTGACGTTTTGCGCCTGCTTAATACTTGTTCTCTCGTGCCAACAGATATGCTACGTTGGCTGTTCTTTTTAGATGATTTAGTATGGGAGCAAGTGGAAAAAATGTTTTTTATTTTTCCACTTTAACTGCTGCGATTCGTGCTGTCACCTGACGTTCAGGTTTCAACCAACAGTACACTCCAGCTTCTACTACGTGCACAAGTCGCGTCACAAGTGCACTTTGGCTACTTTGCACCCCCCTTACCCTAGCCTGCAAAGTGTAATGGATAGTGAAAAAAAAATACCATTCAAAATATCTCTAATTGAACCCTCCAAAATTGCTCATTATTTTAATTGAATCCCTTCAGTTGTCCCAAAAAAAATTAAACACTATGATAAATTTTTCGTTTTTTGCAACTGCGATATCTTTATTAATACTTAATATTTTTGCAAAGAAACAAGGCAAAAAAATTGAACTATTGTTCGTTTTAATTGCACCCCTCTTACTTTTTCAAAATTATTAATATATATGTCAAAAACAACAATTTAATTTTATTGTATGTTCTTTCCAAACAACCCAATAACCCATCTATTTGGAAAGAACATACAATAAAATTAGATTGTTGTTTTTGACATATATATTAGTAATTTTGAAAAAGTAAGAGGGGTGCAATTAAAACGAACAATAGTTCAATTTTTTTGCCTTGTTACTTTGCAAAAATATTAAGTATTAATAAAGATATCGCAGTTGCAGAAAACGAAAAATTTATTATAGTTTTTAATTTTTTTTGGGACAACTGAAGATTCAATTAAAATAATGAGCATTTTTGGACGGTTCAATTAGAGATATTTCGAATGGTATTTTTTTTTTCACACACACACGATTTGACCCAACAGTGTAATATGTATGAATATCAGTAATAGAGTGTAGCGTAAATAATTATGTATATATTGTGTAAATTATAGTAAACTACAATATATGTACAAACGTTGATGGTGTAGAATGCTGCGACATCTGCTGGCACGAAATAGAAATAAATACGAACGCGTTGCTTTGAAGATCGAAAGAGTGGGAGGGCAAGAGCGTGGCATTTAATTGCAGATAGCTGTGCCTCCGCCCCCACATCCTTGTCTCCACCGATAAACAAAAATCTCTTATTCGTAGATTAATGCGCGTGTATGCATATTAAAAGTGACTAATTACGAGGAAGTTATGTACCCATGGTGTGTTGAAAAGATAGGCACAGGACGCCTTTAAGACGACGATATGTGTGCGTTTTTTTGCACCGGATAGCCATTGCCCTTTTCACAGAGATCACGTATGTACGTATAGTACTTGAGGAAGAGACAGTAAGAGAGGAGCTTGGATTTTCACTGTGTCGTGTAGACATGCTTCTTCTGTGCTGTTGTATAGTTGCTGTGAATGCTGAGTGGTAAGTGTTATAAAACTGTGAAATAGATTTTATTTTGTTTAAGAGCATCTGTTAAAAGCATGTATACAAAATGCTTAAGAGGTGTTGGTGGTTTTAGTTGTGATTGTGATAAGTCAACCTTTATAGATTGTCTTGTCATAGACAATTTATTACTATAAAAACAAAACTTATTAAATTTTTAATGGTTTATTGACAACTTTTGTTAACTTTTAATTATATGAATTGTATTGATATCTTGTGCTGATTTTTTTTGAGTTTTCTCTGAAGTATTTTAATATGTTATATCACTTGTTTCTTCAGCAAGATTTTATTATGAGATATAAATTTTAATTAAAATAATGTTAAGATTTAGCTATTATTACATGTTTACTTTGAATTGCTATTGTGTACATATCCAATAACCTAAACTTATTACTTCAAATTTTGTTGATATCGAGGGTAAAATTTGAAATAAATGCTTTTTACTGATTATTGGCTACATGACTGATGTGTTTGATTCAAGATTTAATTAATAACAGATTTGTTTATTTGTTTAAAGAAATACTGGCATGATGGACTAGTAACCAGCTTAGTTTTGATCACTGAAAAATGGTTTTAAGCCGAAATGACAAGAGGAAAAGGAAAGAAGGAGATCTTGTGGATCTCATGGATCCACTTGCTGAACCTCCAAAAAAGTAAGTTATCTTACTGTCAAGAGTTAATTTAGTTATTCTGATAATTAATCAAATTGTTTTTATTTTAGAACTAAAGTACAAGCACAAAGAAAATTTGCTCAAGGTGCTGTCACTCCAACATACAGTCCTGTAACTACTCCAGTAAAGGAGAAGGAAAAAGTCAAGCCTGTAGTATTCACAGAGTTAATTACGCACAAACGGCCAAACACAGAAGACTTTTTGACATTTTTATGTTTTCGAGGTAAATTTATATATTTTCTTATACTACTTTCAAATTATATTGATTAATAATATAATTATTGAATTTGATGTCATGAAATAGTAAGATAACATTTAGTATCAGAAAATGTGTTTGTTTTTTTCAGGTACATCAACACTACCTTCAAACCTTAATTTTTTTAGCACAAGTCCCAAAAAAGTCAAAGCCAATCATGGAGCTAAATCAACAATATCCAAAGCAAATGGCGTGTGTGGTAAAACATCCCAGAATAAAAATGATAATCAATTTGCAGCAACTCAAAAACAAGCCAAGGAAAAGTCAGTTAGCTCTTCCAAAAAGCAACAAACAGAGCCAAAGGTACTCAAACTTAAGACCACAAATCCAGCAATTCAGGCGCTCAAGAAAAAGTACCAGGAGCAAAGACTAGCCAGAGAGAATAAACTGAAGAAAAAATTTAAACCGACAAACATTAAAACTCGTTCGTGTCCCGAGCTTTTACCACCTGAAAAATCTGTGGTAGTATCTAAAGCGGCGAAGAAAATCACACCAGTTATTGATAGTAGACGACGTGGGTTGAGAAGCACAGGTTTACTAGAAAGCGAGAAAAAAAGTTTACCAATGAGGCCCTTAAAGAAACAATTACCTGCAAAATTGAAGAAAAAAAAACTGGCAAAAGAGGAGTCGTCGAGTGTCGACTCGTTCCCTGTGAAAAAAAAACCGCAACCGAAAGTATTAACCAACAAACTTATGCATAAGAAACTAGTCGAGAAGAGCAAAAAAACTCTTCAGACTCGTCGTGTTACGCGTTCTCGTATAGATAATTCGCCTCAAACACCAGCGAGGAGACCTACCAGGAAGACTAAAGAGGCTGCAGCCGTGTACATGGAAATCCTGGGTAGAAAGCTTGTTACTCCAGATCTCGAAAACGACGATAACATGTCTCTTGATAGTTTTCCGGAGCTTCCTAATGCTAGAAAAATCGCGCAAACGGAGAATAAAATTAAGGCTCAAGCCAAATCGCTCAAAAACGGTTCTCAGGCTAAGGAAAAAGACAAGGAGAAAAAAGCGATGAGTAATATTAGGTATGAAAGAATTTTTTAGAGGCTCATTTGCAATGTTGTTGTTTTGATTCATGGACTTTTTCTAAACGTAATTTTATATAAAAAATCCATGATTCAAAAAACAAAGTTACCAATAAGTACAAGTAAGATTTTATTTCATAATACAATGTTTATTTTTGTTTTGTGATAACAGTGCCAAAGTAATTAAAAAGAAAGTCATCAGAGCAGTTCCTGTGTTGAAGAGTAAACGACCTGTCAAAGTGCAGAAATACACAGAATTGGATACTGACGAAGAATCGATAAGTTCCGAGGACACGGAAGAAATAGTCAAAAAGATTCCCGTAGTCAAGAGGCGATCGTTTGTCAAAGACCAAAAGCCTGAAAATCGCAAATTGAGATCTACTCGAAGTCTTGTCGATAAATTGCCAAGTCCAAAAAAAAGTATTACAAAGTTGAACGATGTTCAATTAAATACGGCTGCTAACGAAGTGACGAAAGCAGTGAAAAGTTTGGAATCAATGACCACCACCAAGGCGAACAAAGAAGCTGCTGCTACGAAGGATTTGCCAAAAGAAACTTTAAAAGAAAAGACCGCTCCCGTTGCAAAACGTAAACGTGATTTGTTGCAGGCACTGAAGGAAAAGGATACCCCGTTAAAAGCTTCGAAACTCGAGATGTCAAAAAACAAATCGACTAGCGAACCTATCGTTGATGAAGATACAATAAACTTGCAGAAATCCAAGAAAAAAAAGGATAACGAGAAAGACGAAATAGCAATATCACCGAAACCAAAACCCACCATCGTCGAAACACTGAAAATACAAGAACCAACAAAAACATCTGACGACGAGGAATCATTTCGTGGTTTTGCTAAACGACCAATTCTCGACGACATCCTCGACTGTAAGGCAAACGTGCTTAAGTCTAGTGGTGGCATTTATCCATGCATTAAGAGCGATGCTATCGCTGCTGTCAAGTTGGAGCCTGACTTTGGCGAACTTAAGGTATGACCGATGTACCCTACCAAAACGAGTGAGAAACAAAACACACACTAGTCGTTCCATGTTTTATGTCTTTTCTTTACCATTTATTTTTTTGTTTCATTATTTTTTCTTGTAATTATTAAGAGATAATTACATTTCTTTTTCTCTTGAAAGACGATTGTCAAATTTATAATGCGTATAAGGATGGATGTGTTTTTTATTTTAGTAATAAAATTTACTACGATACTTGTTTTATAATTTGGATTACCTTTAATTTGTGTTTCTCTTATTTATATCTCTTGTTCTTTTGTTGTTTCTTATCCCTCTTTTTAGATGCTTTTTCTTTTTTGTTATAATTTGGTAGTTTTTGCATGCTGTTTGACCATAAAATGGTGTAATTACATGTTTTTTAATATTCGAAATTGCTTATGGAATATTTGACTTTGCATATTTTGGAATAATTTAATTACTTAGTTGAAATTAATCCAAACAAGTTTGTTTTCCTTATCTAAAAATTTCATCATTTGAAACCATTTTGATCGACCTTCATTCGATAACTAAGAATAAACTTTTAAATAAAACACGGTATACTAAAACTTAAAAACAAAAATGAAAACGTAAAACAGAAAGAAAAAAAAACAATATACAGAAAAGAAATGAAGAAAAAGAAACGGTCAATAATTTTTATATGTATTGATAAAAAAAATTGAACATTTGAATTTCAAACAAATCGTGGAGTATAACATTATATATTCCAAAGAAGCTACTTTACAAAATCGCAAACTCCGCGGTCATTTTCTTGTAAAGTACTGCGATGAAGAATCACATTAATATAAGAAAAATCTTCAGTATTTCATGAGTAAAACATTACCACCTGTAGTTGTCCTTAGTAAGTATCATTGTTTTCCTACGTAAATCCCACATGCCCATTGGTATGTACGTTTTGCAAACACATCCGAATAAAAAGAAAATAAGGCCGTCAAATACAAAAAAGCATCCTCCCAAAAGGTATCGTCGACGACATCCTCGATGCACAACATAATCGACATTCCACGTGGTCTGAATCATCACGGACGCAAAGAGCGAGTAAACATGTCAACAGAGCAAATAGAAAAGTGGCTGAGCGAGAGTTCGCTAGCGAAAGAAGAGAGTAAGGTCGAGATGGACAAGTACATCCCGCCGCCGCCGCCACCAAGTCACGGTCACTTGTCGATATCACCGAAAATCCAACACCTCGTCAGACCTGTTAACGTCACTCTGTCGAAGCTGTCGGACAGGATGAAGAATCGCCTGCCAATGCCGATGGTCACGAAACTGCCAACTGTGTTCCTGACCAAGCCGAAGGACAAGGAAGCCGAAAAAGAAGTGACGAAAGAGAAGGAGAAGGAACCGCCAGCCAAGGAAAGAGAGAAAAGAGCCGAGGAGAAGAAAGACGAAGCCAGCGCTGGTCTAACGAGGAAACTCAGCAAGGACTCGTCTTTTGGCGACGACACCGGTGAGTTTCCCATTGGCGAATGGCGCCACGATCAAAAGACTCACTCTGTTTATTGTGCAGCGGACAGCGACGCGGTGTCGAAGTCAGATGCAACCTCCGTGTGCGACTCGACGGAGAAAAAGTCGCTGGCCAGTAGCAGTTCGCCGGAGAAGAATCGTGTTTTTTTTCACCAGGGCCGAAACAAGGTGCCCTTTCTGCCGAAAGTACGAGACCGCGGCAAGCCGCCCGCGAGCGCTCCCAACAACGCCTCGGCGTTCTCGCCCGAGAACGAAAGCAGCGTGTACGCCTTTGAAAGCGAGGCGGAGACGCCTGTGAGCACACCGTTCTTTCGTCGGAAGGCGCGCGACAGCGGCCAGAGGCACGATGCAGGTGAGCCTTCGTCGTCAGGTGAGCGAACGCGAGGACGCCTCATTCATACGTCACATTTTACAGGAGCTACTGAAAGTAAGGACAAGGTCAATAAGGAAACGAACGAAGCGAGTGAGAAGGAGCCCCAATCAACAGGGCATTTAAACTCGCCGGTGGAAGCTCGGAAAGACGAAGAACAACAACAAGCACAAAAGTCACCTCCGCTGTCGGAAAGAACCGCAACCCCGAAGAGCTTCGAGCTTCCGAAAAGTTTCGCAGACTTGACAAACGTGCAGGTGTTACCACTAGACAAATTAACAACAAGCTGGAGCAACGTCAATTACAGCGCCTCAATAGCCGTTCAAATCAATCTGGACGAGCAAAAGCAGCAGCAGCAGCAGCATCAGCAGCAGCAGAAACAAGAACAGACGGCTCAGCAGCAAGAAGGCACAGCGGAGGTAGAGCCTAGTGCGAGTCACAAGAGTACCGAGATATCGACGCAAACGGACACCAACGCGGACAACGACGACGACGACAATGGGCAATTGTTTTACATACCATTACAAGCCGTCACGAGGAATACCTCGGCTCAGGGTGGTCAGCAACTCATTCAAGGCGTGGCCGTTAAATTGGGCACTGAAGGACCCACTGGGCCAAATCAGAGAGTACTTTTGAAGGCTAAGTTGGTGACCAAGCCACCGATTTCTGTGGCGAGGTGTCCGCCTATCGGTACTGTACAACCGACAGCGAGGACACCGCAGAATGCTGAACAGCCCGATGGACCGTCGACTTCGAATGTTAATGTTGCAGTGGTGGGTTTGAAAGCGGTGCAAAAGTTGGACAAAGAGACGAAGACTGTTACGAGCATTGGTAGTAAACAGATTGTGAGTACTAATTTTCATCACAAGGTTTAACAGTCGATATTGTTCAACCGAAACTGTGCCTGAATAGGTTATTGTTATGTTAAGAATAAATAATTTAATCATGGCTTTATGAACAATCAGATAGAATCTTTTATCTAATTAAATTAAAAATAATCGTGAATATAAATTAAATAATTCCACTTATTCCGCTTCAAATAATTTTGCTATGAAAAATAAATTTAACAGTTCGGACTATTGTTGAGAATTTAATCAAATGCTTTGATTATTATTTGATCGAATTAATCGTCACAAAAGTAACTATGGTGAAACATTTTTGCAAAGCTTAAGCATAACGTTAATCTTAAAAATCATGATTATTAAAAAAAAAGCAATTTTGAATTTTAAAAGAATAATAGTTAGTCAACTTGCCGCTAGATGTCGTACGCCCTTCGCTTTCTAGAATTCACATTCATTCTATCTCGCAAGCGGCTGAGTTTCTCGGCAATTCATATATAAGAGCAGCAACTTTCTTAGTAAAATTGTGTTGTATGAAAGGAGAGAAGTTTAGCACTCCCCTAGACAAGGATGGAAACACAAATACCGTAAGGCACCGTCGCTTGCGACACTTACGAACATTTTTTTGCAATATTGTGCAAATAAAAAATAATCAATTAGTTAGTCACGCATAATTTTCTAAAAATTTATTTTTATTTTACATGCAAAATTATTTAAAAACTGTAATACTAACAATCAACTTAATTTTATCATTTATTAATCATTTAACAATAATCATAAAAATTATCGCAGCATAAAACGTCGGGTACCGAAAAGCACGTCAAATCTCTAAAAACCAAAGAAAGACGAGCATCCGTTGACAATGTGAAATCAAGCAAAAAATCACAGCCGAAGAAACCAATTGAAGTCGTATTGCCCACTAACAATACGATATTCCCGAAAACTAAAGAATTAAATGAAGAAGCTCGCCTGGTTGATGCCCCGATATTTCGACCAACGGAGAAAGAATTTCAAGACCCTTTGGAGTACATCGACAAAATTCGACCGATCGCTGAGAAATTTGGCATTTGCAAGGTTGTCCCACCTTCTAATTTCAAGGTGGGTTATTGTTCTGATGTTATGTCGTTATGGTTCTGTTCGATGGATTTTTATTGTACAATTATTAAAAAAAAATTTCTTATTACAGCCGGAATGCAAAGTATCCGACGACATGCGTTTCACTGCCTACAATCACTACGTGCACCGAATGTTAAATCGTTGGGGTCCCAACGTCAAAGAGCTCATGGCTATAAAGAAATATTTAGCCACGCAGAGTATAAGTTTAACTCAACCACCTTGGATCGGTGGTATGGAAGTAGACCTACCTCACTTGTATCAAATCGTACAAAATCTTGGAGGATTAAAAGAAGTTATCGAGAAAAAGAAATGGCAAAAAGTCGCGGATGGTATGAAAATACCAAGATCGGCTCAAGATCGCGTTACTAAGTTAGATGATATTTATTGCAAATATTTACTTCCTTATGATACTCTGTCGCAAGGTAAGACACATTGTTGTTGATTTATAAGGATTTCTTTTAAGTGGACGATTGATGAATTTTTAGACGAAAGAGATAAGCTTTTCAAAGACGTAGAAACTGACTGGGCAAAACGAGAAAAAAGAGACAGGCAGGATTCTCAATCGACTGACACTGAAGACGACGAGGAAGAGGACAATACCGAAGAGATTGAGGAGTGTATTGTAAAAGTATGTAATTTTAAAAACGTCAAAGCTGTACTTATATTTTCAACACACTCTTAATCATAAAACTGTTATCTCCAACAGGGCCGCAATATGCCACTGAACGCATTTTACAGAATCGCACGTAACACTCAACGCATGTGGTTCGGTGACAATCAGCGCAACGAGATTGAGGGTGCTTCGGCCGATGAGGTAGAGGTGGCATTTTGGAAGCATGTAGTCGAGAAAAAACGTCACGTGTGCGTACATGCCGCCAGCATCGATTCAGGTGGACGAGGTTTTGGATTTTCCGTAGCTAAAAATAGCCCATTCGCACGACATCCTTGGAATTTGAAGATTCTTACGAATAATGCTGGTTCGGTGCTTCGAGCACTTGGCCCGCAGATGGGTAAGTTACTATTTTGTTCTACGATCCTTCTAGAATTTTGCGATAATATATGAAATTGTTTGCAGGTGTAACAGTACCAACCCTTCACGTAGGAATGTTGTTTAGTGCATGTTGTTGGTATCGTGATCCACACGGGTTACCTTGGATCGAGTATTTACACACAGGTGCTAAGAAAATCTGGTATGGTATACCAGACGAACAAAACAATACTTTCCGCAAAGCCTTTACTAAAATGTTTCCACGCTACTGTAAGAACAAAACCATTTGGTTACCTTCCGATACAGCTATGGTACCACCTGATATGTTGGTTGCTAATGGTGTACCGCTGTGTCAAACGATACAAGAGCCTGGACAGTTTATCGTTGTGTTCCCAAAAGCTTTTACTTCTAGCATTTGCACTGGCTATGTGGTATCCGAAAGCGTCTATTTCGCGCAGTCATCATGGCTTGAAGCTGCCGAACAAGTTTTTCGGGTAGGATTATTGATGATCTTGAAAGACATTTTGTTTGAAAATTTTCTGTTACAAAATTGTTTGTTTAATTTTTTAGGATATACATGATAGCTGTGAGCCTTCAATATTTTCATTTGAAAGACTGTTATTTAGCATAATCAATGATTCTAGATCTCATATTGATGTACTTAAACAGGTATGTTGATCATTCTAAGATTTCTCAATCGAAAAAAAAGAAACAATTTAGTTGAATGTATATGGTTTATTTAATTTTGGTTTTACAGATTTTACCAACTGTTATTAAAGTTTGTAATAAAGAAATAGAAAATCGCAAAAAATTGAAAGAACTGGGTCTCGTGAATACAGAAAAACTGTCACTACCAGAGAATGAGAAGAAGGGAAAGAATAAAAAGGTCGTGGAAGATGAAGGTGATTACGAATGTGATACATGTCGAGCAAATTTATTTGTATCTTTAGTAAGCAACCCCACGGATGAGAGTATCTTTTGCCTAACTCATGGTATTCACTATGTAGAGAAGAAGAAGCAAGTTGTAAAGAATTGCACGCTTATGTATACGTACAGTGAGGTACGTTTATTAACACTTTACATATTTATAATCGTTACTTTCAACATACTCATTCTTCTTTTCTGTTTTAGAGCGAATTAAACGATCTTATTCACAAACTAAAGAACAGGATCGAAGCCAAATCTAAGAAGACTAATCAAACAAAACATGCTAAATAGATGAACGTGAATTATTTATTTAAATAGATGACGATATTTATAAATTCGTTTATATCAGAATGTGTTTCTAGAATATTTCTACAGGAAAACTGTACGCTTTTCAAAAGAGATTATTTATTAGGATTTTTGACAGTCATTTAAAGGTAGCTGACAATTTTTAATGTCGCAGTGATAAAAAAAGTAAACTAAACTAGAATTGTTAACAGAAAGGGGAAAAATATTATCAGTTTTAGGGAAAAGACTTTTAAGACAAGCGCATTTTACTTGTCTTTCAAAATATAGTCGTTCTATATGTATGTATTAGTCAATTTTATAGTAAGCTTTCTTGAGTACTTTAATAAATAAAATAATGTTACACACTGTCTAATAGTTGTGTGAATCGAAAACTTTGAATGTCATCACTGCCGCTTTATTAAATAGATTGCTAAAACGAAAATGTCTTATTCCAAATGTATTCGTGGAAATGTTTTATTTGTTCATTTATTTAAAAAATGAAGTGTATTACTAGTGAGATAACTACTTATTTTTTAAGTTTTGTAGGCAATTATTATCATTATGATACATAATAACGAAACATCACATTTTTTTATACTGAATTTTTATTTGTATATTTCGTAGAGTGAATTTCTTGTAATTAGAAACATGTTTCGATGCGCACATTAAATATACATTTTATATATATATGCATGATTTTTTTTATACAAAATGTTTGTATTTTGCCAAGCGAACGATAATAGCCAAATTTATAAATATGATTTTTTATGTAGTTTTTTCATTGTTCTGGATTGCGTAATCTTTTTAAAGTTGTACTTCAATAAAATGATTTATGATTAATAGATTATCATTATTTCAATAATTTTTTTCGATCCTGTGCCTTTACAATGTATGGCAAGCTCAACGTATTTTGATTTCTCGCGTAATTTTTTTACTTTCAAATACTATTTCTCGATATCAAGCATGTAATAGTTAAATAAATTAATTTTTTACTTAAAAGAAGTTATCTAGTCCATATATGAGATATTTGCAATTTTTTTCGAATAAAAAAATATGTATTTATCTGTATAATATTATGTTAAAAGATGGTCCATTCGACAAAAGGATCATTTGTTTGTACATAAAACTCAAGCATTTCACTTTTACAATAGGAATAACAATGAACTGATGTTAATTTCACATATTACTAAGTCGATTATGCAAAATAGTCATCACAGACAACTTATGAACAGAATAAGAACTTTTTTAAAAAAGAAACAAACATTCAGAAGTCTAGACTCTATTCTTAAATCTAATAAATACAGTATGTTTCATTAACTTACAATGAAAATCATCAAAGCATTATCATTTTTTCATAAAGATGTAAATGTGATCACATTTTTGTACGTCGAGGATGTATTTATTTTCAGTATGGCATCGTCAATACACTAGATTAAGGAAATGTTAAAAATTATTTTCAACTTTGGTAAGACAAACGTGTTGAAATGTCTACGTAAAAATTGTAGAAACACTATGGAATAATGACACAATGAACTCAATAATAATCATTGGTAATGGACTGGCATTTACAAGTGACTATGAATAATGCTTTCCACTGGATTAAACAGCGTTCAATACACAACTAAATCTCTTAACATCTAGTGACTAAACCAATTGATTATTAATTAATTTTCGTATGAGCTTTTAAAGTAATCTCTTACTTATTATGCATTGAAATTATTACACATTTAATAAAATGCAAGTCGTAAGATTGAAACGATAGAAAAATCTAGTCATCATTTGTGCTATAAACAAAAAATTAAACAAAATATAAACATTTTCATTCTCTTCTCTGGATGATATCAGACAGCAGCTGCTTTGAATTTTCCTTCGTGAATTGATCCTCTTCCTCATCAGAGCTAAAATTGGCATTTAGCAAATTAGTGAGGGAACTCGATTTCTGCATAATCAGTGGAAAATTAGTATCATTAGTATCTTGAGACTTTAAACAGGTTGTCGTCAATGAATTTGATTGCAACTCCAATTCTTTGCAGGATTCTTTTTTGTTTATCATTATCTTATGAACTACATGTAGAGTTATTCCACCAAGGCACATGAGTAAGCCCACAAAATTAAGGCCACTAATTTTATCTCCTCTGTATTCATATGCTATGACCACAATACTTATTTCCTAAAACAATTAATAATATTAAAATCAAAATTAGCTTAAATAGTATCAAACATATTAGATTTTGATATGATTTTTATTTACTTTGAATATTCCAGCTATAGATAATGTAAGACTAGAAGTATAAGTAACAACCAAAAATTCCATAACTTCCATCATAAACGCCAACAAGCCTCCACTTAAAACATAAGTTACAGTGACTATAAGCGTAGAATCATTCCAGTCATATTTCTGAAGAGCTTTGTACACTTCTGAACTCTCCATTGCCACAGCTACAGGAAATATTGATAGAAGCATCCATGGTTGCATGTAGTACATCATATCGATTGGATTTCTCAATCCAATTTTAGACTTTTGCATTATCATTTGTGCCATTGTCCAGCGTACTCCACTCGTTAGAGATGCAAGGAGACATAATATGAAACCTATCAAGTTAAAATCCACAGATTCATATGTAAACATTATTAATCCACAAGAGATCATAGATACTATTCCAGCAAGAAGCCATGACTAAAACAATAAATTAATAAATTAATAAATCCCTTCACAAACTAAATTTGTTTTCATTTTTTTATCCAAGTTCTATAAAATAATTCACCTTTTTTTCTAACCCAAAAAGAAGAGCAAAGCCAAGGATAAAAATAATGGTTGTAGATTTGGTCATAGTATACCTGAAAAAAAGAGATATTTTAATGCTCTATATCCGTTTCGATGGAATGTTTATACTTACAAAGACATTGTGACAAGTGACATGCCCCAATTTGAAAATCCAATGTCCAAACCACTTGCAATGCCTGGTAAGCTCAATGTCCAGACTATTGTTTGACATGATAATCGACAAACTTGTTGATGTTTGGAACATTTTCTCAGAGATCTTATCAAACCAGCTAAGATAAACTTCAAAACTAAGTGAACACATATCACTGACAATGGGTAATTAAATTTCTGAAATGAATTCATAAATTTTACTTCAAGCTTGTGGAATAAGAATAGTAGCGACAAATTAATAACTTACATAAGTTCCATACAACCATTTTTGATAAAAGGTAAGTCCAATAGACAGTACAAAATATACAGCAATAAGAGTAATGGTCTGCATCAACTTATTCCAAAAAAGGGTTTTTCTGGTAGCTGGCTGATGCTCCGGTGCATGTTGAATAAAGTAGTCATAAGTCTCTTCGTCATCTTCGGCGAGTTCATATTTAATATTTGATCTTGGCATATTTTTGTCAAGGCAATATCTATTGAAATTAGAGTTTCTTTGAGAAATTTATATGAATAAGCCTGACTTAAAAGTGCTTACCACTTTTAGTCCATTTAAATAATGTGGGAGGATATTGTTTAATAGAGGTTTGCATAGATGAAGTGTACTATTGTTACTTTATCACCTGGAAAACCAGTGCAACATCCAAGTGTATGTCATAGTTGCTCCTAACTGAAATAGCAAAAGCAGTCTATGAATATTCATGCATATTGTATACTATGTTCTTGTAGTCACCAACAATAATCAATTTTAATTTTACAAAAAAGCAAATAGACATTTCTCGCTGTATAGGATAATCAATTCCAATTCGTTTCACCTTTCATGAAAATATTAATTGAAACAAAAAACATCTGTATAGTAGAGTAAAAAGAATCATGTAGAACATATGCCATTATTAACTGAAAAATGAGATAAGCTAGGAGCACAAATTGATAACGCAAAATTGAAATGACAAGCACGTTTCACGCCAACAGACTTCTTTTCTTGCACTTCACAAAAAGCAAGAGATAATTCTGTATACAATTTTAAACACCTTCACGTGAACAATATTACGGCAAGCCATAGACTGTTTTTTGATTGATGAGAAATCCGATCACTTAGGAATGGTAAATATAACCTCAAATCTATGTCCATCGTCCTTCTAATACTTACATCACCTTATGGGAATATCTTTAAAGGAAAATCCAGGCAGAGAATTGTTTGAAATTGCCAGCAGACAACTTGAGCCGGCTAATGTCATCGATTCTCTGTCTTACTTGGAAACAGCACGACAGCTGTGCCTGTGCTGCTGCTGGCTGGCGCTGAACGCCGCGCGCGTGGCACACTGTAGCTTTAGTCGGAACGTTGAATGAGATGCGCAGCGCATCTAAATTATTAAACTCACTTGCGTGGGTGTGTAAGGTGGGCAGGATTCTGTGAGGCCGGTTTTCATAAACGATGTATCTTAGATTGGGAGCATCATTGATTTCTTCTAACGAATTTTTTAATATCTCTTTTTTTGGATCTTTAAAAATGTAGGATTTGATAGTCATTATAAATTATTGAAAAAGAAAGAAAACACTTGAGTTTATACGAAAAATTGTTGTCTAATTGTATGACGAGTATATTTTACATGTCGTTAGATACTATTTATATACATTTACAATACAGCTTGATCAGGATTTTTTTCATCGGAATCGGATACTTTTTTCCTTCGTTACGTTCAATGCAGTTTGAGTGCGATAAAAAAAAAACATCAATTTTTTTGCTTACTAACTATACAAAACGATAATAAATAGTTTCATTTTCTATGTCAGTCAAGGAAGCAATTAAAAAAAACTGTTGAGAGTCGAATTATATTTGCTGAAGGAAATTCGAATATATAGTTCAGACCTAATTTAAAAAATGCTTGTCTAAATAGATGACTCATTTAAATTATATTATCTTTTTTGTCGTACGTGACTTACGCAGTTAATTTCATTTTGCTAGATAACACGTTTTTTTATTATTACCTGAAAAAAAAATTATCGCGACTTACTAAAATCACCGTCCTTCTGTCGCAGGAATCAGACACGCAATATTGTAAGATGCTCATCTGTGTAACTTGTGATCGGGCATATAATTCGTAGTAATCAGCATTTGTGAATAAATATCAAATAATTTGAGAACTTTTGAACAAGCGTTTTGTACAAACGAAAGAAAAATCTTACCTTGCAAAGACAATAGCATAGGTAATCGCGATTAAACTCAACTTGTCACTTCACACAATGACGCACATCGTTTTATTGTTTTGTTTATATTCACTTGTAATAATCAGTGTTTCTCACACGCGGCAACACAGAGTGACCGGTAAAAACTGTTATCTGCGTTCGGAACGCGAACCGTTTCTGTTGTAGCTGCCACGACCACGAGATCCGCTTTTTGCTGTTTTGCCACCACTACTCGTTGTTGCTACTGCTGGTGCCGCTGACGATGACGCGCTGCTCGTTGATGTCGAAGAATTACCTGCAGAGCCCTGCAACGAAGATGCGATTATTATTGTTTCCATAAATAGCGGCGTTTTTTTTTAATCCATGATAATTGAGCTGCACCGACCCGACTCACTGATGATTTATTCTCAATTATTTTTTCCCTCTCTTCGAGTACATAATCACACGCGCGTTATGTCAACAATGGTTTTACGATTCGAATGCACCGAGTTTTGCGGCCTCGCGTTAAAAGCTTTTACCATCGTAAACGCACAATTTTACGAGCGTCAACAATACTCATTTTGCAATTGAGTTTGAAAATTGTTTGTTCGTTTTCTAATGATTTACAGCTTACTATTATTTTAACTGCGATTTCTTTGTACTTGAACGCATGTGACACTATCTCACTACAGCAATTATTTTTGGAGTAGAACGAATCTGGTTCTGCCGGGCTCGGCATTCCTTTTGTATTGAATTTTTATTTTTCATTCGACAAAAACGTTTGTTCAAAGACAACTGTTAGAATGAATTTTTCAATGTGTAAAAACTAACATACTTTTTTAATTCCAATGGTTATTATTCTTACTGCATAGGTTCAATTGCGTACCTACGCGTGGTAAAGCTTAAAACAAAAATAATAATAATCTCACCTGCGACGAAGTATTTCCACCATTGCCACCTTTGCTCGAGGATGCCAAAGTATTGGCAGTCGAGGATGTTGAGGCTGATGCTGCGCTATTTTGCGTCGTCTGTGTAACAAGAGGAATAAGAAAAAACAATGAGTGCTTGAGAACTCAACGGCGTTCATGCGTATAGAGTTCTACTTTAGTTAGATCACAATTTATGAATAACGTATACTTATTTTTTTATATGCTGTATATTATATATACAGCTCGTGTTTGGAGTAGTATAGTTAGATGACAGAAAATAATCTTCAATTCAAGAGATATTGGCATTTGTAAATTTATTTGTATGTATTTATGGTGAGTGCTCACTATTTTCATTAACATAAAATATTCAGCAAGTGACCCAAACTTCAAAAATACAAAAATTAAATAACAAATGTCAAAACCAATTTCCATATCAGTAAAGAGGTAACTAAAGAGAATGGTGCTAAAAAAATATTAGAAAAAAAATTAAATAGAAAAGCCCCTTTATTTTACCCTAAGATTTCTTACTGGTGGTCCACTCTTGTCATTGCCATTGTTTGAAGCATTATTGTTGCCAGATGAACCACGATTACTTATCTCAATAGCAAGAGATGGGTTAGGCTCGCTCATGTTCAATTGCTCATTGAAAACCATGCAGAAATCACCAATTTTCTGAATGTCTCCATTTTTACCAGAATACAAAGTGAGGCATTGTCTCCAGATTGAAGCATAACCTTTGCTTAGTCTCACTATGTCTCCAGGTTGTAAAAGTGTACCAGGTTCATCCCAAATTGATACGTTAATACATGCTGTGCTGTCGGCAACTGAAATTATACATAATGTAGATATATGTCTTATTTTATTTATCAGGTCATAGTTAAAACATCAATGACAGCAAGTATACGTAAACATATCAACAAATGTTTCAAAAATAATCTTTATAATCACTTAATCTCGAGAGTAGAATAAGTACACACGTTTATATCGAAACATTAAACTCTAAATAAATGCACATGTCTGACTAGCTATCAATGATTAAGAGAAAAAACCTTCATTAACCGACCTTTGAATGTTCGAACTTCGCGGTTGTCTTTGGTGATGGTAGGATGACTGATCTCAAGAATGATGAACACCACGTTGATGTTTTTCTGTCCGGGGCGTATGTCCTTAATTAGCGTATACTCCATCACTCTAAAATTTTTTTACTTAGCTATTCGTTATATTCGTCGTCTTTATATCACCAACTTTGATTAACCTACACTACTTAACTCACTGTGAACGCGCGCACACTACCATTTAGGAAATCTCGTCATAGATAAAATGTTATGAGCAGACAATTTTCGTTTGTTCATAAACAATTTCGAGATTCTTATCAATACTACCAATTAGTTCGAAAGCTCATCAATACGCTAATATCTAACGTAAACTTATAATTGGTTAGCGTAGGACCACTTAAGGACGTTCCACTTACTGTTGGCAATTGACCATACCACATATAAAGTGGCGGCCATCTTTTGCCGGCTTCGTAATTTTTATGCTCTGTCATTTTCACTTTTTCCTCCACACGTCGCTCCAGTCGAGCTTTTAATAAGATTAATAATGAATAACATCATTTTAAGAGGATATATTAAAAAGGATTAGTAAAAATTGGTAATGTAAATGAAAAATAAAAAAATGTCATATTTGTAATTTTTAAAAGGTTTTAATACGCATTGTGCATATATTAGATAAATACAATAGATATAAAACTTTCTCGCATTTTGTCGTTACGATAATATAGTAATATATATTATAATATCGACGTATAAATATTATTACATTTAATTCAGGCATATCAAAAACGAGATTCTAGCGTCGAGCAATATCGTGTATACATTGCCATCGAGCTTTTTTTACGTTAGTGTATTTTAGTTTTAGTTAAAATAAATTAGTTTAACGGCAGAGACGCACAAAACTGTATGTCAAATGTTTCGTCGTGATTTACACAATCTGTTTTTCATTTTTGATAAATCAACGTTATTGATTCTATAAGGATTCATCCAGATTATCGATATTCGCCGATTGTCTACATTCATCGAAATAGCTTTTTGATCGATCAATTTGTTCTTTAATTAGACTACGAATTTTAGTTCGACAAAGGCAATTCTTCATTCTTTTAAATTCAGTCTGGCAAAAAAGTAATATACTGTCAAATATTTGTTTTCAAAATATGTCCTCCTTTAATTACTACAGGAAAAATACATTTTTGTATTGTACCTGCTTATTTACACACCAACATCGGCGGATCTTGCTTGAGAGATTATATTTTGTTTTCTATTTTGTTACTGAAAAAGCAATTTTATCTTCACGAGGACTTTGGATATTTAATTATATTATAGAGGTCCTAATCTATATGAATGTTATTTAACCAATTCTATTAATACTTAGTTGATGAAATCAATATTAGCTAGAGAGTACCATAGTACGATTAATACGTCCAAAATTCCAAAAATTTATTGTGATTCGAATGGTTAGCTTTCAATTTAAAGCTGCTTATTAATCAACAATCAGCAAAAATATCGAAAAAATTGGCACAAAATTTAAGGCAAAATTTGATTGCAAACGTCACTTTTCAATCTCAAAACCTTGTATGATTACATTGCACAAATATTTCATTCAAAGAAAAAAATTTTCTTTTATATTACAATTTTTCCATAGACTAATTTTTCCAAAAATGGACTATATCGTATTTTTATAAAAACTATAAAAAACACTGAACTGAACACAAGTAACGTTAAAACTATTTGGCTTTTTAATTAGACCTCTACTTTTTTATTTTCTTTTACTTCGTGTCACCCTGGATAAACGTATATACAATCCATAGGATTTGGTAGCTTAAGAAACACAAAGGCCTCACCTGAACGTCCGAATATCACTTCATATTTTAGCGTCATATTACTTCTCCTTTTTTTTAGTTGTGCGCGATTTGTATACATCGTACACTGTCAGGAAAATTAGAAAGCTTAGATACCATCGACCGTGCAATAAATAAAATTCATTCACAAATGATTTTTAACAACGTAAGTCCGTTCGTTTGCTCACTGCGTATTACAACCTCAACGTACGAAAATGTCGAAATATTTATATTGCAAAACATAAGTATAGTTATGGCAATGTTATGTTGGAAATACAATATAAAATTCATTATGTTGCAATATAAATATAAAAAACATTATCGTTAAAATTTGACTTAGCTTTTAATGAACGAGACTTTCACAAATATTAAAATAAAATTCACTGACTGAGCGATGTTTGTCTGTTTATATATATATATATTGTTAGGACATAAAACATGCTTTGAGTATTGTAAATTCACATTTAACTGACATTATATACGAAACGTATAATAATTTTATTATGTTTATAGTTTTTTCGAGCAGCTCATTCATGAAATACTTTTATAATGAAAAGTGAAGATTAATGAAAATTCTTTTATTCTTTTTAATTATCAATAAAATTCGCTCAAAAGAATCTACAGGTGAAAAAACTTTTATTTAATTAACCTTCACTACTCAATATAAACATATAAATCTTAGTTCGGAAAGAAAAAAAAACTAAAATATATCGCTCAATCAAAACGTTAAATAAAATTAAAAATCCTAAACAGCAGCTGTATCCTCGGTATTCCTTAACAAAGCGACAGCTTTATCGACATCACCCTGGCACTGATTCAACATATCCTTGCATTCTCGCAATGGAACGAAATTATTCTCTTTCTTTAATATCCTGTGCACTTTTTCCACTTTGATGGCCGTCAAGACGTCCCAGTCGGTGGCGTTTAACGCTGCCACGCAGTCTTCGGGCATCGAATTCCAGGAACTTAGAACTTTTAACATTGTTCTTACCTAAAGTAACAAGGATATTGTTATTTTTCATTTTTTCAATGTATAAAATAATGAATTTTCATGTGCAAGATTTTGGATTCATTCCACTTAAGATATGGTACCAAATACTGTTCTACACATATTGTACGTTTACTTTTTTACCATCAAATTTTAATTGATTTCAGTAGGTAAATACTGTTACGGGCAAAATAAGAATTGTCACTAAATTTTATGAGACCATTCTATATATAAATACCAAAATCATAAAGACTTAACACAGATTGATCAACAAAAAAGTCAAGAGAATAATGAGTTACATACATTACGTTCCATCGTGTTTCACAAAATTTACTACCAGTACACTCTAGCTCTGAACTTACACATCATAAATGTTAAATTTCATCAATTGATTTCTTACCAAGAAAAGTGTGATTTTCGTTCAATTTCAACCACTATTATTAAAAACAAAAATAAAATTTTTATCACTAAACCAATATAAAGCAGCCCACCTCGTCCGAACTTTCTCCATTACTTGGACCCCTCGTTCTCCTCAAATTCGGTCCGTCGGCAAAGTCCAACAAATCTTCACAAGAAACATGATCACTGGTCCTCGTCATACTTTCGTTCTGGCCAGCTTCTTTGAGTTTTGGCGCAGGACTTCCCGCAACCGTAGCACTATCTTCACTCTCGTCTGCTGCATCGCAATCGATAAGATTCTCTGAGAATTCCAGAAGATCTTCCGATATATCGCTACAGCGATGTCGCTGTTTGCTGTTTGTATCTAACGAAAGCGAATCGAGAGCTGCCAGTTCGGAATCGATACGTCTTTCGAATTCCTCGGGACTGTAGAAAAATGTATATGTTATCTAACTTTCTTTCCTCTCTACCAACGAATAGTTATCCTTACCTATTTATTGTAAGCTCCGCAGACACTTCCGAGCTACAGATTTCTCCAGCTGCATTGTTAGCCATTACTTCGGAAAACCCGTCCACTTGATCTTCGATCGTGGGACTCGAAACAGCTTGCATTTTCGCCAAAGTTCTGGTAACTCCGTCACCTGGTATGATCAACGGATGTTTCCTTTGATGCCTTGGCAAACTCGACTTTGGTTGTAATGTCTTGGATCGATCGCGCGGCGGCAATGGAATTGGATTCTCATCGCCGACGTTGCCCTGATTCCGATTGTTCTCGATTTCCATTGAGTGGTGTCTGTGTAGGAAACCTTGAGGAATTGGTGGTGGCGCTTGCGAAGGTGCGGGGATCTTTAGTTTTGGTAACGTTCGAGCCCCCGAACTATGATGGTGAAGGCTGTCAAAGTGGAAACTTCTACCGTTGCCCTAAATTTTGTTCAAGCGAGATAAGAAATCAATGCTAGGTTGATCATTTAACGATCATTATATTCGCTGTTTATCATCGTAATTGAATAAAAAGAATTGCAATTAGAGATAGAAAATTTAACTTTTTAATTTATGTGAAAGAAATCGACTGTTCGAATACATCAAAGTAAACCAACTTTGTTTTATTACAAAGAAAATCTTCAACATATCCTTTAACAATTAAAAGAAAAGAAATGAAAAAATGAATGAAGCGATAGCAAAATGTATAATACCTGATGATGATGATGATGATGATGATGATGATGATGATGATCATCGTCATTCGACACAACACTGTGACTCGACGAGTGTTTATTGCCACGAACCCTCGGCCTGACGATAGGTAAGCCGGAGCGCAGCATTCTCAAAGGATTCGTATCCGGACTGTCAGGTATATTAGCCGAGGTGCAAGCCGGATTCTCAATCAGACTGTTGTACACTTCCTTGGCTTCGTCTGACAGCGTTGCCTGTTTAACACAAATGCCAGCCGAAGGGACCACAGGGTAGTGTGTGTTGTGTGAGAAGAGAGAGTGAACACGAAATTGTAAAAACAAAAGTAAAATGAAACAAAAAAAGACAGTGAGAGATTCAAGCTTTGCGGCTGGAGGATCAAAGGATTTTCTTAGTTCGTTGTGTATGAGAGATCGATGGGGAGAGATGCGTGTTAGGTGTCTACCAAAAAATGATCCTGGAAGCTATAGCTTCTTCGAGATTTCAAAATCCTTAAAAATACTTCGGATTCTACGACACTGATGTTTCGTCCCGTGACTCTACGACTATAGCGAGTAAAACTTAATGCACCAAATATTACCTTTACGAAATACCGTTCAATGACTAGAATCGACCGAAACCATCTAATTGGACTTTGCTGTCCATTACAAAAATAAAATTTCAGCTCTCGCGCCCATAGGCAGACACCCAAAGTTCGAAACAAAAAAGCTCCATCTCGTAATGCCCACGACGACTATGTATAATAATATTAATCAGAACACATGAACACACACACGTATTACAGTCCATACACAAGCATTGCCAGCCCATTACGATTAGTCTTATAAAAAAATATATCCTCGTTTGGGGTATTATTAAAAAACGCGATATCAAAAAGTGGTTATGTTATTATATACAAAGTGCACTTCTCCAAGAGGCGTCATTCAAGGAGCGGGGGACGGAGGAAAGGTAAGTATGTCGTTGTTGAATTCGGGATACTCCGAGCTCGTATCCGAATCGTCGCTGGTGAACGTCAAGCTCGAGCTCGGCGCGCTTTCCGGCCAAGTGACCATGTTATTCCTGGACGAAAAAGGCGGCGACAGCGAGTTCAGGAAACTTGTCGACGGCGGCGGCGACTTGCCGCTGAGCTCCAAATTGGAGTAGCCGCGAGCCGAGTTCGGGTGGAGGAAATTCTGCTGTTGGACCGACGCCAAGGCGGCCTTTTGATTTTTAAAATTGAGCTTGGCCATGCGGCGATGTCGTCGTCGATATCTCAATCTACTTCGGATGTCAGTCTCCGAGTGAGAAATTGAGTCCGAATCCTCGCTTGAGTCGTTGCTTTGATGGAATGACCTGCGAAGATTTTTCAGATGCGGTCGTCGAGCCTCGGATAGCGATGAAGTTCTGGCTCGAAACACACTCGCGTCGTTCTGGTACGACTTGGGTGGATCTAAAATTCTCTGATGAATTGTCGGACTGCGTAATTTACTGAAACGCTTGGATTCTATAAAGCTTTTCACGCTCTCCAATTTACTATTGTTGCAGTTCACCTCGGCGTCGGACTTCCTTCTCATTCTCATTCTCAGCTCATCCGAGCTACTCTCACGATTGTCGAACAGAGGATTATTGGATATCGCGTAAGGATAATCGTGTCCGTTTCGGTAATTCATTCTCACGGAACGTGGACTTTCGGGTACTGCAGTTTTCATACTGTCGGAAGAACCACTGTAGTGCGACTTTGGACTGCCAATCGTGATCTTCGGTCGTGTGCCTACTGGCGGTACAACTTTGGCCGGCGACTCGCGGTGACTGTTGGCAAACTCAGGGAAACTCGCGAGAAAAGCATTCCTACAAGTCTGCTCCAATTCGTTGATCTTTTGCTCGTCCTCGTACGACAATTCGTCGTCGTCGGCGTACTTCGGTTGATCAAAATAACGATCAACGTAACTTGTAGACACTCTTTTTCCGTCCTTTGGGAAATCGTAATTTCCATGACCGTTTTGATGACCATTGTGATGACTGGATTGCTCGAACTCCATGCAATTTGCAATGCTCTTACGGTGGACCGCATTGCCGTTCTCCAAAAATTCCGTTGACTTTACGAGGTTCTGCTTGGTATTGTCGAGTATGTGTTCGTCGAACTCTACGTCTACGTAAGACGACCACGCAGTTGGTTTGGTAAGCAGTTCGCGCGATTTCGCAAAGCAGAATTCTGCCGAGGCTTTGTCCCACAAGGGTAGTTTCAACGTCGACGGAGCACCAAGAGAATCAATCGAGGAGACTGTTGAGGATAGGGACTGCAAGCTCGTGCAAAGCCACTGGACATTTTTTTGGTTCGCCATGCAACACATTTATATCAATGCAGGGCGGATAAAAAAGGTGAAATTATAAGAGGCCAGTAAAGTAAATTAAATAACGTAAAATAATAAGTGGGAGAGAGAGAGAGAGAAAGAGAGAGAGAAAGAGAGAGAGGTGAAAGGAAAATTTCGGTATTAGTATTGATAGATTATTAAAAGCGTTTTTTGTATGATTGAAGGTGCGATACTTGAAATGCTTTTATTGTAATATGAGTTTCACCTTCAAGCACGTTGGTTAAATAAAATAAGCAACATGATAACAGATAATTAGATAATGAAAATATTTATCCGCAAGAGCGATCAAATTCAATTATTCACGGAGAGCATGGTTCAGTTGAATTCGCATAAAACCTTTTATCAATATATAGCATCGAGTTTATTGCTGTATTTCCATAAGTCGTATTTTCAATGGTTTTGTGGTTTACTGTGTAGTATATAAATCATATGTTAATATGTATATTATATTTGTACGAAAATAAACAAATTCATTGACAAAAATCAAAAGTGAAAGTATATATTTTTGTAAGAAATAGTGTATTTGTTTGAAAATTTGTCAAAAAAAATTAATTGCAGTGTAAAAATTGCAAATTATAATAAAAACTTTCCAGATACAGTCTACCGATAGTTCGTTTGCCAAGATTTTGTAAATCTTTTACTGAAACTTATTGATGGAATTGACTTTTTTTCAAAATTCAAGGAACGACATTGTCGTCATTTATTGCTTCAATTTAATTATCTTTTCAATAGATCCAATAAATGTCAGTAACGAGAATTAATTAGGTAGACCACAATCCCCGAAAAAGCAAAGCCATAAAAAAGAAAGCAACCAAATAAAACGAAAGTAAAAGGAAAAAAAATGTACCTGTATGTCAGGTATACTGGCGGCTTCCTCGGCAAAGTGTCGTCGATCGGGTTTAGGGCTGTGTTGGTGTGGCAACTTGAATGAAAATTTGCGACGTCGCGTCGACGAGGGACTTGCGGGTGTACGAGGCGAATGCGACTCCTGCGCGCTATGCGACTGTAACGCAGGTTGCTCGAGATCCGTCATTGAACGAGCTGTTAATTCCTGAGCCATCGCGATCGCCGAATACAGGGTTTTCTGATCGGCTGCCGATATTGGTTTCACCTGATCGATATAGGATTTTTGTTGCCGAATTAACATGTTTTACCAATTGTGTATGCTTTTGAAGATGAGGCGATTAGATTAATTAATTTTTATTTACACAGCTCAGCTCGACGGGCTACTCGGCAATAATTTCAACAACTTTACGATTTTTCAGGACTTTTCACGTTTGTTACATTTGTCGGTTCACACATCTCAATCGCTTTGACATTTTTTTTCTAAATTTCTACAGATGCATTGCACAGACATTGAAGATTATCTTAGTGAAGAAATACACTCTCTACTCATGACTTAGCAACAAGCTCTTTTATGTAAACATCTAAAATGATCAATGAATTTTTTATCGTTCACAAAATTGTAATTCTTAAAACCAAGGTTACATGTTATAAGTTATCAACATTGATACTAAATAATATAAAATATATAGTAAGAAGAAACAAAATACTAACTGCATACCAATGCATTATAATTTGAACTACTAAAAAATTTCAGTAATATTTTTACAATTTTAAAAATTCTACTTTTTGATGAATTTCTGTTGCTTGTAACTTTTTACGAAACTCGCATGCCACCTTGAACTTTACACTTCGATATTTCCAAATATATCACAAAAAAAAGAAGAAAAATAGTTGTACGACATCTGTACAATTTAAATTTATCAATAACACCACTAAAATTTCAGCACTCTTCGAAATTTTTCACTTGTTTCTCACATTTTACGATATAAATATGTGTCACCCTATGCTACAATGTTCTAAATTCCCGAAAAATCGTAAAGTTTTGATGAAAATACTCGTAAGGTTTTTAAGCAAGCAGCTCTTAAGTAGCTGATATTCCGTCGAGATATTAATTTATTTTTGTGTTGTTGATCAAGTCTGAATTTTGTCTCGATAATAAACATTGAACTTTGATTATTCATACACAGTTTAGTGTTCTCACATACGTTTTAAGTTTTATTGCCCTACGCAAAATCGAAGGAAAATAATTTTGGTACGAAAAAAGGAAAAAAAACTGACAAAACCAGATTAACCAAAGCTTTCCGGATATACTATAGAGGTTGCCAAGCCATTGCGACACTTTCGAGGACTTGCCAATGAATGAAAGAAGCCACAAAAAACACGTCCATATACGATAGAAGACACCACTCAAACTCAAAAGAATGAGAAAACAAAAAATAACTAAATAAACGAAGCATATAGTGTATAATATAAATAATGCATGATTGAATTATATATAAAACGAATGAAATGGCGAACTGAAATATAAATTTTCAATAACATAAAAACAAAAAGTCCACTGTACATTTATAGGACTCACGGTCGCTTGTTTCTTCTTGTTGCCTTGTTTGGCTTGAAATTCTCTTAGCTCGTTTCTTGCATTACTCGATTCGTGTTCCGTAGGTACAGGATGACTTTGTGGCGGTGGTGGAGGTGGTGGCGACGATCCTAAAAATAGCCACGTAACAGTTAGGTTTGATGCGATTCCCGGGTAATGGATAAAAAACAAAAGTAAGATATGCTGAGACGGACTTTTTAGCTTGACATAGTTATCCCTCTTTCCGCGCGATAACATAGACTTTGATAAAGTACCTAAGGAGCGGAACATCTGGTCCATTTCGTCGAGTAGCGACGGGCCAAAGTCGAAGCTCAATGGCTTGTCGAATCGCAACGGACTGTCCTGATTCTCCTCGTCGCTGATCTCATGGTACTCGTGATCACCGCATATTGTACTGCTGTCTGTGCTGCTCACCATCGACGCATTCATGTTGTTCACTGCTGTGCCGAGCTGCGATATGTCCGAACACGTGTCTGACCATAAGCTGTCTGCTTTTTCGACAAATCAAAAATTGTGCTTTAATTTTTTAAGGAAAACGTTGATTAGACGAATGTAGCGCTATTTTTATTTTTGCTTGTGAGTTTGTGCAACAAAAATTAATCTAATAACATCCTTTTATGCTATCATAAAGAGATTTTTGTTACGCAAACTCGGAGTTATTAAAATTAGTGTGTCAATGCCAAGTTCATTAACAGGTCAAGTTGTAATTTGCAGAAAGATGGCTTAATAAAAAATGTTAATCAGTCAAGTTGAATTTCCGTTTTTCTTTTTTAATTACCTATTAACCTATAACATTGAAGAAATTTGACCATAATCAAATTTTTTATGCAATTAATATGATTATTTTCTCCTTCGAATTGCGTTTCCTCACTGTCCAAATAAACTTCCATTTGAAAACATGCTGTCAAAGCAAGAAAAAATTTTCTCACGACGTCCGTAAAAGCACAAGTTGACTCTAAAAAAATATCACTCTATCTTCCATACGCATAAGCCTGACTCACCATGTTTGCTTTGCGTGTCACGCTGTGCATGCCGACCATCCCTGACGGACTCGCGGTTGCTATCGCGATTGAGGCCTCTTAACATAACGTCTTGACCGGCTTGACTAGAATTATTATCGGTCGCGTCCTCTTGTGGCTTGTAAGGAGTGACGACCTGCCTGGGTAGATGCGGATACTTGCCGCCCAGAAAGCTTATGTCGCCGAAGTAAGCGCCGTCGAGACCAACGTGACCTGTGTGCTTTAGATCTCCCTGTGGCGAGGAGATCATGTCTGTGCGTATTTTCGATTTTCTCTGAAAATTCGGAGAGCGGGCGTAAATAACGGACGGGAGAGAGTTAGAAAGCGGAAACTCTCACTTGTCGACAGTACCTGTGAGGAAAAGATATTCTTGCCGTCACCCCTGGTGAACTCGCCAGGCTTGTTGCTCGGCAGGTTGTTGCCCAAGTAGGCTATTGTGTGAGCCGGGTTGAAAAATCCAGTTTTGCCGTTGTTCAGCACACCTTTCCACATGGTGTTGCTGATGCCCTTGTCGAGCACGGTAATCACGTCGCCTTGGCGATAAACCAGCTGACCGATCTCCGAGTTGTCTTGCACCGCTTGCACTTGCTCGGGCTTGAGGTCAGGCAACAGGCAAATGAGCTCGGAAAATTTCGGTCGCTTTGTCGGCTCGTGCTGCCAGCATTGGATCATCAGCGAGTAGTAATCTTTTGGACAGCAATCGGGCTGCTCGAGACGTTGGAAGTTCGGCTCGTCGATTGCTTTCAAGATCTGGTGGCCGGTCAGCGCCGCCCACGGTTGGAAGCCGTAACTGAACATTTCCCAGAGTGTTACACCTGGAAGCGAGGAGAGAAATGAAACATGATTGAATCACCGATCGCTTCGGATAAGGTTCGCGCTACCCGCGGCTTCCTCTCGAGGGAAAGAATGCTTTTGTTTTCGCAAAACAGCCGAGAAAAACAATGAGCGCTTTTTACAATTAATCTTGATCAACAACTTTACAAAAAATCTTGATCGACAAATCGGAAAACCGGAAAGCAACGCGCGCGTGAGAAGTAAAAAATGCCTATTGAATGATACCAGACAAACGGTTCTTTATGAGTCAATGTTATTTAAAGAGCTGACTCGCATCGATATTTAGATTTTTATAGGCTTTTAGCAGACCAATTACGCGAACATTCGCAACCCGTATTGCCAGTTTTCTTCATTGCAATAAGACACTCACCGTACGCCCAAACGTCGCTCGCCGAAGTGAATTTCAAGTAAGAGATACACTCGGGAGCGCACCAAGCGATCGGCAGCTTCAGGTTGACATTGAAGTTGGTCTGATAGTAGTCCTTGCCGACGCCGAGGGCGCGCGACAGTCCGAAATCCGAGATCTTGACCTTGTTCTTGGAGAAGACCAAAATGTTGCGCGCCGCCAGATCTCGATGTATCAGCCTCTTGGCCTCCAGGTACTGCATGCCGTCGGCGATCTGCACGGCGAAGTCGCACAGCGACGGCACCGGGAAGCTCGAGCGCAGACTCGGCTCCTTGAGGCACTCGAGCAGCGAGCGCAGAGGCGCCAGCTCCGTGACGAGCATCAGAGAGTTGGTGTCGAGCACGACGCCGTAGAGCCGCACGATGTGCTCGTGATCGATCGAGTGCATTATCGCCGCCTCCTTCAGGAACTCGATCGGATTGTTCTGCATGCGCTCGCGCGACAGACACTTTATCGCCACTTGGATGCGCTCGCCGTCGTTCGTCCACACGCCCTGCTGCACCACGCCGAACTCGCCCATGCCTGCCCAATGTTTTCGTGTCGTTATGCGGGCCGTTTTCGTTCAGCGCGACGCTCGGCGTTCGCCAAAATAAAATCACTATACGCGCTCACTGCATTGTGTACTTCCGCTTTACCAAAATGCAAACCGTGCCAATCTTTCGCGCGACCTCCAGCCACTATTTATCCTCCCCCGTTATCGCCGGGAAACGTCAGTTTCGTGCGAACTGATGGTCGTATATTCGGTACTCGGCATCTTGTGGAAAACAACACACGGCCAGCGTGAAAAATATTGCAACGACATTTCCGAGATCCGTAGCGCGAAATTGTTGGCTAACACTTTGCGCGACGACGAATAATTTAGCGCGCACGCAGGCTGGAAGCAGTGTTGGCTTTGTTCGTCAACAGGAAGACAATAAAAAAAAAATACAAAAGAGCGAAGAGCGCGTTTCGCGGCGTAATTCGCGTGTGAAGCAGCTGAAATACCGGCGAAAAAGGGAAAATGCATCGGGTCCATACTCACCGAGCTCTTTGTTGACGATGATAGCATCGGCGGGTATCATGTGTTTGTTGGGCACCCGTATAGGAGGTCTGTCCTGCCTCTCCTCGGGCGGCACGGTCAGGTTACCCGGCATCTGCTCCTCCTTCTTGGGCAGCAGCATCTTTTTGAACTTGGACAGGTAGTTCTGAGGGAAGTGCTTCTGGAAGTACTTCTTCAGGCGGCGCATCTCCGGCTTGGTCATGCCGATGCCGCACAAGTCGTCCTCGGTCACATACTTCAGCTGCGATGTGTTCTGCACCTTCAGATCACCTTTGATTCCAGGATAGTACTGCTGCAGCTCCGCCTCCATGAGGAACTCGTACAGACCCGGGCCCGCGTTTCGCGACATCGCGAGTTGTGAGCCTGCGAACAAGTGGTGCCCGGTCAGCGGCTCGTCGCTAGTGGGCCGCGAACGATACGGCACCCCGAGCGCTTCCTCTTCCTCGCTGGCGCTGACAATTGGGACGCGCGACTGCGTGGCATTCCGCGTGGGACGTTGCGCTACGCTCGTATCCTTTCTTCCATCGATCGGCGGGCGTCTTGCGTGCCGCACGACGGCGGATCATTTTACGCGTCGCGACGGGGTGTAAACGTGCGTTGGCTAGCTGCACGGGACCTGGCCGACGTTCCTCCTATTCCTTTTTGGCGTGGGGCGACGGCTGTCCCTCGCGCGGAGAATCGCGAGGCTCCGCGAGAGAGCAGCGCGCATTCCGTCGGTTCGACGCTCTCTCGCGCCGGCACGCTCTGGAAAGCCGGCGAGCTTCCACGCGGATTCGTCGGCGCTCGACGAGGATCTATCGCCGGCCGGCCGTCGTCGCCGCGCGGGCACCCGATAATCCCAGAAGCGACACTTGGCGTCGAGCCGTGAAACAGCGCGACCGATGAGAGCGAGCGAGTGTCGAATCCTTGTGCCTGCGTGCTGAGAGGCACGGCATCGGCGCTTATCGACCGTAAATCAGCGCGTGAATCCCACGCAGCGCGAGATGAACGCACGTACTCCGCTTGCAGCGCGGAGAGAACTGAAAAAGACACGCCCCTTCTGGCGCGCACGCACGCACACGTACACACATAGATGGGCGCGAAAGGACCTTAAATAGAAAATGATTTATAAATACATCTCGAGTACCAAGGCTTTATTTTCGGCTGGAAGCTAGCGAGTGTCGCTCGGCTCGTCTTTTTGCCTCGTAGGCGCCGGAAGTGGCTACTTGCCGTCGTACGCTTGCGAGCCCTTTCCTATTTTCGAGCCTTTCGAATTAGCCGTTTCCTTCGATTTCTCATCTACGCCAACAATTGCATCGCACGGTGGAATAGAGTTACTAGTTTTCGATTCGGCTTTCCGAGGATATGCCAATTCGGAATTTAACGCGCGCTGACGTCGATTTGCATCGCGCGAACTTGACATTTTTCTGCTAGGCGCGCATAAAGAATATGATTATCTATCCAACCTAATCAATAGGGCATAGTGCCAGTGGCTTCACAATACGGCGTTCTATATATTTCATGCGAATCTATATATCCTACATCCAAGAGAGAGAAAGAGAGAGAGAGAGAGAGAGAGAGAAACATTTTAATACGCGATACAATCTGTTGAAAAAGAAATTGCAAGCTTCTTCTTGTTACCGTCGGTGTTTGCTTGCGCGACATGCACACACGGACACTCGAGGAGAGCTAGAGTGAGGAGAGTTCAACAACACCTAGCCGACGACGACGAGGGGTTACACGCGTATGTACGTGTAGTAGTAGCGTGTCACGCGTTTTTCGCCGGCTACGCGGAAAATCGATTATTCCAAGCCGCAAACACGAGAGCACGCACACACACGCGAGAGCTAGGCTCAAAATGGTGAATTAGCCGCGAACGACATGTACACTCACACAGAGACGCAGGGGCACGCGTTACAATTTGTTTTCTTTCGTTTTCGAAGCCGACAGCGGACTGATAGAACGATAGTTGTTGTTTAGTGTCAACTTACGCGACGATGCCCATGGGAAGATGAAGTGGAATGTGAAGCTTCTTCACGCGTGCTGCATACTGCACGTCCGCTGTCTGATTTTTTTGACGGGATGCTGCGCCAACGACGACACGCAGCGTCTTCGCTGCATGTAGCAGGCAGCAGAGCAGCGTCGCCAGAGAAACTGACGAGTGGAGTGGTGCGCGTTGTAGCGCGAGTTGTAACAGAGCGACACACGAACGGGACGACGTGTGCAAGGTGTGAGTACAAGTCTGGGGATCTGATTTCGGAGCGAAGTGATCATGAACACGCGCGCAGCTTGAGGAAATGGCGCGGGAAATTTGAAATTTTTTTGGACAGGGGCGGGGAGGGTGTGCTCGTCACTTGTATCGATTTTATTTTTTATCAAGACACTCGCGTACATGAACATTAATAGATCTATGAAGAATATCGTCATCGTTGAAGATTAACATCTATGTATATCTTTATTATGCTCTTGACGGCTATTTTATAGTGAAAGAATAATTTTAGTTTTGATTAGAAATTCAATAATAAAAAATAAATAATTAATATTTATTTAACTTTGTCAGAATATGCAATATCATTTGATTGACTAATTGCTATATTTTTGTTGCAAAAAAAAGTTATTTAATAAAAAGATTATTGTTTACTTAAATCACATGACAATTCATGTTATTACAATGTTTATGTGCATTAAATACGTATTTTGTATATTCTTTTCCTTTTATAAAAGTGTCTTTTTATCCTTTTATAAAAAAGAGATAGGTCTTAAAGTGAAGCCAGTTTATTCGCGATCTAATTGATTAAAATATAGTCAAGTGGATTACTATCTGTAACGGCACATATGAGTATGTAAGCGAATTGGTTGCAAAAGTAGCAAATCGGTGCTAATAAATAGCTTGATATGAGTTACTATCCATTGATGGTAAAATAATCTTAATACACTTACACTACTTTATTTTCAGAACATATAAGTTTATTGAATATTCATGTTACAAAGTTTTTCGAATAAATATAATCAACAATAAAGAGAATCATCAATCGATGTTTTGCATGACTTTGGGTAATAAGCTGCAGTGTAATTTCTTGAAAAATGTTTCTGAAATAAAATTTATAAATGTTAATAAAAAGTAAAAAATGTAACCGATGAATAGATAAAAGATTACTGTATTGTTAGTTTATGAAAATGAAAATTTTGAAATATAGTTTGTGAAATGTACACTCCTAATGAACCAAAACTAACTTCCAGTATTTTTGTCAACAAAATACATTTATTGATATGGGGATATGGTACACAACGTTTGTTAATTGTCAGGCGCAGCTGACGGTTCGATTTATTTAGAAAACGGAAAAGAGTAACGAACTTAGAGCGCTTTCCATTATAGCTAAACATCTATAATTCTGCTACGTTATTAGATTTGAAAGTACTTCTAAATCTACACATATTTTAATTGCATTTTTATTTACTAATTAATACCGATGGATGTTACCATGCCAAAGCATAGAATTGTTTGATGCACATGGTATATTTTAGCATTTTTAATTTCGCCTATAAACAGTTGTAAGTTGATTCAAGCGCGTAAAACTAAATAGTATTGCAAATGAAAGATGAGCGCACGAAACGCGCTTTATGACACTAATACTAATGTAAATTATAAAATAACGTAGCCTAAAATTTCTTGAAGCTATTCTAACAAAATTGCAGATCAAATGTTCCTTAAATAGAGGAACAAAACTTGTTTAGATAAGCTTTCTACTGTTGTCATATTATGATTAACTTATAAACCATTACATGTGTAACAATTCAAAATTGGCGCTACTTCGAATATACGAAAGAACCTGAGTAAGTCGCCCGAACAAACCTGTTGTTATAAGAGAATGCAGGCAGAAAGAAAGAGATAAACAGCCCACCACCACTCTTGATTCGTAAGGCCGCTGTTCTGTCAGCCGCTATTATATATAGTTGGTTCATTATAGTGCAGACATTAGTGTGCCGCGCGATAACCGAAGAGGATCATCGTTGATATCATAATTCGTTTTTATCGAAATTAACGTTTCGCGTTATAAACTTCCTCACGATCACCTTGTCTTAGTTTTCAATCAACTAGTTTTCCCCAACTACATTGACCAAGAGTAAGGTAATGGCAACATTTGACTCTGAAATTTAATTGGTATTTTAATCGCCCAACAGAGACAAAAGTAAAACCGGTTTATCCCTCTTGCAAATCACTGGTCGATTTTTAGCATCGTCATGTCGTGCACTCTTATCGCAACCGAGATTTGCAAGAGTAAATCTACAGTCGGCATTTTCCAGTACAGATTTTTTCTTATACTATTGCGATCAAGAGAACTGACTTTCACTGTACAGTGAATTAAACTTTCACCCTAGAAGAGTCTTTCTGTCGACCAAACTTTTTTCTCTTAATAATTTTTTGTAATTTAACGGTCTAGTGTGTGGAGAATCAGCACGTTAGCGAGTGTCCTTGGCCATTATAAATTCCACTACAATAAATTCGGTGAAGATATCGTAAATGTCGTAGTCTAGTAGTTTTTTTTCACTCTGTTTACCGGTTTGACATATTCTATGAATTTTCTAACATTTAAACAAAACCTAGTTCTATGTTGATTAATTTTGTTTATTAGGTCTTCAAAATGGTATTCAGACCAAAAGTATATGTTATTGGCGTCGGTATGACGAAATTTGAAAAGCCAGGAAGGCGAGATGACTTCGATTACCCACAAATGGCTAAGGAAGCAGTAATAAAAGCTTTATCCGATGCCAAGGTTTCTTATGCAGAAATCAAAGCATCAGCTGTTGGTTGGGTTTACGGAGACTCAACTTCTGGTCAGCGAGCTCTTTACGAAGTTGGACTCAGTGGCTGTCCAATTTACAACGTGAACAATAACTGTTCTACTGGTTCAACTGCTCTCATGGTCGCTAAACAGATTGTTGAAGCTGGAAATGGAGACTGTGTATTAGCTCTTGGTTTTGAAAAAATGGAACGTGGCTCTCTTGGTAGCAAATTTCATGACAGAACTAATCCTATGGATAAACATGTTGAGCTAATGGCTGAATTGGCTGGTATATTTGCATTGTGTACCTATCATTAATAATAAAATATATAAAATTACATATATCTTTTTCAGGAATCAATGAAAGTCCAATAACTGCTCAGATGTTTGGTAACGCTGGACTGGAGCACATGAAAAAATATGGCACAAAAGCAGAGCACTTTGCTAAGATTGCGTACAAAAATCATTTACATTCTACCAACAATCCATATTCACAATTTCAAGAGAAATACACTCTGGAAGAGATCATGAAGTCTCCAACAATCTTTGGGCCATTAACCAAGTTGCAATGCTGTCCCACATCAGATGGTGCAGCTGCAGTTGTTCTTGCCAACGAGGAATTTGTTAAAAGGCATGGACTGGAAAAACAGGCTGTAGAAATCGTTGGCATGGAAATGTCAACGGATACACCATCAACTTTTTCTGATAGGAGTTGTATGAAAGTTGTTGGGTATGTTATTATAGTATATTTTGAAGTATAAACTGAGTTTATACAGTATAAAGAAATTTTTATGCTTTTCAATTGAGAATTCGAGCTGTCAAACGAAAATAAAATGTCACAAAGATAAATAATCGATAAGCCGTGATCGACGATTATATGTGTTTGTCGTTTTGCTAGCACATCATTATTATCAGAAAAGAAAACAATTTGACAAATAATATATATAGCTGAGTTAATTACAATTTTGTCACGCATGACTAATTATGTATTCTATGCGGGTAACGCAGGTACGACATGACGAAACATGCGGCGGAAAAGCTATTCACCAACACCAACTACCGGCCGATGGATGTTGACGTGGTGGAACTTCATGACTGTTTTTCAGCCAATGAACTCATCACGTACGAAGCGTTGGGTCTTTGTGCCCCGGGGAAAGCCGGTGAACTCATTGACTCTGGCAACAACACGTATGGCGGCAAGTACGTGATTAACCCAAGTGGTGGACTCATCTCGAAGGGTCATCCACTTGGCGCTACGGGACTCGCTCAATGCAGCGAACTTGTCTGGCAGCTTAGGGGTCAGGCTGGCAAGAGACAAGTACCAAATGCCAAATTAGGTAATTGTTTTCTGAAATTGAATAGTGTATCAATTTTAATAATAAAATTTTACAAATCAGTTTACTTTTGAATAAGTCGATGTAATTGGTTTATCAATTGCTGTACTACAATCAGATTACTTGTTATTGAGCTTGATAATAGATATGATCTATATCTTTGAACGGTCACATTTTCATCGTAAATTTTAATATATAATTAATATTTGTTGACTTGTTTAGTGATCAACATATCAAATGGAATTTAATTTTGCAGCCTTACAGCACAACATCGGTTTAGGAGGAGCCGTAGTGGTAGCGCTCTACCGTTTGGGTTTCCCTCAATTACAATCCGGAATAATCCAGCGCAACAATGTAGCAGCTAAAAAACAAGAAATCGCAAGTAGCCCAGATGGATTCAAAGCCAATGTTCTTTTCAAAGCATTAGAAATTGCCATGGCTGAAGATGAAGATGGTTTGATCGACAGAGTTCGCGGTATCTATGGATTCAAAGTAATCAACGGACCAGGCGGTGCAATGGGCTACTGGGTTGTAAATGCCAAAGTAGGCAAGGGAAGCGTCGAATACAATAGCAAAACTAAACCTGATGTGACTTTTACCATCAGTGACACAGATGTCGTCGATTTCATATCTGGTAAACTCAATCCACAAAAAGCATTTTTCCAGGGTAAAGTTAAGATTCAAGGTAACATGGGTCTTGCCATGAAATTACCTGATTTGCAGAAAAGAGCTGCTAAGAAAATTGAACTCATCCGAGCGAAATTGTAAGATGTCGATGGATTTTATTTCTGGGATGGGATAAATTTTTCTTTTTTGTATATTTCGTAGCGTTTAGACAGTGCGCGGGTGTATTCGTTTATATATGACACAGACACATATAATAAAGCTATTTTGTATACTATTTTTTCAGACTGCGTGGTCATTCTATATGCCTGGATATTTGGGCGTAGTTGTTATTGTTTATGTAAAATTGTAATGACTGTTAAGCGTATACTATCGAGCAGATGGATTTTTAATAAAAAGTTTACATAAATTTTTAATTTTGCTACTTTCGTGGATTTATTTTCAACTTCTTCGTATCAAACAAGTATTTAATTCATCATTTATCCTCTCAAAATAACGCAATCAATTATTCGTTCTACGCAAATTCGTTGACATTCCTCCCTCACGGTAACTCAGACGACAATGCGAAGTATAAATTATTTTGCAAAGTGTCGACAGAGAAAAAAAAATGTTTTTTAGTTCAGCACCTCAATAATCCTTGGCACTTTTTCAATCTTAGAATTATCTTTTTCCTAAATGTGAGCGTGAAAGGGGAAGGGGTAATAATGAAAAGAAACCAGGCAGACAGCGACAAAAAGAAGTATCAGTGCAGAAGAATATTTTCTATAGGCAAAAAGCCAAGTTTTTTTCTCGGGTGGATCGTGGCTGCTAAGGGCTTTTCTTATACCATGAACCACTCAGTATATAGATATTTTTGGTCATAGCTTGTGCGAGATTGGAGAATGATGAAGGATTTGATTCCGAAAGTTCTAGAGATAGATTCAGGATTTGTTGGTGTAAGTGTGGCTTGATTTGTATTGTAGACGAATAAGGTAAATTCGAATTTGAAATTAAAAGTGACAACACAAATTAAATTCACTTTTTTCGAAGCCTTCAAATTTACATTTGAAAATTCTATTAGTAATTTTACAATCAGCTGCAATATTCAATTTTCATTACCGTAGTACCAAACTCGATATAGCGAGCTCTACCTAGGAAGCTCTTCGCTTCATCAATTTATTCATTGCCATTAGCGTATTACGTGATTACGGTAGGCTTATACCCATCATTTGGTATTCCTACATTTTGCATTATCGTGTTAAAATAGCTTTCACTTATTTATATACTTTCTTATCATTGTAGATATCCAGACGCGCGTCGCGAGGAGATTGTACTTTGCAATCAATTTTTGCGTTTTAATAGTTTCATGATTATTTGGATTTGACGTATTTGATGCTAACCAAATTTAGCTTAAAAAATTTCACTAGTTAGTTATACAACATGACGCATGTATATACTAAATTTTATTCTAGAGTTGAAAATTTGTATTACAAATAAGTATTAGAGAAGGATTATTTTTGAAAATTAATCAGCTTTTTATGTTTCTGAATATGTTTTAAGAAAATTGATTGTTGAACTTAATTACTAAAGATCACTTCGAATCATATTGTACTATTTTATGTTAAAAAATCATTATACAGAGTACAATATTCAAACTTTTTTGTTATTAGAAAAAAACATTGCGCACAGCCATGTATGATTATTCATAGACAGAAAATTATTTTCACCTTTGCAACTTAGATTCTGCAAAAGCTTTATAATGAGCGTTATCTGTATTTATTTAAACGTATAATATAACAGTATACCTGTTTCATTTTATAGCACATTAAAAATTCAACGTATATATATATATATATATGTATATATATATATACATATATATGTATATATATGTATATATATGTATATATATATATATATATACACACATGTAAGTTGATATTTTGGAGCAGCGTCATAATTAGACGTTAATTAAAATAATTTGATGGCTAAAAATAAATCTCTTCACATCCAAACGTGTTTGAAGTAACCGTGACTCACCATATACGTTACGCGATGTAGATTACGCGCGTGACCAAAATGAAGTATCTTCAACTCTTTATGATAAATAGAAGATCATCGAATTAATCGAACTGATGCATTGGTAAACATATTTTTTGGAGTAATTATTTTATTCTTGAATAATAATCAAAACGGTTGGTTACTTCAAAATCGAAAGTTTGCGAATCTAAACTCATCCGCGTAACTGTGACTGTTCGGTACGTCACACAGAGTAGAGTTGTAGAATACACGCGTGACCGCGTGGCGTCTACAGTGAACGAGAGAAAACTCCGTCTGCGCGTGACGTCGATGCATACACGAGCTGTAGCCGCGGCGACGTTTCTGCGCACGCAGCTGCTATGCGTGTGACGCTAGCGCGACTACATCGAGAGAGAAGAGGCAAAGATAGTCTCGTCCGGCACGTGCTGACGAATCCATCACTTGGATGAGTTGAACGCGCAAGAGAGAGAGAGAGAGAGAGGGAGAACGCGAGCGAGAGAGTGAGAGAGAGAGAAATGGACAAACAAGATCTTGATCTGCTTCTGCAAGCACGCACAAGTGAACTGCAGCACGAGTACGAAAATTTGGTACGGTCGCTGGACGCCGCCTACGAGGCGGTGAAAGCGATTGGTCGCGATATCGCCGAGAATCGGGCCGAGGCGAGGCGACTGTTCGACACGAGGCTGAAACTGGCGCGCGGTGACGATCTCGAAGCTGTTCTGCGGCTTTGCAGCGGTGACGCCACGACGACCACGGCTCAGCAGAACAATAGCAGAGGGAACGGTAGGAAGCTGAACGGCGCTGGCGATCATTTGCCCCCTGCCACGGTGAGACTTTACGTGCAGCAGAGTGACGCGAACTGTATTGCTACTAGGCCGGCGGCGACGCAGCAGCACGTCAATGTTGAACAGCAACATCCGAAAGTCGTTACTCTTACCCCTTCGCCAGCGCATGGTGAGTTTAGTTGTGTTTCAATCGCTTTTACGCTATTACTACTTAATGCACTGTCATTTATTAACGAGTGTAGCGCTTTTCATGGTAGCGCTACGTAAATTGGCGTTCACTTTACACCTACTCGTGAGCTATAAGTTTTACGACCCGTTGCTGTGTCTTTAACGGTCTTTACTTTGACACCTCGAGTTTAGAAATTTCTGTATGCGGTTGTATTTGATGCACGCTATTTGTTTTGAGTTGAATTTCGTTGTTTCCGCTTTTCTTTTTGAATGATTTGTATGCTTTTGAAAGTCAGACAATCGCGTTGAATGTTGTGTAATGCTCTTCACTAAAGAATGGGTAACACCAACTCATTCCTTCTATTTTTTTTTCTTTCGATGAAATTCAATTTAAACATTTTTGAATGACATTCAAAAAGAAATTTAAACGAAATAAAATTTGAAAGCAACCAATACGTAATTTTACTACGCACGCGTTAATGATTATTTTTTTATTAAAATAAATAATAATAGATTGTTAAATAAATAATAATATATTGTTTCGAATTATAATACATTGTTTATTTCGAACAGCAAGTTTCTTTTTTACAAAATACTATTTTTCTCTTCATTTGGATAATAAAAGCATTTAAATAAGAATTTGTTGATCAGAGAGAAATAAATAACTAATTAAATACAAGTTTGCAAAATATTATTTGGAGTCCTAAGATACTTGAAAAAATAATAAAAAATATTGTTACCTGGATGATGACAATTCGAAACCCGTCATTTTTTATTTGATTTCTCATCGCGCGCGCAAAAATATTTATTTATTTTCCGCATTTCAGAAGTACTGCCGAGGCTACGACCGATCAAGTCAAGTCACACGTTTGATACAACATCGCTGCTGATCGAGCCGCAACAACACGAACAGCCGCATTACAGTCCAGTCTACGTCGGGGACGATCACTCGTACGCCGTCAACGAAGAAGAAGACGGAAACTTGGCTGAGCACCAGTTGATGCTTGAAGAAAGATTGATGATCGATGCCGGTGACGCGAAACGTAGAAGGTGTCGAGAATCCCTTGCTGGCGGAGTCGATTTATCGATAGTAAAAACTGAATTTCCTGGTAAGTTTCTTTTTAAAGTTTTGAAACGATGGCATTTATTTATTTTCTTTCTTTTACTATCGCATTTTTTTTTTGTATTTGCAACGTTCGATTACCACAATTATTACCTCGACTTACTTTGATCATGCTAATTATTTTAATAAAACTTAATGATTTAACTTTTAAAAAAAGTTACGCAAAATATTCGACATCATAATCTGTTCGTTACTATTGATTAATATTGCATACTACTTATGTATTTTGTTACTGATCATGAGTGTTATTTTAAACTGATTCATTATTGCAGAGAATTTCGTAGAAGAACAGAATCCACTAGTCGACCCTCAAAAACAAATTGTCCAGCCAGTCACAATAGCAAAAAGTCCAAAGATAGTCACTACATTGTCCAAAAGGTCATCTTCAAAATTGCGTAAATCCACAGAAATTGATGATGACGACGAACTTGTCAGGAAGAGGAAGCAAACGAGAGAGAGAATGCGTCGATGGAGAGCTAAAAAGAAGATGGAAGAATTAAATGCCAAACAGCCTTATAAGTATAAGCTTGTTATAGCAAAGACTGCTAACGCGTAAAGGAACATTTTTTTTTTGAAGAGCTTAAAAGTTGGAAAAGTGATTTGTTCGCTCAAATCATTTTGCTCACCTATAAATGAACGTTAGCCAGTCATTACCGATAGCTGTTTTTTACACTTTGATGTTGTTACTGCAAACAATTAATTACGAGATCTGCGTAATTTGTATGAATAGACTGAGACTGAGCAATAGTCTTTTCACTTTTAATTTTTTATTTATTATGCATCGCTTACAATTGTTTTATAAATATATTTTGTTATTATATTATTATTAGCACCCCTCATTATACAATAATTCGATAAAAATGTGGAATGGCTGGGTTCCTCTCAAATAAAATCAAATTCTCTTTATAAAATGTGCAACGTTTTGCCGTCCACGTTTGCGGCCTCATCATGCACTAAATTTATTATTCGATGTGTTAAATACAAATTATGATATCAAGTTTACAAATTTGGCAAAAAACAATCAACGCTTACAATACAACGTTTTTGTTAAAATTTACATAATTTCATCAGTGGAAGTACAGTCACTTCGCCAAAAATATTTTTTTAAATTAATATAAAACATTATACTGTATTATTACTTTCTTGTGATATGGTTATCAAAAGTTTAGACAAACGTTTAACAACCATCAATAATTCATTAAAAATACAATACACTTGCATTATTGACCTCGTGAAATTATTGTTTCATAATACCTTTTTCTTGATCATTGATAAAATATACAAGCACATTTTTGGTATGCCGATGGGATCACCGATATCTCTTTTATTTGCCGACATATTTGTGGAAGATTAAAAAATTAATTGTTTAAAGACATTAAAAGAACAATTTGACTGTATATCATTATTTTATTACCGGTATGTCGTCGATACAATAATGTGTATTAAAAAAGATTACCCTTCATACAGTTAAATGGTTTTAATAGCTATTGCTTTTGTCTTCAATTCACTTATGAATTTAAATTAAATAATATCTTGTATTTTTAGATTTATCGATTATCAGAAATAATAATAGAATCATTATTGATTGGGTTCAAAAGGAAATATCATTAGTTAAAATACTTAATTTTAATTCAAACCATATAATACAATAATAACGAAATATTATTACCAATTCATATGATAGAGCTAGTTTACTCTCACATAAAGAGTTTCACACAAAAAATTTAAATAAAATCATTGATCAAATTAAAAGCGAAGAAAAGTGATGTCATTTTAAGTCCAACAGTCCAACTGTAACTATTTCTATCCTGTTTATTGAAGAATTTTATTATGATTATAAACAAGCGTTAAATAAAAATAGTATTTGTTGGGTTACGTTAATAAATCACAAATTGGATAATGTTAGGTAAAGATTACAATTATAAATTACAGGAGATTGGCGTAGTAAACACATTTTATTGTAACGACTGCAACTCTGTTTATATTGGAGAAAGTAAACGATTGTTAAAAACTAGAATTAATGAACATAAAAGAACAATTGAAAAAATTACAGGCTATAAAAAATTAGATGAAAATGAATTAATGTCGGTTGCTACGCTTTTTTTGAGAATCCCAATCACAGCTGTAATTTTGAAAATACTAGGATTATTAATATAAAATGTCTTCTTAATAAAAGATGCATTTCTGAAATGCTACGTATAAAATTAACTATACATTCGATCAATAAACATGAAGATACAAAACTTTTGAACTCTCAATATAATCGTATTTTGTTATTTATATTACTATTTATAAGATCAGTGTAGTAGATTAGTGTTACTTTCTGCTTTGATAATACAGTATAATATTTTGTATTTTTTCAAAAACATTTTTTTAACAAAGTAACTGTGCTTTCACTGATAAAATTATGTGAATTTTGACGAAAACATGTTGTACTTGTGTTGATTGTGTTTTTTGTCATATTTGTAAACTTGGTATTATAATTTGTATTTTATATATTATATAACAAATTTAGTATTTGATAAGATCGCCAACATGGGCGGCGAAACGTTGCGCAATGTATAAAGAAAATTTGATTTAATTTGAGAGGGACTTTCACATCGATTTTTGTCGAATTATGTTTTGTTATTATATTACATATATATAGACCTATATATTCATTTTGTAAATATATGTGGTTACACCGTAAATAAGTCATAATATCTTGTAAAGTTGATAATGTAAATAATATTAAACAATATTCATAAACTATAATTATAAACAGAATATTTTTCCATACTGTTTTTTCAATCCTTCTTAAATAAATATGTTGCGATATTTTTAATAATTTATTTATTTATTTATATAAAGACGTTTAATTGTTGTCTAACTACAAACATTTTTATATTGTAATTCAATTACGTAAGTTATTATAATTTGATATAATGTACCAATTTACCAAATATTACCACTTTGAAATTATGGAAAATATGTTGACCTCGCGCTATAAATTTGGTTATTTCGGAATTGTTAAATTTAACTGATTGTAAAAAAGAAATATTTATTTTGTTTAATTCATAAAAAAATTAATGTACATTAACACTACTCTCTCTTCGCCCCTGTATTATGTCTTTTCTCTCGACACGACTAAAACTACAGCATATATCATATTATTTCATCAAGAAATCTGGCTATTTTTTTCCATTTCTACAGTTTTTAAGCTATTGAGTTTTGTTTTGAGCCATCATCTTTATTATTGATCAGATTATTTAGTTTTTCATAAATTATAATACGAACCATCTCCGTAGTATGCACGTTTATCGATAGTTAAAAATTTTTTCCTTTCTTAACATATCACATATCAGCACATGTTCGCTAAAATCTGCCAATGAAGTGTAAAATAAAAGACGCACTCTTTATCATCTAATCAAATTTCCAGCGAATATTCGTTCCACATTTCACTGCACGTCTTCTCTAGTTTTATGATTTTATCGCCTTGTTAAAAGCCAAAACACCATAGAATCCCTCGACGCAGCATCCCCGAGAGTAAACAAACTAAGCTTTAAAGTCACGTCCGGGTGAGGCAAGTTAAAAGACGGGGCTGTTTCTTATGCGCGTATGCGCGCGTCTGAACGCAACGAAAAGCGGAAGAGTCTTCCGCGCTGCGAGAGCGTCGTCACGACTTTGGTCACGCTTCTAATGCTCGATGCATATAGGAACACGCAACTATGACCCCCAAGGCAAAGAAACAATGGCAAAAGCGAAGCCAGGAAGTGCATATAGTATACAAGCCGTAAAGGCATTGGTGCTGCGGATACGTTTTTTACATCAGAGTATTCTCCCTCGATGCGCGCTTTGGCGTGTTAACAGAACTCACGGCCTGTTTGACTATATGCGGAAATGTTGCGTGCTGTTATGTACCGAATGAAAAACGAATGCAAAGATTCGTCACTTCTTGTTTTAAAGCAAATTCGCTGCTTTCGATGTTCCACCGGAAGATTGATTCTTGAATACCTCATAAAGATTTTTTTCAGTTTTAAAATTCGACTACCCACCTCTTGATTCCTGTAATGACTAATAACCAGGGTTTTTTAACTTTGTTCGTTAATTACTTCCTGTTATACTACATGAGTTGATGGTTTTCGTCTGTTATCCCGGCATTTTTTATAAGCTTTTCAAACATTTCTTAATCATAATTCATTTTGGTATTTTTTTCCTCGATTTACTCAGACGCTGGACAAAAACAGTGTCATCTTCAAAATTGTTTTTCATCAATGTGGAACTCATTTTATACTTGTTCAAGTAAAACAAAGTCTTTCAAGGGAATATGGATCCTAATACTTTCTAATGAAACTAGCTAATATGAACTACCGACAAAATTTCGTTATATTTAATTATGTACCATATTTTTTTGCTTAAATAAGTCCTTTTGATTTCAATTTCATTCTCGAATTTCAGAGATAATTCAAAACGGGACAACTTTTGTAACGAGCATCTGACAGTTTGTGAATAGCAGCTGCCTATTTTTGTTGTGGTCATATGTTAATTTTACATACCATTCAATTAATATGAACTACTAAATAGAATGAGGGTAATTTTAGTTCTACACCATTTTTGGTAATGTTTAATGAATTTTGCTACAAACTGATATAATCTGTTAATTATGTAAATGAATATATATATGTATGATTTATTTTAGATCGTCGCTGTTGAAAATCATTTCATGATCTGTTAATTAAATATAGTAAGTTAGAATTGGTTTTATGTAGGAAAATATCAGTAAGCATACGTAACAGTTGAGTAAAATTCACGTCGTATTGTACTTTTGTTATAAATATGTGGGATTCTAGTATGAAGCTTTGAGATAGTAAACAAAATAATTTTTTCATTTAATACGAATTTGAAAATGATTTTTATACTTGCCGTTTTTAGAAGCGCATTCCGATATTATTTTATAAAATCAAAATTTTCGATATTGAAAAATGTTTTGGAAAAAATTGAATGACGTTTCTGTAATTTCCAACATTTTTTCAATTGTTATTTAATCTTCAAGCTTGATAAAAGTCCAGATGGTCAATTTTTCTCCACTCTTTCCTACTAATATGAAAAAAATGCGATAAACTTTGAAAAATTATATATAAAACATTATTTATTTTTCTCTTAAATTTATAGCAAAGTATGTGCTGCTTTGCATCTTTGAATGCACTTTTTCAACTGACTCAGTCCAAAAACCACAGTCACTCAAAAAATTAAAAAAGAATTGCTCAAGAGGAGACTAAAGAGTACAAAAGTATGGGGAAGTTGTTTGAAAAAGAAGAAAAATTCGTCGCGTTTCACTTTCATTTTTTTGTATCTAACTCTCACAGCGTGCATACCACAGACACAAAGGCTTTGACTCTGCGCGCGTGGCGCGTTCTGCATTCATCCCTTGCGTGTGTGTGTGTGCGCGCGCGAGAGCATTTCCAGGCGGTGCGTCCGCTCGATTTACTCGTACGAAATTCGGAGGGAAGAAGGGAGAGCGAGAGAGAGAGAGAGAGAGAGAGTAGGTGGTTGACTTCTTCAATTTTCGAGCGTTCGCTTTACCAAAAAGCCGCATGATGAAAGGGGTGTCGCTTTGCACTCTTCAATTTTGCGGCTACGAATACGAGCCGCTGAAATGCAAACTCCTTCGTTTTTATATGGTTTCACAGGAGTCAAGTGCTTAGTATGGAGTGAGCGGTTTGTCGAAGCAAGTGCATTTGCACGCGAATGCTCGACTAATTGCAAACGATCCGCGGACATACTCCTTAATGAGCTCCGACCTAAATTTCATAACGAAGACCGTGGCACTGTGCAACTGCAGTTGTGACGACAAAAGCATAAGAAAATTCAGCGCAACGTAACGTTGCTCCACGTCGCGTTCGCATACGATTGTGACAAGGTGAAAGATCGACCTGCCAAGCCAACCGATTACGAGGTACGCAACTCAAGCTAATTGCGCTCGGCAGACACTCGTATTTCATCGCTTTCATCAAAACACCGTGCAAGAAACGAGAAAACAAATGCAACGTCAGCGAACAATATATGTCGCTCGAGGGAGATCGCATCTTCGCTGTGGATTAGAGCCTCGCTAGCAAAGAGTCTAATGCGCGTATGATTTTTTTAAGCTGCTCATTAGTGTCTCCCGACGTCGCCCATTGTACACGCGAGAGCCACGCGCGCTCCGTTCGCCGAGATATTTTCCCATGAGGCCTGCTGCCGATTAATTGATTGGGCACACAAGCTTCAAAAGCGAAATGTCGCCGCGACACTTTAGATCAATAAAGCGCGCGTGTGTGCTTAGAACATGTATTACAAGGGTTACGCGAGGGTTCCAAGTGACGATTGGAGCTGCCGCAGTACTGTATTGTTGGTTGGATTCGACGTATGGGAAAGTGAGAGAGAATTGGTTTGCTTTAAATAATAGATTCGGAGCCTTGACAAATCATGGAGCATTAGAATTTTGCAATTGGTTCAAGTACCTGGCGTGCATGTTAAATATGATATTGAACAGTCTTCAATTGAAATCGAAAATGGTTTGATTAAAAATGTTGCTGTGGCCTCTGCTTTTGTACAATGAATCGAATGCATAAGTGATTACTGTCAAAAATTACAAACTTTGAGGTAGTTGAATGGGCAAGTACGAATTTTAGCGACAGAGGGATTACCGTTGGATTATGTTTGAGTCTATGAAAATAAACACAATCATATTGAGGAATTTATCCAGAAAGCCATCAGTGGCAGAAAATTTAAACGCTGTAGGAAAGTACAACAATCTACAAGGTAGACTATATTATTGAATACGAAAAACGGTACTAAGAACTGTTAAATTGCATTATGATTTTCTATAAAAACTGGCCATTATGTTCAAAAAATAGATTGCATTAGTTAATTGAACTTAACTTTACATCGTATAATTGATCAATTGAACTCGCTGTCCTTTACTGCGCGCGGACAATCAACAATATTTCATCTAAAGTTTGCCAAAGTTACGCTACTTAAACTTTTAAAATTTTTGCGAAAAAAGTATGTCAGATTTCTCATAAACAAATATTTTCAGAAGCTTCCAGTGAGTTTCAATATTTCCCTTATGTTTACGCGTCGTTACCATTTCCATGCTAATTCTCATTTATTATCGCAATCATGCATGACAGTGTATCCTACTTAAATATATCTACTATATTAATCTATACAAATAAAATCTGTCCTTGATAATGAAAAAGGGATATTGCACTACAATTTTATGATTATGATATTTACGAACAAGGTTATGTATTTGACAGTTTTAATATGAAATGAAGACATTCAATGAACAAATCATGTGACTTTACATTAACCATTGTGAGCTTACCGCATCAACAGCTTCCTCGCATTATTATAAAATACTTTCAAATTTCAACCAATCGCTTTCATCCTCAATGTCTTACACATTTTCATCGTTACATAAACAAGAAACCGCGAACTGATGAGAGCGCAGAACACTTGGAAAAATTCCTCATCCATTTGTCATGGCACTTCCTTCTGTTCAAACAATCATTATCCTACCGGTATACCTTCCCTCCGAAAACTGCACAGTGCACACAAGTCCCAACTCGTTTACTCTAACACCAACATAGTTGTACACGTATAGATATACAGAGAGAACGTGCAACGCCGGCAAAAGTAGCTGGGGGGAGTTATGGTGGG